TAGAGTAAAGCTTTTCAATTATTTGCTTAAAATATCCTGAATTTATTTGGGATCTGTGTATTATTTTATTGTCCATTTCTGGTTCTGTTAATTTGGCTCCTATTCTTTTTGGTTAGTTGGGATCTGTCAGTCCTACTCATCTTCTCAAAGAACCAGGCTCTTTGCTTTGCTGATTCTTTCTATTGTTTCTATTTCATCAATTTATGCTCTTATTTTTCTTATTTCTTGATTTCTGTGGATTTGATTTGTTCTTGCCTTTGTAAAATTTTGGGTCATATCATTAAGTCTTTTATTTGTGCTTTCTGATTTTTTAATGTAGTCACTTAGGACTATTAATTTTTCTTGTAGAACTGTGTTTGGTGTGTCCTAGAAGTTTTGTTGTAGTGTGTTTTCATTTTCATGTAGTTCTAGGAAATTTTTTGTTTCTTGATTATTTTTTGATCCATTCAGTAATGAGCTGCTTAGTTTCTGTAAGTTTGTGTATTTACTAGAGATTTATTTTGCTATTGATCTAAAGTTTTATTGCATTGCAGTCAAAAAGGATGCGCAGTTATTTTAGTCCTTTTGAATCTGTAATGATTTGTTTTGTATCCCAGGATGTGGTGTTGTTTAGAGAAGCTTCAGTGTGTTGCTGAGTAGTCTTTGGGTGGAATATCTGTAGATATCTGTTAAATACATTTTATGTATGATGTCAATGAATTCTGATGCTTATTTTTTGTCCTGATAGACTTTATATTGGTGAAGGTGGGGTATTAATCTGTTTCTTTAAATCCATAATAAATTTTATTTATTTATTTATTTATTTATTATTTATTTTGGATTTTCGAGACAGCTCCGTAGCTTTTGGTTCCTGTCCTGGAACTAGCTCTTATAGACCAGGCTGGCCTCGAACTCACAGAGATCCGCCTGCCTCTGCCTCCCGAGTGCTGGGATTAAAGGCGTGCGCCACCACCGCCCGGCTTCCAGTAGTACATTTTAAATGAAATTGGTTGTACCGGAGTTTGGTGCATGTGTATTTAAGACAGTGATCTCTTCTTAGTTAACTGTTCCCTTGTTCAGGATGAAATGTCCCTCTTATTTCTGCTGATGAGTTTTTGTTTACTTTGTCATGTATTCAGATAGGTATGACTGCTTGCTTTCTGATCCCATTTGGTTGGAGTGCTTTTGTCTTTTCTTTTACTACAAGGCAATGCCTATCTTTAGAGTTAAAATTGTGGCTGTAGATATTAAAGTTATTGTTGAAATATTTGTGTGTTAATTGCAGTAATCATGTTGCTGATTTGGGGTGGTATTGTTTGTGCATTCAGTCTCTTGGCTGTGATCCTTCCTCTCTTCAGTCCAAAATTTTGCTTCCTATATATCCTTTGGGTTTGATTTGTTGGATGTAATTCTTATTTAAGGCTGTTTATATAATGGAAAATTTTTCTTTCTCCTTCAATTATGGCAAATAGTTTTGCTGGATGTATTAGTCTAGGCTGGTCTTCATGGTCTTTTAGGACTTAGAATGCATTGCTCCAGGCTCTTCTGGCTCTCACAGTTTTCACTGAGAGATCAGCTGTTATTCTGATGGATTTTCTTTTATATGAGACTTGTGCTTTTTCTCTTGCAGCTTTCAATGCGCTTTCTTTGTTTTATATATTCCGTGTTTTAACTCTGGTATGCTGTGGAGATTTTTCTTTTCTGATCTCGCCTATTTAGTGCTTTGTACACATCTTGTTTCTGTATGTGTTTCCTTAGTTTGGGGAGGTTTTCTTCTGTGATTTTGTTTAAAATCTTGGAATTCTTCTCTCTCATCTATATACCTATAATTAGAAAGTTTGGCCTTTTCATAGAGTCCCACATTTCCTGAATGTCCCTTTCTTGTATTTTTAAAATTTATTATTTTCTAGTTTATTTGGTCTTTATACTCTGTCTTTGAGTTGTGGTATTCTGTCTTTTGCTTGATACATGCTACTTGTAAGGGTTCTCTTTGAGTTTTCTAGTTGAGTCATTGGGCTTTTCAATTCCATTTTCATTTCGGTGTAAGTCCTTTTCAGTGTTCTATCTCCTATTGAATTTTATTAGAAAGTTCTGGATTCTCTTCATCATGTCCATCAGTCTATCTTTTGTGTTTTCTTGTGTATCACATGGGTGCTTATTCTTCTTAAATTCCTTATTTCATTGAGCTGTTTCTTTGTGTCTTCTTTAAATTATTTGTATTCCTGGATGAAGTTTGTGTTCTTTTAAATTCTGTATCCTGGGGTTCGCCCAGTAATTGTCATTTGCAAACATTTCCACAGGACTGGTAGATTATGGAGAGGAGAGGTTGGTTTGTTTTTTCATATTGTTTGTATTTTTTTAATGATCTCTGGGCCTATGGACTTCTTTTGTTCTGTGTCTGATGTGGATGTTGGGGCGGAAGAGAGGTTGTATGGGCAGGTTGGGCCTAGAAGATGGGAATGGCTTAGGTGGCTTGAAGTCTGATAGACAGAGGAGACTGGGTTGGTATGCAGGATGTACATGCTGGTCCAAGCCTGCAGTATAGGGGCAGCTCCAGCGGATTAGACCCTAGAGAAGAATGTACAGGATCTGGCTGATTGGTTTTTTGTTTTGTTTTGTTTTGTTTTGTTTTTTTGTTTTTTTTTTTGTTATTTTTTTAGGTGACCTAACAGAGTTTGGGGTCTGTCATAGTATCTTCATACATATGTGTCTTTAGACCTTTTTCTCATTTGCTCCCCCTCACCACCACCCTTCTATCTAGAAACAAGTGCTCTTCAATTAAAGGAATTCTATCAATTCTCATGCTATTTCCATCACCTAAATAATGCATAACCTAGTTTTGAGTGTGTTTCCCTTAAAAAAATACCTTGTTTGTAGTGTACTGTTAATTCATCAATATTGAACTTAAGGCTAAACACTAATTTATGCCTCGATGAAGCTTTGTCTAACTTTTATTTGCTTCATAAGGCACTCAAAACTATATATGTGGCCATTGATATATACTTTGCATTCTCATCAGAAGTCCTGTTTGACTTCAATTGGAAATTGCAGCATCAAGTAACTTATTTTTTCTGATACTAGATGCACATTTACAAATAACCAAAATACTATACTAATTAGAGAGTTTACAAATAAATGTTAATAAGTAGGCAAATTTAGAAATAAAAGCCATGAAAAATGAAGGTCAGTTGTGTCTACTGGTGTCTTAAATTTCTGAACCATATGTGATTCTTTTTCTTTGTTCTGTTTGTTTGTTTATTTGTTTTTGAGACAGGTTTTCTCTGTGTAGCTCTGGCTCTCTGGTTGTTCTAGAACTAACTCTGTAGACCAGGCCGGCCTCAAACTCACTGCCTCTCTGAGTGCAGGGATTAAAGGCGTACTCCACTGCTACCAAGAGAGACCGTCTCTCACAGCAATCAGTAGTTGCCTATAGTTCTTGGTCTGGGGGCAGGTCCTGTGGAATTTTCTCCTTCCCTGTTAATATGTCCATTGATATTATCATTTTTTTCAGGCCTTATTTCATCAACCATAATGTTAATGTATCATGGGAGTAGCTTCCCTGTCGTTTCTAGGAGACAAAAATCTCAATACAAACTCCCTGGTTTTCTGGCTCTTATGATCTTTCTGCCTTCAACCCTCTCCCATGGTCCCAATTTTCTCAGGACATCTTGTCTTTTTCTACTTCCCATGCAGATTAGATCCATGTATGTTTCTGTTAGGACCCTCATTGTTGTCTAGGTTCTCTGGGATTGTGATTTGTGGACTTGTTTTCTTTGCTTTATGTCTAAAAATCACTTATGAGTGAGTACATGTGATAATTGTCTTTCTGGGTCTGGATTACCTCACTCAATATGATGTTTTTTAGCTCCATCCATTTGCTTGCAAATTTCAAGATGCCATTAATTTTTTTTTCTGCTGAGTACCTTATCTTAAAACATAGGCTGTGTTTCTCCCTTGTTACGGCACAACCTCATCTCTGGCTTTCATTTCTCCATGTTGACTTTATCAGCCAAAAGGCTGCAGGATTGTGGTACTCAAAGAGATCCCCCAAATCATCTAAGGTGACCTTGGTGTCTAGGAGACAACGTCCGCTGGCCTTGGTTTAGTTCTTGGCTCCTATATTAGTTACTTTTCTACTGCTGTGGTTGAACACTGTGACCAGAAGCAATTTGTAGAAGAAACGTTTTATTTGTTTTACATATCCTGAATCACAGTCCATTGAAGGAAGTCAGGGCAGGAGCTCAAGCAGGTCAGGAACCTGGAGGCAGGGGCCGATGCATAGGCCATCAAACTGTGCAGCCTACTGGCTTGTTCCTCCACATGGCTCGGTCAGCCTGCTTTCTTACTGAATCTGGGACCACCAGCCCAGGAATGGCACCACTCACAATAGGCTGGGCCTTCTCCTGTCAATCACTAATTAAGAAAATGCCCGCCAGTCTTGCCTCCAGCCGGATCTTACAGAGGCGTCTTCTCAACCGAGGTTCCCTCTGCTCAGATCGTTACAGCTTGTGTCAACTGGACAGAAAAGGAACCAACACAGCTCCCCATTTTGTCCAGTTTCTCAACTAATTTGAATTTCTTCACCTGTGCCGTAGGATTTCTGTTCATCTCACAGGATTGTTGTGAGGATCAGTTTAGAAGACCAAAGCTCTTAGCACTGATCCCAGCACATAGCAAGGGATTCATATACTGTTAGGATTCAGCATTAATGTTGGTAACAAAGCCGGGTTTCTGCTCGAGTCAAATGTAGAGACACAGCTCAGTTTGGACAGGAGCAAGAATTATAAACCTCTCTTCAGAGTTATCTACCGTCATCTCTTCCTTCTAGCTCCTTCCCGGTTGACACATGTCATGATTGCAAATTGCTTTCTTCAAGTGGAGAACAAGCAAAACGTTTCATACCCGCTGCCACATTTGTCGAGACTTCCCGAATCCAAACTTGAAAGTTGAGTAATTTCCTTGAGTTGTTTATGGCGTCTTAGAGGACACTTCCTTTTAAGTTGAGTGGTCTAACAGAAGCCTACAATTATTCATTTAACTGTGCAGTTACAGTAATGCAACCCATTTCCCAGCACAAGTGGGTAAGTGCCACCCTGGGCTGGGCTGGATTTAAAAGCAAAAGGGAAGCCCTCGGCGAAACAGGAAGCACACATCTCCCCGAGGATAAAGTGCACATCACCTTCTAGGTCCTGGGTTGTTCATTGCATTGACTTCCACAAGGATCCTTGGGACCAGTCGGACAAGATGGGGTACCACCTAATCGTGAAGGTGAGCGTGAGGACTCAGCTGTTGATAATCAGACTCCCTTCTTCCTACTATATACGAATTTGCTCGCTTAAAATGATGGGTCAGAGCCCATTCATGGGTCACTCCTGAGACAGCTGTTGGTAGACTTTTTTATAGTCATGTTCTCAAAAGCTGCGGTGAGGAGTCATGGGGGTCGGGAATGAGAGGCTAGGAAAATTTTCTTAACGAAAGGGAGGATGGGAGGAGGAGTGGGAGGGAGAACTGTGGTCAGAATGTAAAATGAAATTTTAAATAATTAAATTGTTAAAAAAATGTAAAAAAATTAAAAACAGAATTAAACTGCAGAGTAACGAAAATTACAGCTAGGTGAGTTGGAGCCAGAGCCTTGTGGCCAGTACAGTTCTGGAGCAGGAGAGCCAGGGGAGAATAAAGCACTGAGTGGTATCATACAGTTTAGTTGAGGGCTATACTGAAGAGCTTGGGTTTATGTTTGTCCTTCACAAACTGTATTTTTCTTCTGTAAACATTAGTGAAATGTTTACAGACTCTCTGATGTCCAATTTGCTTGTCTATGAAGTGGAGACAGCGCCAGGTCTACAGGAGTTTGTGGATGAGGGTCTAATTGATACAATGTAATTAACACCTAGTGGGCTCTAATGTGGTTGTGGTCTTGTTAGGCTAATTGCTGGCCATTTCGAGCATTCTCCCTTGGAACAGCTACTTCCCAAATGGGCTTCCTGACTTTAGGACTGGAGGCAGACATCTGACGTCTCTTCATTTCATCCTGGGAAAACACTTAATGCCCTCATATAGAAGTAAGGGGACCATCACTTCTTACATTTAAATTGCTAATATTTGGCTGAGTTTGACTTATGAAAAAATAGCAATCTTATATAACTTATAAAATGTAATAGATAAAATATATTTCACACAATTTTAAATAATGTAAATAAATATGAAACGTAAGTTATCTACCTTATTTACTTCAGGGACCTAAGTAAAAACACCCGTGTAAGTGCTGTAGAAAGCTGAGATCATTATCATTTTAGGATCCAAATCAGCATTTTAGAGAATGAGGGGCTAGAGAGGGCTTGCAACACAAGCATAAGGACCCGCGTTCAATCCCCTGGAGCCCACGTTAGAGCTGCGCACAACAGTACACAGCCTGTAATCCCACAGACAGGAGGGTCGCAGCCGAGGCTCAGCCATCTCTGATCTAGCACTCAGTCCCAGAGACCCTTCTGTCTGCGGGATTACAGGCTGTGTGGGACTGAGTTCTAGACCAGAGAGAGATGGCTGAGCCTCGGCTGTTCTTCCAGAGGGCATGCGTTTGGTTCCAGTTCCCAGCACCCACAAGGCCACGCACAGCTGTCTGTAACTCCAGGGCACCTGATGCCACTTGCGGCCTCTGCAGGCAGCAGGCACATAGGTGATGTATAGACATACATTTAGGCAAAATACTCAAACTTACACATTCTTTAAAAGGTGGAGATGTCTGTTGAGCTCTGACCTCTGTGTACACGTTGAGCTCTGACCTCTGTGTACATGTTGAGCTCTGACCTCTGCATACATGTTGAGCTCTGACCTCTGCATACATGTTGAGCTCTGACCTGTGCATACATGTTGAGCTCTGACCTGTGCATACATGTTGAGCTCTGACCTGTGCATACATGTTGAGTTCTGACCTCTGCGTACATGTTGAGCTCTGACCTCGGCATACATGCTCACACATTAACCCGCATACAGCACAGCAACAAGAGAATGAGAAGATAGGACCCTTCTATTTCAACAAAAGAAGAAAAACTATACAGATTCTGTGGGGAACCCCGAGGTACTGAACTCAGTACTGTGACTCAGTACCCTCCTGGCAGGGCAGCTTGGTGTTTGTAAAGACTGGGAAAACAACTGGGAGTGGCCATAAGGTCCAGTACCTTAGACTTAACACTGGGGGGTGCCGACATTGTCAAGCAAGCTGCCCTGCCTCACTCAGCCCCTCAGAATTTCCCAGACTAATAAGACTTGGTTGACAGTTTTACTCCACTGTGCCCGGCCCAGGACGGTTGTCAACAAATAGTTGAAAGGATTATAAATGACTGACTGAATGAAAGGAAGTTAAAAAAAAAAATGGAATCAGACAAAGTTGAAGATCTAAGAGCCCACCTTGAGAGACAACTGAAATGGCAAGGGTGTCACGTGGTGTGAAGGATTGCTGGGGGTGGGACGGCCACCTCTCTCGCTCCTTAGTGCTGTAGCGTGTGATAGGATGTGAGGGATAGAGACAACATTCTCAGAGGCAGGAGACTCCCACTTCCCCTCTCCCTCCTGGCAGCTGCTTGTGGCCAGCAGTAACTGCTTGGGGGGTTTCCTCATCCCTGACGGCAGCTGCCCTGGTGTTGTGACTGGTAAGTGTAAGATGGAGAAACGGCATCACTGAGGGCAGTAAGAGTCCAGGGTGGCATGTTTGTTGTACTGTTCAGGAATTCTGGGGCTTTACCAACTTCTCCGTTCAAATGCATTTCCTCTGAGCAGGCCAGTTCCTAGAAAGGGGTCTCTCTTTGAAGAGCAGTTACCCATCGCATAGTGCTCCATTTCAAGTAAAGACTGACGAGGCCGGATCGGGAGGAAGTGGTTGTAGCTCTCCGTGGGAGCACAGAAGAATGCTTGTGAATCCCCTAGTATTCCTTTACAGAGAATGAGCCACCTCACCCCTCTAAGAGACAGTTGAGGGATGGCAGGGGTATTGTCTTTCTAACACAGGAAGTCCTACAACCCTTCCCTTGGGCTTCCCCTTCTGCTAACCCTGTAATCAGAAAAGCCTTTCCTGGTTCTGGGCAACCTGGAAAGGAAACTTTTGGGTTTTGAGGTATCTTTCACAAGGCTGTGGTCTTGTGGCTGCCCTGTTAAAATCTGTCACTCTGGTTGCAGAATGTTTTATTATTTCCCTCAATAAATAGTACTGGATAAAAACCGTTGTGTGCCCGTCGTGTGTGTGTGTGTGTACACATACAAGTGTTCCTGCCCGTTGTGTGTCCGGTGTGTGTGTGTATGCACACATACAAGTGTTCCTGTCCACAAGTGCATGTGAAGTCCAGAGGAGGACCTTGGCATCCCATTCTAATGCTGGCTGCCTCATTCCCTTGAGAAATGGTTTCTCATTTAACCTGGAGCTGGGCTGGCAGCCCCAAACCTTAGTAATCATCCGGCTAGGACAGAGCTGGGGTTACAGGCATGGGTGTGACTAGGTGTGTTTTTTTCCCATGGGTTCTGGGGATTTGAATTGAGGCGCTGGTGCTTGTGCAGCAAGTACTCTTACTCAGTGAGTCACTTCTGTCTTTTCAATCATCAATGAAGCCTCCCTGCCGGGGATGGGGGTGGGCAGCAGGGATGATCCAGAGAGCGCGAAGGCTGAAACGAGACAGTGCCATCTCTGCCAGCAATGGGTCGGGGTCTTCCAGAGACTGGCCTCGTGCTTTACTTTTCTTCCACACTTAAACTTGTGACCTGGTGACCTTTACAATAAGAATCAATTCTATCAGCTGAGAAAGAGGGTCCAGGGCCAGGGCCTAGAGGAAGGGTTTGTGATGAGCAGAAGGACAGAGTCTATTAGTGAAGGACATGGGGCCGCTTTCGTAGGGATCTGTTCTGTTCGCTGCAGGACTAGGGCCCAAATGGTGCTCAGGGCAGTAGGGGGATTCAGATGGAGGCTGGTTCTTAATAGAATAACACGTGCTTTTCCTAGGCCTTAGTCTGAACTTGGTCAGCTGCCTAGAGGACTCAGTATGCTCTCTGTTGACTTAAAAAAGCATGGTGATCCATAACTTTCTTATGTGGGTTGTCTCACCTGCAATCCAACTATGAAGATTCTCCATTTCTCCTTCTCGCAGATGAGATACAGGTCCTTGACTGAAGTTCTTCAATTGTACAGGGACCTACCACCCATACTACACAGATTTTACTGACTGAAGTCCCTAAGTCTGTTTTTGAACTAGTGGGAGAGCCTGCTCATCTATCAACGGTTAGAGCCAACAGGCAATTCTTTCTTTTTTTTTAATTTATTTATTTTTTTATTAATTAATTAAAGATTTCTGTCTCTTCCCCACCGCCGCCTCCCCTTTCCCTCTCCCTCCCCCAATCAAGTCCCCCTCCCTCATCAGCTCCTACTGCACCTATTGGTTTTGTGGGAGCCTAGGCAGTTTGGATGCTCACCTTACTAGACCTGGACGGAGGTGGGTGGTCCTTGGACTTCCCACAGGGCAGGCAATTCTTTCAATTGTGGTGCTTTACGGTAAAAAAAGACAAGCAGAAAAGTCCCTGTGACAAACGCACATTAGAATGAGGGCCCTCGTCCTGAGGGCTATGCTGGTTGCTTAGTTACTCTGAGTCTTCCTTGTATAATTATGATCGACATGGAATATTTAGATCACAGTCGTTCTCCAACTCTAGAAGGAAACCCAAGCCTTTATCTGCTTTGTGCTCAAAGTCCCCGGAGGAATTACAGCACCACAGCCCTCAGTGAGAGCAGCTCACTCTGGCGTTGGTAGCTTGAAAAAGTAACTACTCTGGCTGTCCTCTCTGTCTCTGCCCCTTGTGAAGAAGCCACGACCCAGCTCTTGGAAGTGAGAGCTGAGCTCTTCTCCCTGTGTGCAACGCTGAAGGAATCCAAGAAATTCAACTGCCAGCGCTGAATCCAAGAAATTCAACTGCCAGCGCGTCTCTAGTTTCTAGAAAGTCACACTTTCTTCAGATGCAAGTTCTCCAGCTTTGTCCCTGGCTGTCATAGCGCTGTGAGCTGTTTAAAGCTTCTTTCTAAACTCTCAGAGATAACAGGTAAGTGTTCTCATGATAAAGGGATGAAGTGATGATTGATATTAATTAAAAAACATCATATGTTACATTGTATTTGGCATGAAACAGTCATAGATTTAAAAATGAAAAATAATTTATTGGTAACAGTTTTAGCTTTATTATAGAGATAATTATACATTAATTCAATTATTGAGCTGGTAGCGTGTGTTTTTATGGAATTTCCACATTGGGAACTCCCTCCCTTTCTAATAATATTTTTGAGCACATAAACAAAGTAGGAGCGAAGACTAAAAGACAGGTTTTCTCCTAAAACTAGAAACAGATTAACATAAATTTCAATAATGAGAAACAGAAGGATGTTATTGTACAATGATAAATTTTTGTTTCTTTTTAAGTTTTTTATTTTTATCTTGATAAAAATTTTTATCACATTTGTGTGTGTGCAAAGGAGGTGAGAGGAGAGCGTGCAGGGTTTAATTCTCTTCTACTATGTGAAGTCTGGGGATTGAACTTGCAGAGCTGTGCTAGGCCCAGATATCTTTACCCGCCAAGCCATCTTGCCAGTCCACATGATAAAATTTTTCAAAACTTATCTGTTCTTCATTGGGAAATGAAAAGTTTGCTTGGTGTCCTATACTCACTTGTATCCAAGCAGCCACCTCCTGAGTGAAGACATTCTCTGGAGTAGCGTCAGGCATTGGCCGCGGCTGCCCGACAACCAGCAGTCCACCCTTTCACTGATGACAGTTTTATTTACTTCCTACTGTGTTCTCGGTTTTATGAATGGAGCTTATTTGTGTCTTAAGCTGTCCTCAGACTTGCTAAGGCGAGTACGATGGTGTGGAACTCACAATTGAACCTGGGCCTCGGCCTCCTGAGGTCTAAGCTCACGTTCTGATTGGTGAAGTATTTTCACTTAGTAGGCATTGAGGTTGTTGTATGCATAAGAGACTCTGATCCCTGTAGCTTTCTCCAGAAGTTTGCTTGTTTGTTTTCTTTAGCACCGTCCCCATGCCAACGTCCCATCATCAGTCACAGGAAAATGTAGCATCCCTCATTTCTCCCTGGGATGAGTTATGCTCTCACATTTGCTTCATCTTTAGATTTTCCTGGCCCTGAGCTGGTTCTTATTTTATTCCTTACTATCAACTACATGAGGAGTACCGAGTGTCTACCACACACCATATGCTGCATAGCAGGCTTTGAGCTCACAAAACTACCAGCGGTTAAGTCAGAAAGTCTGTTGCTGAGAACCATCCATGCAGCTAGCTCAGTGGGCGAGGCTCAAAGGAAGGTTCCGGGTGTTCAGGGATGCGTCCTAGCATAGATTGGCCTTTATGTAAGTCTAGGGAAGTGGTTAAATCGCCAGGAATGAGGAGTGGTAGGGGAAACAGAACGTCTTGATTTCTTCTGCTGCTGCCGTGCAATCGCCACAGAAAGTTCTACCAGCAGACGGGTGGGGACTTTTCACATAGCAAACAATTGATTCTGTGGCACCCGGTGCCAGAGAAATGTCCTCCAATCTGATTCAGTTCTGATATCATCTTCCCGGAGATAACATCAGACCCCCCAGGTTGGAGACACCAACTCCCCGAAAATGCAGCTCCTACTTCCAAGCCTTGGGCGGTTTTGCTTGTGCTTTTGGACCAACTGACTATAAATCATCGTTGCTAGGACTTCCTCCTTGAATTCAGCTGATCTGTCTGAACGACTCACTGAACTCAGAGGAGCAGGCTTACCAGGTTATTATGAAAGAGAAAGGGAAGAAAGGGGAAATTAGATTTTCTGTTTCTATGATTCATCTCAGGAAAGAGAAATTTTAGTTTCTATAGTCTGCCTTGAGGAAGGAGTTCTAAGCTAAGAACCAGGTACAAAACCAAGTATACTTCATAATCTTACAAGGGGAAAGGCCAGCACGCACAGTTGGGAGGCAAGAAATAGAGTTTCTGGGAAGCTCCCGGTTGTTTTGTTTGGTCCAGAGCTCAGTAACTGAGACAAAGGCTAGAAGTGGCCTTAATCTGTACAGAGTCATGGTGCCTTCTGTCTGCCTCAGTCCTGTTCTCGGTGGTCGTTTGCTTTGGGTCTTGCAGAGCAGTGTGCATTGTGGACCAAAGGAAAACCTGCTGCCAGTACACATCTTTAAAATGGAGACTGGGGTTGATGTAGTAATTATGACAAGATCTGTGTTGTGACAGACAGCTGATGGGATAGGATGGGGGATGGATGGAGGATGGATGGATGGGGTGGGGAATGGAATGGGGGACGGGATGGAGGATGGATGAGATAGGGTGGTGTGGAAATAAAACTCTCCTTCCTGCTCAAATGCCTAGAATCTGTCACTGGAATAGAGAGACAGAGAAGCAACCTCTCACTTGACTGATGAGATTTTGAGCTCTGGCCAAGCCTCTGGGTGTGAATTCCGGAACAATGTGGACCTTGGCACTGTGGGTGTTCCCTCTACTTTGCAAATTCAGCCTGGCAGGTAGGTCAGCTTTCGTGGGTCATGCAGTTCATATGTTTTTGGATGAGAAATTTTAACTTCAGAACAAAGAAATTATGAACATTTGCAGATGAGCAACATAGAATCTGTGAGATTTTGAGTGAGTGTGTGTGTGCGTGTGCATGCAAGCTTGCATGCGTGTGCTGACAACAGAAAGTGCATGTTCTTACATTAAGTTTGGAGAGATGATTTGTCATGTTCTTAAATGAAGAGATGCCCTTAAGATCAAGATCATTTAGACATGTAGTCCACAGGCTACATAGCAGGTTAGCTGTGAATGAGACCCAACACATTTATTGATCACAACATCTTGCCACAGTATCAGAGGGCTAGACAACCTAAGGGATAGCTATAAGTATAGTCCAGCATAAAATTGCAAGCTTACTTTATGAGAAAGCTTTTGCAATCTTTGCTTGTAACTCAGTTTCATGGTTCTCAAGACTGAAGCTTATAGATGAGTTTCTCAAGCCGATGTCAAAAGTTTGATCACACCTAGACCATGCTAACCTAAGAGGCGATTCATTTTATCACAACTTACTTTTAAAAAATTAAGATAGAAAGAATCACCCAGGTCTGGATATTAAAAGGCAAGGGAAGTGCCATTTACTAGCAATTGTATGTTTCTTGCATGTCAGATGGTCAAGGCATTGCCCCATGACCATTTCTAATCTTAAAGGGCCAAGGGTAAAGTTCTCTGGTGTGTTCAAGAAGAGATAATGATACTGAAGAACATTTACTCTTCCTTAGGTTTCTTCTGTGATATCCATATCAAATGTCTTGGTTTCTCTTGTATGGCAAGCAGAAAGCTCTGAACAAAGGCAGCCTGATGTGGGATTCCCCTCTGTATGCTGTGAAAACCATTGGTTACTAAAGAAGCTGTTTTGGGCCTGAAATAGGGTGGAGCAGAGCTAGGCAGGGAAAACTAAACTGAATGCTGGGAGAAAGAAGGAAGAGTTGAGGAGAAGCCATGTAGCCCCACAAGAGACATACTGGGGGTGGAACTTTACTGGGTAAGCCACAGCCACATGGCAATACACAGATTAATGGAGATGGGCTAGTTTAAGATGTAAACACACTTCCATGAAAGAACAATTCCATGTCTTGAAGAAACTGAGGTCATAAGACTCTTGTCTTGTTTTCTTAGAGTTATCTCACAAGCACTCGGAATTCTCCTCACACAACTCTGTTCTTGGATTATGTTCTGACACTGTAATTTATTCTCAATACTGTTTATGAATATGTAAATTGTACTACTTAGGGACGCCTTATGGCTCTAGACCCCCGTTCTGAATTAAACACTGCATCCGTTTTCTGTTCAATAGGAACATCGGCTCTAAGATGTGTTTTCTTTAGGGAAAAATGGTTGGTGCATAAAGGTATAGCATAAACCAGCATTTTTGAGCTTTTCTTAAGTCCATATCATAATCACTTATTCGGAGGCATTCATTTGATGCCTGGCTTAGTAATTCACCTGCAGTTAATATTCACTTACAGTAGGTTTTGCTTCTAAGTATTTTTATTAGGAATGAATGTAAAAGTTTGTTATAATTTTTTTAAGTAGAAATCAGTTCTTCAAAGGGAATAACTGAAATGACAAATATTTCCTGAGTCTGATTAGGAGACTGCACCTAGCAAATGCCACTTGGACAGTGTTGATTAAACTATGGTGTGCCAGCAATGGTTTCTGTGCACTGATGCTATGTTTCTCTGACTTTTCCCTAGTTCTGCCAGCTAAGCCCGAGAACATTTCCTGCATTTTCTACTTTGACAGAAGTATGAATTGTACTTGGAGTCCAGAGGAAGAAATTGGTGACACCAATTATACCGTGAGGCTGACTTAGTAAGTGTGGGGAACTGTGTGTGCTCTCAGCAGGAGGCAGAGACGTGTGTGGTGTGTGTGTGTGTGTGCTCTCAGAGGGAGGCAGAGACGTGTGGTGTGTGTGTGTGTGTGTGTGTGTGTGCGCTCTCAGAGGGAGGCAGAGACTGTGTATGTGTTTGTGTGTGTGTGTGTGTGTACTCTCAGCAGGAGGCAGAGGTTCACCCAGGAGTCAAGTCACTTAGAAGGAAGACGTTTCTCAGTGACAACTTGTGTGACAGCTATCTCTATAGAGTGGCTAGGTGGCATCTCAGTTCCTTACTGATATGCTGACAGGATTGAAGCTGCAGAGGGACGACTGTAGATCACATGGTGATCTGCCCTTAGAGGTGCCAGAGTGGCCAAGAGTGGTCCCCAGTTTGGAGCAGAGTGGGAAGGTCTTGGTCATACTCCTTTCTAGAAGGAGCTGTTTTTCTGCATGGATCCAGATACGGTGTAATGGCAGCCTAGAGCTAAGAGGATTCGCCTCAGTCCGCCACTGCTTTTTAAGGTCCTGCTGTCCGTTCAGTGGCCACTGCTTTTTCTTCACTGCCTCAAGCATCCATTTTGATTTCATTTCCATAAGAATAGAAATTTTTATCATTTAAAATTGCAATTCTAGCAAATAGTCAAGTGTTTTAGTATTGCAAGTGTTTGTTTGCTTGTTTATTGTAAAAAAGCTAATAAAACTATTATTTCTTGTTCCCTTAAAAACAAAAGTATTCAGGTTGGAGATTATTGTGAGATGGATTGCTTTTTCTGTTTCAAATAGAGAACCAGTTGTTGCAAGTCTGTTTGTGTGTGTGTGTGCTCTCAGCAGGAGGCAGAGACTCTGTGTATGTGTGTGTGTATTCACAAGTATGTGCACTGAAAGAGAAGTCTACTTAATGTTCCCAATAGAAGAAACAAGAAAGGAAGAAAAACAGAATAAATCCTCCCCCTAGGGAAGAGAGAGGGCACAGGGACATCCCCATGGCTGGTAGTTTTTAATCAGGACTTTAAAGAGATCTGGAAGTGTGCAAAAGGAAAGAAAGGGTGCCCGCCACTCAAAGTTATGACCTGCAAACCTTAGCTATAGAACTAGCAACCATCACAGTCCACACTTGGGATTTACTCCGTTCGTAGAGTACTGTCTGTGGCTTCACCTTGTTCACCCTATACAGACCCCTATGTGGTACAAACATCACCTCCCTCGCTTTACAGAAAACCTAAGGAACTGGCTCGAAGGCAAAGCTAGGATCAAACCCAGCTCTTCCTAGAGCCTGTGCCGGTGACACAACACTACCCCAACCTCCAGGTTCTCTCTGATCCTCAGATTCCACATGTCTAAGCTCTGTTCCTCCCCAGTACACACTCACAACTTGCAAACTGAGCCTCTTATTCAGTTCTGCTCCATCTCTGCTCCATCTGATCAACCTCAGGACCACGTAGGTTATGTTCATGCCCACCTGTCACCACTCTGGAGGCGTTGGCACCTCTTAATCCTTTCTAAATAGTTCATCAACTAAGCATGTAAATATCTGATCTTACAGGGGCCATTTTCATTCAAATCACCACGTCTACCTGTCCTCTATCTATTATCTATGTGTTTATTATCTCTTTATCAATCTTTTATTTATCTGTATGTAGAGCTATCTATCTTAATGACTTTTTAAAGAACAATATACAAATGATAAAAATTCAGCATGAAACACAGAAATGTTTTCAATTGCATCCTCGAAAGAGTAATTTAAACATCTTTATGAAGAGCTTTCCAAGCGTCTCTGACAAATCACATAAATGTATGTTTTTATAAAACTGATCAATCTGTACATGTATGTATCCTATTAGAAGGTGGTGTATCTTTCCACATAAGTAACCCTGAGTATAATAATAGCTATAATTTTAAATATTATTTATATTTATAATAATTTATTTAGCAAACCATCTGATGGTTTCCCTATGTCGCCCTAGCTATCCTGGAACTCACTCTGTAGACCAGGCTAGCCTCGAACTCAGAGATTCATCTGCCTCTACGTCCTGAGTGCTGGGATTGAAGTCATGCACCACCACTGCCTGGCTTGAAAGGATAAATTCTTAAGGCTCTAGCTTTAATATTCTAATTCTAGTCTGCATTTGAACAATCTGTTCTTTATTTCTTAAAGTAGGGATGCATTATCACACAGTCTATGGGGTTGATTGTAATCTGTTTGTTGTTTCTGATGGTAAGAATACACAGTCATATACAAAGTCTGCTTGTCTCCAGGTCTGTGTGGCTCATGGCATCTCAGGCAGGCAGGATGCAGGGACCCTTGGCAGAGAGATACAAATCCTGGACCAGACACTTCTGAGAAACCCATTGCAAAATTAACAAATACTATTTAGAACCTTTAAGTGTGATTTTGTTTTCAGCAGTCTGTACTGAACTCATGGTGAATTTCCTTTTCTCTCGAAGCTCCTTTGGGAAAAAGAGTTGCATCAAGCAGGTCACAAATGCTTCGTGTTCCTTTCCCAGTTCGTATATAATATACCCAGATATCTGCACTGTTGAAGTAGAAGCTCAGAACGGAGACGGGAGCACGAAATCTGACATCACAAGCTGGAACCTCGACCACATACGTGAGTGGCTGATGACATCAGTGTCGTTACATTGATAATTACTCTCCCGCTTCCTTCTCAAAATAGACTCGGAGTTTGAGGGAGTAATAGGTATGTGCTGTGAGCCTAGAAAAGATGCCTATTGAAGAAGGAAGGGGAGGAGAGGGAAGGAGAAGATGGAAGAAATTAATTAAATGAGGAAAAAGAGTGATAAACAGGAGGGTTCTGGCTGACCATTGATCTCTTTTGCAGTATGAGACATGAATGGCTCTCAGAGAAATAACCAGGGTCTCCCCAGCATGTCATCGTTGCTCGTGAAGGAAAAGAGGAACTCTTATTTTTAAAAAAACTGTCTCCAATTGTTGTCTTTCAAACTTTAAAAATTTTTTTAACCATAAATTTAAAGTGACTGCTTTATTTAAATATAATTAATATACTATAGATTCAAAGTGTTAAAGTATACAATTCAGTGGATTTATTATGTGCATAAAATTCTTTAAATATTGCCACTAATTCAATAATAGGATTAAGTTCAATATAATTAAAAAAAAACTTCATACTTAACAGTAGCAAGTTCCTAATCATTTATTTGCCTTTTCCTCCAACTTCTAGCAACTTCAAGCATGTTTTTTTATCCCTATAGATTTACCTACTAGGACCATTTCATATGAATAGAATTGTATAATATGTGGCTTTTTTATCTGGCTTCTGTAATGACTTCAAGGTCTGTCATTTGTTAAGACTCTGCTCCATTTTGATGGTTGACTTGCATTCCATGAAATGGGTGTGTCATCTTACGGCGATCCATTTGTCAGCTGGGGTACATTTAGGTTGTTTCTATTTTCTGGTTAGTATGAATAGTGCTTCTGTGAGCATCGGTATAAACGTTTGCTTGAAAAATCTCTTAAATGATCTTAGATCTATACCTACTGCAATTGCTGTGCCCCATGGCAACTCAGTTTAACTTCTTGAGGATTTGCCAAACTTGGTCAAAGTAGCTGTAGCAGTTACCATTCTCATTGACTGTGTATGAAGGCTCCGGTTTCTTCACAGTCGTCCTGGTGGGTCAGTGTGACTTGTACCCCACTGGGGTCCTGATTCATATTTGTGGCATCTGCAGTGACTGTTTCATTTAAAAATTTTGCCCATTTTTACTTTCTTTGAAAAGTATTTCATAGCCGGGCAGTGGTGGCGCACGCCTTTAATCCCAGCAGAGACAGGCAGATCTCTGTGAGTTCGAGGCCAGCCTGGTCTACAAGAGCGAGTTCCAGGACAGGAACCAAAAGCTACAGAGAAACCCTGTCTCAAAAATAAAAAAAAGAAAAAAAGAAAAAAAAAAAAGAAAAGGATTTCATTGGCTATACTAATACCAGCAATGGCTTTCATCATGGCCTTTCCACACACATATAAAACATATTTTGATAATATTCCTCCCATGACTTTTCTTGTCCCGCTCCTACCCCACTGATCCCTCCCCAGCTCTGTTGTGTCTTAATGTTTCTTTCTATTTGGAATAGGCGATTAACAAATATTTTCTCCCTTTGTTTGGATGATCTTTAACATTATTTTGATCTTTTAAATTTTTTGATAGTGTCTTTTTTAGACAGCAAAATAAATTTGATGAACTCAGTGCACCGGTTTCTCTTTTATTGCTTGTGCTTCAGAGATTGTCTCTAAGAAAGAAATCATCACCAACTTTAATTAATTTTTTGCTGTGTTTTCTTCTAAGGTTTTTAAATGACTGCACTTTGCGCATTTGTTCCAAGTAATTTTGATTGTTTGACTTTAGTGTTTGGGGGCAGGTTTGCCTCACATTATACAGCTAAGATGAAATTTGATTCTCATGTCCTCGGCCTCTCAGGTGCTAGGGTTATAAGCGTGGACTACCATGCCTGGTCCATTGAGCTCACTTTTTAAAAGGTGTCTTTTTATTTAATTTTAATTTTGTGTGTGGGTGTGGGTGCATGCACATACATGGGCCCAGGACCTTATAAAGGCCAAGGGAGTCGAACCTCCTGGAGCTGGACCTGAAAGGTGATTGTGAGCTACCTGACGTGGGTGCTGGGACCTGAACTTGGGTCCTCTGTGGTAGCACTACACACTCTGAGCCATGTCTCTAGCCTCCTGGAGTAGTTTTTAAACATAGTGCTAACAGCATTGGTCAGCTTTTTGTTGCTATACCACGTATCTAGACTGTTTATTAAAGAGAAAAGACTTATTTTAGAGGGTTCAGTCTGTGCCGGTCAGCCCCATTGTTGCAAAGCCCTTTACTTCCTGGCTGGAGAAGAAAACAGAAGAGAGAAAGTCATCACGCTCCATTGTCCTCTTCAAAAGTAAACGCCTAGTGCCCCCCCAAAACTGCCTACTAGGCTCCACCCCTTAAAAGTGCCATGACCTTCCAGTAGCCACAGGTGAGAACCAGACTTCTAATACAGGGACCTAAAGATTAACAGTGTGACATTCTTTTTAGAAACTAAACATTTTTTTTAACTTTAGGTTGTTTCTGTTGAGCTATATATTTTTCTCCACTCCTCTCCCTTCAGATGTTCATAGGTGTGTGGAATGATATCCGGGTCTTAGATTCGGTTCTGTTGGTCCTCCTGTCTGTTTTTATGCCAATACCAGGCTGTTTTCAGTACTGTAACTCTGTAGTAGAGTTTGAAGTCAGAGAAGTATTTAAAGTTCCTTTATTGTACAGGATTGTCTTGGCTATCCTGGGTTTTTTGCTTTTCCATATGAAGTTGAGTATTTTTCTTTTGAGGTCTGTGAAGAATTTTGCTGGGATTTTGATGGGCATTGTATTGAATCTGTAGATTGCTTTTGGTAAGATTGACATTTTTATTATGTTAATTCTACCTATTCAAGAGCATGGGAGCTCTTTCCACTTTTTGGTTTCTTCTTCAATTTCTTTCTTCAAAGATTTAAAGTTCTTATCATACACTTGTTTGGTTAGAGTTACTCTGAGTTATTTTATGCTATTTGTGGCTATTGTGAAGGGTGATGTTTCTCTGATTTCTTCCTCAGCCCATTTATCATCTGTGTACAGGAGAGCTTTTTTGAGTTAATCTTGCTACATTACTGAAGGTGTCTATGAGTTGTAGTAGTTCCTTGGTAGAATTTTTGTGGTCACTTATGTAAACTATCATATATCATCAGCACATAGTGAGAGTTTGACTTCTTCTTTTCTGAGTCATAGCCCCTTGACCTCCTTTTGTGGTCTTTATTGCGTTAGCTAGGACCTCAAGTATGATATTGAATAGATATGGAGAGAGTGGACAACTTTGTCTTGTTCCTGATTTCAGTGAGATTGTTTTGAGTTTCTCTCCATTTAGTTTGATGTTGGCTGTTGGCTTGCTGTATGTTGCCATTATTATGTTTAGATATGTTCCTGCTCTCTCCAACACCTTTATCATGAAGGAATGTTGTATTTTGTTGAAAGCTTTTTCGGCATCTAACGAGATGATTATGTGGATTTTTTTTTATTTTTCAGTTTGTTTATATGATGGATTACATTGACAGATTTTTATATGTTGAACCATCCCTGTATCTCTGGGATGAAGCTGACTTGGTCATGGTGGATGATTTTTCTAATATGTTCTTGAGTTTAGTTTGCCAGTATTTTATTGAGTATTTTTGTGTCAATGTTCATGAGTGAGATTGGTCTGTAATTCTCTTTCTTAGTAATATCTTCCTATGGTTTTGGTATCAGGGTAATTGTAGCCTCATAAAAAGAGTTTGGCATTGTTCCTTCTGTTTTTATTGTGTGAAACAATTTGAGGAGTATTGGTATTAGTTCTTCTTTGAAAATCTTGTAGAATTCTGTGCTGAAACCATCTGGTCCTGGGCTTTTTTTGGTTGGGAGACTTTCGATGACTGTTTCTATTTCCTTAGCAGTTATAAGTCTATTTAATTTGCTTAGTTGGTCTTTATTTAATTTTGGTGATATTTATCCAGAAAATTGTCCATTTCCTTTAAGTTTTCCAATTTTGTGGAGCACAGATTTTCAAAGTATGACCTGATGATTCTCTGGGTTTCCTTCATGTCTGTTGTTATGTCCCCCTACTTCAGGATTTTTCAAGAAAATTGTTTTTATTTCTTTAAGCCAGGGCTTTGGTCTGTATCAACCAGCCTTACTCGTTCTAGGACTATAAATGTGAGTCACCATGCTTGACTGAAATACATATTTTCAAGAAAGGAAATTGGGGCCCATGATGTTGGCAGTGTGCAAGGAAAATGAGTGGCATTTTCTGGTGGCCATTCTCTGTCATGGGGGCCAAGGACACAGGCCTGCTAGATGCTCCTGCCAACTCTTCATAAATAATTCAGTTGTAGGTTATTCCATGAGCCATATTTTGCCTATGACTGCATTCTTGTCATCACTGAATATATTCTTTTGTTTTGCCATCATTTTGCCTGGTGTTGAGTAAAGGACTTATTTGCGCAGGACTCATGGGAGCAATCCTCTTCTGCCTGGGCATGCTCTTTCCTTTGGTACAGGGCTTTGGGAGAGTGATGTTCTCTTCCCACTGCCCTGCTGGTGGATCTGCGTATAGCAAGCCACAGATTATGGGCTGTAATTGGCTCTCTGGGATGTCTGTGCACTCAACTCTAGATTGATGTTGTTAGTATCTTCTGTCAGTCTGTAATTATGAGGGTTTATTTATTTATTTATTTATTTATTTATTTATTTTTAGTGAAAACTGAACCACCTATAATTTTAAGCGTGAATCCAGTTTCGCGTCAGATGTTCCAGATATGGTGGAAACCCCGTGAGAATATTCTTATCGATCCTCTAAGGTGCACCCTTCGGTTCAGGGCTGTGAACAGTACCCACTGGGTAAGTTCCGCCATTACGGTATTTCTGCTAGAGCCCCAAGGAAAGACTTCACTGACAGCTTTGCTCATCTGGAATTGTGTTTTTTTTTCTTTTTACATGGAAAGCAGGAAAAAAATAATAGTGACTATTGTACTATTCTACTTCTCCATCTTCCGTTTGTGATTTTAGCTTGGAAGCATATTCTACCATATGCATTTTGTATTCTGAGCACAGTAACACCCTAAATACTTAGAAATTTGCTTTTATAGTATACCCTGGTTTGTGTACGGCAGTGTTGGCCACCAGAAATTTAACGAAATTTCAAGTGTTTTTTAATTACCATTGGATTTCTTCATGGAAGTCTCATCCATCATTTCAGCCTATTTAGACTCTTTATTCTGCTACCCCAAACTTACCATTAACATTTTGCTTTCTGATGTTTAAGACCTTCAGATTTGATAACTTCTATAGCTTTATCATTCATAAAAGTGGTGACTGATTCAGAGCCCTGTGGCAAACCAGCAGACCCTCAGGGACAGTGACTCTTATTTCTTTGGTTGTCATTTATTTTCCAGACCTTTGTGATTATATCTAGTCACATGACATTCAGCCTATGTTTTAAACATGTCTAGACAGCTGTCATGGGCCTTTTCCCACCCACAGTAAAATAGTCCATGCTGTCTCTGTTTCTGCTTAGCGTCCATTCTGTCTTTCAGAAAGAGGTCAGTTTCGAGGATCATAACAAGGTCTACAACCTCACGGGGCTTCAGGTTTTCACGGAATATGTCATAGCTCTACGATTCAAGACCAATGAGTCAAGATTTTGGAGCAACTGGAGCCAAGAAATAAATGGAGTGACTATGGAGGAAGGCAAGCCACTCTCTGCTATTCCTCGTCTGCTTATCCTGGCTCTAGTCTTGCTGGCTTTTGACACATGCCATGCTTGGGATTCATCTTGAGAAAAGCAAGTCCTAGCCTATCTGTGGGCCCCCTCTTCATAAGCACTAATAGTATCTGCTGAGCCCCTGGGAGAGAGCCGTGTTCCTCAGATGACTAGTTACTATAGCAATCTATGTTCCCAGAGAAATAGGATCTTATCTGTCATACTCTTTAGGAGATTTTTTTTAAAAAAATATTTATTTGCTTGCTTTATGTATATGCATGCTTACCTTTATGCCAGAAGAGGACATCAGATCCCACTATAGATGATTGTGAACCACCATGTAGTTGCTGGGAATTGAACTCAAGACCTCTGGAAGCAGCCAATGCTCTTAACCACTGAGCCATCTCTCCAACCCCCTCTTAGGAGATTCTTACACACTAGAAGTGATATGATTTCCTATGAAGACATCCTATGATAAGTTGAAGCTATACATCTTAAACCTTTAAAATAGTCACTAAGTATATGACTGTAGTGATAATACAAGAAAATAGGCCACATTTTTAATGACAGCAAGAGAAAGAGTCAGTTCACACACTGGCCGCTGGAACAACTTCTGTACTCGTGACCCAGGATTTGTTTTTCTTCCCGAGCCTGCTTAAATTTCTGTGAGACCAGCTTGGAGCTATCACATATTTGCCATATTCAGCCTTTTGGTTGGATTCTGGAACCCACACGATACCTTCTGAATTTGCATTCCTCATGGGAGGGGTTCAGGCTTAGTCTGTAACCTTCTCTTCATGGATGTAGCTTCAGGCATGGGGAACTGTGCCTGTCTCGTCTGAGATTCAGTTCTTGCATGCCATGCTCTGGTAATGTGGGAAAGGTACCACAGAAAATTCAAAACCACATGCTTGGGTGATAGGACCAGGTCTAGCACATAAATTTTTTGATTAAAATTGTATGCGTTTGTCATATATTTTATAGACATCATCTCTGAATGCCCAAGCAATACAAATAACTATAGGTATAAAACATCACATAAAATGCATGCTAAAAAACAGCCAGGTGTGCTGAATAGTCAGGGCTGAGCTGCGCTCTTCCTGTGAAAACATCAGAATAAACCTCACGTTCATGGCCCAAACTGTCCTCTTCCCAGCTACACCCTTCACCGGGCAGTTCGGTGATGAAATAGCACCTGGAGTGTGGTTGTGGCTTGTCCAAATCTCCTTGCTGTTGCCATCATTTTTCTTTCATGGTGCTATCATGGCTCATTCTAACAATTTAAAAAAAAAAAAAAGCCGAGCCTGCTTCTCGGTCCAGTATGTCCTCATGTCATGTCCTCAACTTATTCTGCTGTCAGCATGACAAGTTATTATTTCTTCTGTTTATTAGTTCAGCTGGGTGTCATTTGCTGACTAACCCAGATCAGCACTTACAAACCGCCCCCAGAGAACTCTGGCTCTGAGAAGAGCATTTTTTTTTTTGGCTTTTGTTTTTCTTCATTCTTTTTCAGGATGAGAGGGCTAGATGATTGTATGACCTAAACTCCAGAAGTTCCTAAGTTCTTGTTTTCCAATTTATAAATCATCTATTCCCTATTTCATAATAGAATTCTAGTTGTCTAATTCATATCTCCTCAAACCCTATAATTATTTGAAAAGTTCTAAGCCAAATTGAGGTGCTACCTTTTTCTTTTAACCTATTCATTATTAGGACTATCTGTCTATTGATCTGAAAAGTTCTGTTTAAATATCTATTCATATGGTGCATAGCCAGGATTTAAATCCTGGCTGTGTTACATAAAAGCTTGTATAAGTTGGCAATTCCTTCATTTCTCTATGAGGATGGTAATGTCAAGTCCCCACAGTGATGGGCTGTAGGGATTATATGTGCTCATCCAGATAAGACACTTAGTGCAGTGGTACTTGCTAGAAGTTAGCCACTGTCATTGTTGGTCATTGGTAGGTCTACTAGTATGTGATTGATTGCAGATGGAAGGGCTAGTGTATTAATGTACACAGGTGTCAAGTTTCAGAGGACAAAGTGCGTTTCCGCCCAGCTTTAGGGGACCAGGTGAATCCCAATGGAGCATATTTTACTCTTCTTCCTTTACATTGTTATTAAGTTATCAGACGAAGAGCAGATTTATTTGGAGATGTGTTTGATTCCAGCCCTTCAGCCCCAGAATAAAGACCTTGTTGGGCATTACAAGGCTGACTCCCTTCTCTCTGCCTTGTTTGTCCCCTCCTTGCCAAGGGCAGGGTGCCCGGTGGTCCGGGGAATATCTACTGTCAGTTACGCAGTCCTTCTTGTTCTTTCCAGTTCCGCACATCCTGGACCTGTGGAGAATTGTGGGCCCAGCCGGCATGGACGGAGTGAGGAAGGTGGTGCTGCTGTGGAAGGTGATCTTTTTTTGCCGTACTTAACTCCCTGGTTAGAAGCCTTTGGTGGCAGTGCACACCTTTAACCCCAGCACTCAGGAGGCAGAGGCAGGTGGATCTCTGTGAGTTCAAGGCCAACCTGGTCTACAAAGCAAGTTCCAGGATAGTCAGGGCTACAAAGAGAAACACTTTCTCAAAAAACCTGAAAACAAAACAAAAAGCCTTTAGTCTCCTCCCCTTAAAACCCCGTGATGCTCGATGTTTTACCCTAACATCCTGTTCTATAGGTCCTTGTGCTGCCTCAGAGCTCACAGCTGTGCAGGTCAGAAGCTCCCCATCAGCTACCCTGTAGAGAGCCCAAGTACACATCACAGACATGGGATACTTTCTCCGATCTGAATCATTATAATTGGGGCAATTACAAAGTGCAACTTCAGGATGCACTGTGGTCTTCCTGAGGAAGCTACCCCGGGGCTGCCATCCCCTAGAATATAGTGCAGGGTTTTGCAACCTCATCCTTACACCCAAGAAGAGCATCGACGGGGGTCAGGTCATCTGATATTGCCGACATATTTGAGACGTGTGTTCTTGTAAGTACTAAAGTAGTGTGGTGTGCAAAGGCAGAAGAGCGGTCACATGATCCTTTCTAGGATGAAAACCTGGACCTGAGGGGAAAAAGATGGTGGGTGATACAGGGAAGATGGGGAGGGAGGAACTAAGAAGAAAAGAGGAGGGGAAGGGACAGAAAGGAAAACAAAGAGGGAAACAGGAAAGGAAGGGGCAGGTAGAAGACAAGCGGCAGGAAGCAGGAAAGAAAGAAAGGAGAGGTTGAAGGGAAGAAGAGATGGTGAAGAGGGAAAATCTGTTAGAGCTCGATCTCACATGTCTCCAGGGCCACTAGGAAGTGATCCATTTGCTGAAGCTTGGCAGCTTAGAGCTTTTTAAATGGAGACATCACCCTAGCTGGCTGAGTGACATCCAAAACCAATTGCTGCAGGCTTGACAGTGCTTTTGTCTATGCCCTTGGGACACCCTTAGGTGGCAGAGGCAGGGGCATAGGAGAGCACAGCCAAAGTTGGGAAGTCATTGCTATGAACCCCAGATGCGGTGAGGTGTGGAAAGAGATGGCTCTGTTCACACTCTTGTCTTTGGGCAGGAAAGTGAAGGATGAACCTTGCGAGGTCTTAGCTATACTGTGGAAGGTAGGAGGCAAGAGGCCAGCCTGGGAAGTAAGTGACCAGACTTTCCCACCCGCCTCCTCCTCCTTGCAAGGGGACTGTATTCTTTATGCCTCAGTAGGAGAGGGTTTTCTAAGAATTCAACTTACTTAGCAAGGCATTCACTAAAAGACTCGAAAGTCTGATAGTGGTATAGGTGGTGAGATTCTAGGATTGTCCTGAAAATCGCTGATCTGGACACACTAAAAGTAGTGACTAAGATGGGCTCAGTGGTGGGGTGTTTGGCTAGTGTGGGTAAGACTGAAAATGAACAGAAAATAAAACCCAGCAAAATTTATAAGATATGAGTGCCATATCGGCAAAGGCTAAAGGGGAAAGAAAAATAAGGCATTGTCTTGGGAGACAGGGGGACCCTCGTCCTTAGAGGTTCTAGCTGATCTTTCATTGCTGTGGTCAATGAAAGGGAATTCCTGGGCTGTGATGATGCTGGGTTAAAGTGAATTAAAACTCTGTCTGACCGCAGGTCCTCTCATTTTGCTCCATGATGTTTGCAATCAGTAGCGATTACCGGAAAACTTGGAATCCCTATAATTCCCGGGAAATATTCCATATGTTTACTCGCAGTCAAAACATCTGTTCAAGCCGGGCAGTGGTGGCACACGCCTTTAATCCCAGCACTCGGGAGGCAGAGGCAGGCGGATCTCTGTGAGTTCGAGACCAGCCTGGTCTACAAGAGCTAGTTCCAGGACAGGCTTCAAAACCACTGAGAAACCCTGTCTCGAAAAACAAAACAAAACAAACAAACAAACAAACAAACAAAAACAAACATCTGGTCAGTGGCTCCAAGTTTAAGACTACAAATAGGAATCTGAGTCACAGTTTATGGGCTTGCACTTCAGGCTTCCTGCTGAGGGGACTGGCAGGGAAGCCCTGAGTGTTTTGGCGGGATTACCTAGCTGGATGTCTGGTCCAGGACAGCTGTCTTCCCTCTTTAGAGCAGGGAGCTGTGGGAGTAAAAGATAAAGACACAGCTACCCACCCACCTTTGATGACTTCTGAACTTGATTTTGGCCCAGAAGGGAGAGCCTTGACTTTTTAGCTTTTATACCTCTGCCTGCGCATGACAGAATAAAGGACGCATAAGGAAGTGGACGTGGCTTGCTAGTCCCAGTTTGAACTCATGAAACTGGACTCCTGTTGAGAGTTTATATGCAGGTACCATTTGGTAAATCATCTCTTCTGGCCCTTGAGGGGTTAACATCACCACAGGGCAAATGTTACAACTTAGCATCTGATGGCTAACAAGACATTGCTCCATTTTATCACTGTTCCCGTGCCTTTCTCTTTCTGGTTTCCGACAATCTTCTTTCTTTTCTTTGGATACAGAAGGCAAAAGGAGCCCCAGTCCAGGAGAGAACACTTGGCTACAACATACAGTACTTTGCAGAAAACAGCACCAACCTCACAGAGATAAACAATGTTACCAGCCAGCAGTATGAACTGCTTCTGACTGGCCAGACACACCACGTGTCTGTGATTTCTTTTAATTTTCTTGGGCAGTCTCAAGAGGCTGTCCTGAGGATCCCAGCTGCTCATGAGGAGAGTAAGTACCCCTTCCTCGAGCATCTAGTTCCATCTGGTTGAAGAAAGAGCAGTCCGTGTCCTCGGGATAGTTGTTCCTCCTGAATCAAATAGAAAGGTCGGAACAAGGGCTCTTTAAGTTGTTGTGGGGGAACAGAACCTGCTGATACCCAATAAGACCTTCCACCCCAAGATACAGTTCCTTCAGAGCAAAGCCTGGGCTACATATTTAGAGCCTGAATCACATCACAGTCAGCGCCTGGAAGCTCTGCACGCTACTTTTGTTGGTTCTGTTTCAAGTGGCTGGGTGATGGGTTGAGCCACAGAAAAGAAAACAGTCGTGTTTGAGGCCTATGTCCTCAATGACTGTGTGCTCTCCTGAACCCTCTTCTTCCCAGATGGCTCTGCCCCAGCTGTGGTTTAGTGCTCACTGTCCTGTTTTTTCTCCTTCCCCTTCTATTTGATGGCCCAGCTAGGAAAACTGCTTATATGTGTATGTAAACTTGCCAGTTAGTTGTTGGTTAAATTCTTTTGAGACAAGACCTCACTCTGTAGCTGGCCTCTAACTTACAGACCATTCTGCTTCAGCCTCATGAGGGATGGTATTGCTGACACTAGCCACCATGTCTGGCAGTTACACTGTTGCTGAAGTAGTTCTGATCATTTTACCAAACCCAGGCAAAGCAGCAAAGCCTTATTTTCTATGTCTTGGAATAAAAAGCCTAGGTGGATTGTGTGTGAGGAAGTGAGCGCTGAACTGCACGTTTGCATGGGTGCGTGTGTGTACGTGTGCACCAGCGAGCGTGAGTGAACAAGCACACACCACTGTGGAGGCCAGGGGTCGATACCTTCCTCCACTCTCCCCGATACTGTTTGGAACATGATCCCTCACCTAGTGACCTGACAGGAAACTCCCTCCTGGCTTCCTCCCATGCTGCGACTGCAGACATGCTCTGCCATGCCTGGCTTTTAAGTGGGTACTCAGGGCCCAAACCCAGCCCCTCATGCTTGTCTAGAAAACACCTACTGAGCTTTCTCCTCAGCCTCCTCATTTTGGGATTGGTATTTCAACCTTTCCCTCCTCCTCAGGTTTCTAAGTACAATCTCTTTCTATCTTCCTCTCTATCTCTTTCCCTCCCTCTTTTCTTCCCTCCCTCCCTCCCTCCCTCCCTCTCTCCCTCCCTCCCTCCCAACATTTTCTCTTTCAAGAGAATACATACTCCACGAGGGCAGTAAATCTTTTAAAATAATATTTTTATTAATTCTTGAGAATGTCATATATGTATTTTGACCACATTCGTCTCCTTCTCCTACCTCCTCCTAGATCCACCCTCTTCCCTCAGCCTCCTCACCTCCCCCATTAGAGTTTTCTTCTTCTGTTTCTCCCTCCCCCCATGAGTCCAATTTGTGTTGCCCCACTACTCTTGAGAGTGGACCCGGAGGGCAGGGTTTTGTCTGTTCATTTGCCAGGTTTTGTTTGTTTGTTTGTTTTTTAAAAATATAATTTCTGACCACCAAACAACATAGCAGCTGACATTTGTACAACTCAGCCTGGCTCAGACATTTGTACAACTAGCTCTAGACTTCTCTGCCTTCCCTTCCCCCTTCTCTTCTTAAACCCTCTTCTGCCTTCACTTCAGGATTCTGGGAAACTCATACTTTTGTGTTTTGAGTCAATGTTTATGGTATTGAGGCAGGGTTTCTCTGTGTAACAGCACTGGCTATCCTGGAACTCCCTCTGTAGACCAGGCTGGTCTTGAACTCCGAGATCCCTCAGCCTCTGTTTGCTGAGTGCTGGGATTAAAGATCTGCACCACCATGCCCAGCTGGTCCTTAACACCTTTGTTCCAGTGTCTGGGATTCTAGTGGTATTTTCAACAAATGATACGTGATTGGAATATGTGTTTTTTATTAAATGGCGGTACTGGCGGTTCCCACCATGGCTCCGCCATGGGAAGCAATAGAGAACAGGGGATGGATACATTGTCCTTGGAGTCCAGCAGCTCTGGGATTTTTGGTCTTCCACAAGGCACCATTCCATTGGGAAAGCTAGCTAACCTCTTTAGGATGGGTGTAACCTGGAACGCTTTCATAATACAACCACATCACAAACTTTTGCGAGGAGGGAGTGAGATCCTCTCTGGAAATGTCCCACGCAGATCACTACCATCTTTGTTTTGAGGCAGGGTCTCATGTAACTGGGTTTTCCTCAGTCCACAAAACAGCAGATGACCTTGAGTTTGTGACTCCCATGTTCCTTCTTCCCAAGTGTACTACCAAGCCAGGTACATGCTGTGCCGAGGATTGAACCAGGGTCTCAAGCACGCTACCAGTTGAGTTTATCTCTGGTCTCATTGTCGTCGTTCTCTCTTGTCTCCGTGTCTCTGTCTCATTTCCTCCCTCTGCAGCACTGGGGGTGCAATACAGCGAAGCTGTCTACCACTGATATCCCTACCCACTACCATCGTTCTTAAGAAATGCATTTCTGCTAGATATGGGTTGCAACTTAAAAATACTATAAAATGCACTTTAGCTAAAGTTATGCTAAATTCACCGAGGGCTTTTTAAAAATTTTTGTATTGAAACTATTGCCTACAATGGTCCTAGACAAAGTATTGGCAATCTGGCCTGGTACATTTTTATTTTCTGCAAATGAAGTTTTTGAAATATTGCCATATGCGTCTTTACATGTGCTCTGTGGCCTCTTTGTACAACCGTTGTGTACTAGGTGGCTGTGTTATGTAGCCTGTGAACACTAAAATGTTTGCTGTCTGGCTCTTACAGAGGAAGTTTGCAGAACGTTGTCATAGACAACTAGGAAAGCATAAGTCATCCTTTTCCAGTATCGGTGACCACTGACAACAGCAGCTATTTGGTGCGGCGCCCATGTGTGTCAAAGGCTTTATCCGTGTCCGTGCATGTTAATGGAGACACAGGAAAAGATAATGTCCGTTATGCCTCTGACTGCTCTTTCAGTGTTTATCATAATTTACCACAGAAAACTAAGACTCTACAAAATTCTGTTTAATAAAATAAAATCAGCTGGGAAGAGTCAGGTAATAATATTTTTGATGCTTAACTACCACTGCATTAATATGATCAGTTGTGTATTAGGCTGTGTCAGGTGTTGTGGTAAGATGGCACAGGCTATCTCAGCCGTGAAATGCCCCACGATGCAGATGCTGTTAGATCTGTCTTCCACATGATGAAAAGATCCGGGACAGTTTTGCAGTTTGTGCACGATTTTCCCAGTGCAATTCCAGCCTGTCTCCATGAACTAAACCGCTGAAATTCGTGTTCATAAGGTGACTTTGGGATTCTGGTCACAGATGCTGTACAAGCCAAGATGGTTATGTGCCTCTGTGGGCCTCATGTTCTCATCTTTAGAATAAAGGTTTGGCAGAGATAACCCTTCAGGGTCCCTCTACTTGAACTTCCTGGATTTTGTGTGTCTTTGGTCACGGGCAGCAGTGGTCTGGTACAGGATATGGGAAAGATAAGCCACTTGTGGTGAGTCAGCCTGCGGGACAGTGGGGACAGCATCAGGGAGAGTTGGTGATGAGTCTCAGCTGGCAAAGGGGACGTGGTCCTGAGAATGGTATTTGCTAGATCCAGGGTGATCTCTCATAAGACACCAATGATGCTCGCAGTCCAACCTCTTCCCTGCTTTCAGGGCTAATCTTGTTTTCCTCTTACTCTTGAGAATGTTTTATATCGGGAGCGGGTTCCTCTTGAGGAACGGATGGAGCCAGCAATTAGTCTTTATTCTGTAGGGTGATTTAGTAACTTGTCTCTTAGTGCTCCTTAACGAGGCCAGGCCTCCCCTCTTGCATGACTGACTCATAGTTTCTGGACTCCTTTCCAACCTCCTCATGATCTTTTCCTAGCCTCATACCTGGCACGGTAGACCTAGCTCTCCGGCTCTTTCTGAGCTCCAGGATTGGTGGGCAGGAAGAGTGTGAGGTTTGGAAGCCACGCTCACTCATCTGCAGGGCAGGATTCCTTGCCAAGGCATTTGTTACCAAAGTGCCTCCAGGAGACCAGAGGAGGAAGTGGAAGACATAGGCAGGCAGGGAGGAGGCTAATTAAGCCAAGGTACCACCTTATTGTCCTACTGCCAACTGGGCAGCTTAAAATAACAGGAACACATTGGTTAGCGAGGCTAGAGGTATAAAAGCAAGCTGTGGACTGGACCATGCTCCCCGCCCCCTCCCCCAGAGTCCCTAAATGAGGACCCTCCTTAATCTTTCCATGCTTCTTGGGGCCGTAGGCTCTGCTTGGGGCAGCTCCAATAGCTCCTATTTCCCTTCCTCCTTCTCTTTCTTTTCCTTCTTTCCTTCCTTTCCTTTTCTATTGAATGTGCTTCTGTGCATATTAATTTGTAGACATGTGTGGAGGCTAGAGGCAGACATCAATTGTCTTCTTTAATAGCTCTCCACTTTATTTTTTATTTTCTAACTTTTTAGTCTAATTGGTGTTTGACTTGCATGTCTTTGTGAGGGAATCAGATCTACTGGAACTTGAGTACAGACAGTTGTGAGCTGCCAGATGGGTGCTGGGAATTGAACCCAGGTCCTCTGGAAGAACAGCCATTGCTCTTAACCACTGAGCCATCTCTCCAGCCCCAATATCTCCACTTTATTTTTTAAGATCCCGTGTGTGTGTGTGTGTGTGTGTGTGTGTGTGTGTGTGTGTAGACAGGATCTCTCTGTGTCACCCTAGCTATATTGAAGCTTGTTATGTAGGCAAACTGGCCTTGAAGAAGATCCTCATGCCTCTGGCTCCAAAGTGCTGGGATTAAAGTCATGCACCACCACCTCCTCCTAGATGTACTATTTTTAATCACGTGTATATGTGTGTGCCTGTATGTAGGTGTGTGCATGTGAGTGTAGATGCCCTGGGAGACCATAGGCATTGGATCCCCCTGACCTGACAGCGCTTGTGAACATCCAATGTGGGTGCTGGGAACCCAGTTCTAGCCTTCTGCAAGAAAAAGTTCTCTTTACTGCTAGGTCATCCCAGCAATGAAGAGACACGGTTCAATCACCGATTCCGGAGGTCACCAGTTTAGGTAGACTGAGTAGTTTCAGGGATTCTCCTGTCTCTCTCTCCCCAGTCTACTGAACTCAGTGTTTTATGTGGGTGTTGGAGATCAAATTCAGTTCCTCATGCTTGTGTCTTAAGCACTTTACTGACTGAGCCATCTTCCTGGCCTTGCCCTCCCTAATCATCCCTTTCTCATAAGGACATCAGTTACATTGAACGCAGGGCCCCATCCGCACCACATCTATGGTGGTCCCATCTTCTCATAAGGTCATTTTCTGTAGCACTGGGGATATTATTTTGGAGGATATTCATCGACTCATAAGAGATGTGCGCAGGGGGAGGAAGGGGTGGCAGGTGGAGGCGGGGGAAGTAGAGGGAGGCAGGGAGAGGCAAGAGGGGGCAGAGGAGAAGAGTCAGGAATCCTGAGGAAGAGGGGGCAATGATGTCCGGGCGTTGCGCTTCTCTCCCAGGCTCTGCCCCTGCCTCATCTTAACATCTTCAATCCTTACTTTTCTCAGTGCCACCTTTTCAAGTGGACAAATTACCTGGCTTACGTGCAGGAGTAGCCATTGGAATCTCAAGTCCAGAGCCAGTTTGGGAACCCATGAGCTTTTAGAGATGAGACTAGGTTCCCACTCCTGCTGGGAGACGTTTTGACTGGCAGAGAAGGCATGGAACATATGTCCCTTCAGGTTCTAGCTCACTAGTGAGGTCTGTTTCTGGAAAGCAGTTAGTTTGAGGGGAGAGAAGAGCAGATCAAGAAGTCATTTCATCATCAGAGATATTGGGTAAAGAAAGGGGCAAAGGATGAGAATAAAGTGGCAAGAGATGATACAGTGGAGATCTTACCGTCTGGCAGTGAGGGATGCCGGTGGGGCTGGTACGTTTGGGCCGAGTGTGGCAGCTGGGAATTTGCCCTTTCCTCTCTCTTCAGCCATCCGGTGCATCAGAGACATGCACGCCCGCCTTGCTGAGCCTCTGCTGGTGGTGGAGTGGGAGAGCTCCACTCCCGAGGTGGACTCTTGGATGGTGGAGTGGCTCCCAGAAACGGCGGAGTCGGAGTTCTCTGCCCTTTCCTGGGAGTCCGTGTCTCACGTCACAAACTGGACCATCGAGCAAGGTAGCTGGCACAGACCCTGCAGGCTCCCTTGATATGGGATTCGGTTTCACTGAAATCAACTTTTGAATTCTCTTTAAAGCTGTAATGTGAGGGACAGCACTGGAGAAGTTTAGCAATTGTCATAGTTTTCAGCATGTCCCTGGCGAAGCTGGCACAGAAAGCCTGTCCCCAGGTGGGAAGTAAACACAACCTTCTCCATACATGTCAATAGAGACACCGGGAATAATGGTCTTTACTAGATACCCTGTCAGGGCTAATCATAATTTAACACAGAAAAGGGAGTCTTTTAAAATAATGTGAACTCACAATGCATTTTGCCCATATCTATGCTAACTCCTCCCCCTGACTTCTCCCAGATCCACTCCCCATTTTCTCCATACCCCTCACAACTTTCTGTTCCTCCCTTTTTTCCTTTTGTTTTTTAATGACCCACTGAATCTAATTAGTGCTGCCCATATAGGCATAGGCGTGTGGCCATCCACTGGAGAGTGGTTGACCTACCGCAGAGTGGGGTACACACACTTAAGAGAGCTGACTCTCCCCCCACTATCCATCATCAACTGTCCATAATCGTGCCTCAGCTGGGGTGGGGCTCATGAGCTCCTGCCCACTTCATGCTGGAATGTTGACTGGTTTGAACACTTGCACAGTGACCACAGCCGCTGTGAGCTCAACAATGTTGTGCACCTGCCATGCCCAAAAACCCCACAATCTTCACCTTTACCTGAGGAGAGTCCCAGTTATCCTGGGGTGAAACCAGACTTTGGGTACCATTTGTCCTACCTCAGAAGCTCCTTTCTGTCTCAGTGGCCCATTTAAGAGTTAGGCCCCTTCCTCAGCGTCAGACAGAATAAACAGACTTTATTTAAAGAAAGTCCATTCCTCATGTGAGACTTAAGTTAGCTTCACCTGGGATGTCTCAGCACTCTGGCTGTGTCCAGGTACTTCATGGCATCTATATTAAGAACACGCTAGCCAGGCATGGTGGCATGTATTTATAGCCCCGGCCCTCTGGAGGAGGCTGGGTAGAGTGGAGAATCTTGAGTTTAAGACTATCCTGGGCTATATCATGAGACTTTGTCTCCAAAAACAAACCAAAAGCCATATAAAGTAACACTAGCAGATAGAGGAGCTAGAATTCAAGGTATTTTCGTATATACTGTTGTCAGAAGGGTTATATTTTATTCAGCAAGTGCCCAAATCATATGATACAATCAGCAATGGAGGAGGAAGGACTGGCTTCTCTCCCTGTTCATGATGGGGCTGTAAATTTTATTAGAACTGTCCTCAGTTTAGTTCTGGGAGTTAGACCATTTTAGAACAGAAGAGATGGTAGAGACCATCTTACCTAGAAACAGAATGTCTTCTGCGGGGCGTAGTCCTTCGTTTCCTCTGTTCTCCATTATGTGTACTTATGCAGTTTTTTTTCTCTCTCTCTCCATCCCCCTCTTACCTCAAGATAAATTAAAGCCTTTTTTGTGCTATAATATATCAGTGTATCCAGTGCTGGGACAAGAAGTGGGCCAGCCATATACCATCCAAGCTTACGCCAAAGAAGGAGGTACGTGTTGCTCAACCTTGGCGGAAGCCCACTTTTGTGAATTCAGATGCTGGGTTGTCATCAGGTCCAATTCTACCACAGCTTAATCTTCCCTTTCAAACGTGTTTGGCACACCTGGACCCAGTTACAGCATCATTAGATTTCAAAGGTGGGCAGATATAAATAAAGAGTTCAACAGACCTGGTCACTTCCCCCTTTACAAAGGGGAAATCGAGGTTCACAGAGGCGAAACTCCTTGCCTGACGGCACAACACAGCAGCAACTAGCGCTGGAACCAAAGTTAGCGTTAATGAAGATCAATCCAGGAAGCCCATCAAGTTCATCAGATACTCGTTGAAAGTGATTCTCTGTGAGTGTGTGCATGCTGGCCGTGTGTGTTTTGGTGCACATGTGTGGAGGCCAGATGTCAAATCTCGCTTGTCATTTCTTGGGAGCCATCCACCTTCTTGATTTTTTGAGACTGTCTCCCTGGGACCTGGGGCTTCCCCACCAGTCTAGGCTGGTTTGCCAGCAATCCCCAGAGATCTGCCTGTCTCTATCGCTTCAGCTCTGATATTACAAGCCAAGTCACCATGGCCAGCTTAACTGGACCTCAGGATTGCATGGCAAACGCTTTAGCCACTGGGCTGATGTCTTGCAGCCTCCGGGATATCTTTTAAGTGCTGGGTGGTGGTGGCACACGCCTTTAATCCCAGCACTCGGGAGGCAGAGACAGGTGGATCTCTGTGAGTTCGAGACCAGCCTGGTCTACAAGAGCTAGTTCCTGCACATTGCTCAGATTGTTTTTCATCTTTTTGAAAGTTAGCATCTTCTAGCTTCAACGCTGGCAACTGTCTCCTGATGTATACAGTTCGGCCAGGGAGGTTAGCCTTCAGCTGATCATAGCTGTGCTTTACATATAGAAATGAAAGCTGGGTGATCATTGGAATGGGGGACCTATAAGAAAGCACATTTTCTTGGTGCTTTGAAATTCCTTGTGGTCATATATGATAGGCCTGACTGAAAACAAAAGAAACAACCTGTACAAACTAGTTGATGCATCCACCTTATTTCACCCCCAGCATTTCAGGTCTTACTTGAACAATGGTAGCAACTCTGGGGTAGGTGCGGATCTTCCTGGGTGGGATTCAATCTTTGTGGTTTTTTTTTTTTTCATCTCCCTGTCCTCTGAAGCTCCATCCGAAGGTCCTAGGACCAGGGTGGAGAACATCGGTCTGAAGACAGCCACAGTCGTATGGGAAGAGATTCCCAAGAATAGAAGAATGGGATTTATCAATAACTACACCATATTTTGCCAAGCTGAAGGTGAAAAAGAATTCTGTAAGTGTTCTCAAGCTGAGCAAACTCAATCGGCCCCTCTCCCCAGATGATGTGACTTAGACCTGACACAGGAGGGGACTTCCAGGGCTATGATCTGTACCTTACACACATACCTAGCCTCTTTGTACCTCTCTGCATGTAGAGTCAAGAGCACCACCTCATGAAATAGTTGAAAGAGTTTAAAGAAGAATGTAGGCAAGCCCCCTAAAGAGGAATGGGGGTCGCTGAAGTGATTTCTCCTGCTCAGTCACGGAATGGTTTGACCCACCCCCTCAGACTCCCACGACCATTATTCCTAGCGGGATCCACCCAGCTTAAGGAGTGGGTTCATGTGCGGGGACAGACTTTGTCTGGTGGCACTGCCTGGCTGCAGAGCTCTACCACCCACTACCCTGGGTGCTTCATTTTAAGTCCACAGTATCTCCTGGCACCGTAAACTCTGGGCTATGTTTGGATTCTCATTTAGGTTAAATTTGATTTTGTTATGGTAGGGTATACATAATGTAAAAATTAGCACTAAACATTTTTAGATCTTAAGAACGTTTATCGTATTGCGTAGCCATCACCTTTCTCTGTTTCTTCTCCCTATGAGAGCTCTGTATTCTTTAATCAGTGGCTCCCATTTCCCTCCCCCCACAGCCTCTGGAAACTACCAGACTGTCTACTCATTGCGTGCTCAGATTATTTCAAAGACATAATCGGGGCTGCGGGGGCAGCTCAGAGTCCAAGCACTTACCCAACATGCACGAGGCTCTGAGTTCACTGCAAAATAAGATAAATAAATCTTACAGTGTATATCTCATTTAGAAAACTATTTTTCTCTAGTCACTAAGGATATGAAGCAGCCCTCTGTATAGTCATTAGCCGCTTGTCCATCTTCTTCAGAGAAATATCCTCTTAACTTCTTCACCCATTTTAACATTGGGTTGTCTTTGTGGTTTTGAGTTATGAGTTCTTTATATTGTGGGTACAAGCTCCTTATTAAATATATAACTTACAAATATTTTCTTAATTTTGTAGATAGTTGTTCCAGTCTTACACTGTCTTTTGATGGACAAAGGCATTTTAATTTTAATGAAGTTCAGATTACTATTGTTTTATATAGTTGCTCATGCTTGGGTATCATATTTTTAAAAACCATTCACAATTTAAAGTTGTGACTTATTTATTTTGGCTTTTGAAGAGTTTTATACTTTTAGCTCTTATATTTAGGTCTTTGTTCCATCTCGATGGACTTGAATTAAGCAAAAGTTGAGAGAGGGCTGGCTAGAATTTCAGGCCAGGGCTCTGAGGGTCAGCACTAATGCGCACTTTCAGTTTGGCTTGCTGAACTGTTCAGCTTCTGTCTCTCCCTCCAGCCAAGACAGTTAACTCACAAGTCCTGCAGTATGACCTGGAGTCTTTGACACGAAGGACCTCTTATACCGTATGGGTTGTGGCCAACACTGGAGCTGGGGGGACCAATGGGGAAACTATAAACTTCAGGACCTCGTCAATCAGTGAGTACCAGCTTCAGGCCTCCGCGTGGAGTTTCCCTTGGGTGGGAGATGCCATTTGGCAAGAGCCGGAAAGCCAGCAGAATGCAGCAGAGCATGAAGCCTTGTGCTCTCTCTGGGTCGGCCACCTCCCTGAAAGAGGAACACCAAGGAGCTGCAGAGGAGCAGGCGCACTGAGGGCTGAGTAAGACAGACTGCTCACTTTGCTTCTCCTTCCTGATAGGCAGCCCCCCAATAGCCTTTGGGAAAGCAATCAACTTCAGCCTCAGCCATGAATAGTTCCAGGGCAGGCTGTCATCCCCTCACGCTCGCTAGTTCCTAAATGTCAGGGGTTGTGCAACAGAACCTCGGAAGAAAAAACTGGCCGATCAGAGGTCACCGGTGAACAGGAAGAGAGACTCAGTGTCACCATCGGTGGGGTTTTTGAGCAAAAAGATGTGTGTGTGTGTGTGTGTGTGTGTGTGTGTGTGTGTGTGTGTATTCAGCTTACCAGCTTTTACTTTGAAAACACGGAGAGCAAGAAGACCTTGATAGATTAACAAGCATGTAAAATGTAGTGGTTCATATGGTTGTTGGCTAAGGGAGATAGGTAGTAGGAAGGCAGTGGATGTGTTCTAGATGAAGGAAAAAGAAGGGAAAAGCCTGCTCTACAGAGCGTGTTCCAGGATGGCAGGGGCTACCCAGGAGGACCCTGTTTCAGAAAACTGGAAAAACAAAACACACGGAACACGGTTAGGTTTTGCAATAACGAGTACAAGCCAAGAAAAGAGTCTTCTTGTGCGTCTCAAAATCCTTTTGTGATTCATACTCCCCAAAAGCATAAAACAGACGGTGCCTCTGGGAACCACGAGCAGAGCATCTGCCTTTGCACAGAAAGCATGTTCTCCTCCATGGACGAGCAATGTCATCTTGGCATTCTCTTTGATGCTGCCTTTGAAAAATTCTTTTAAAAAAAATCATGCTGTGTTTTCAGAGCACTGGATACAAGTTGGGCAGATCATGGTATTTTCTCTCAGGATCAAGCTGAGAACAAGATCCTGTGTCGGAGCCTAGGATTTCCCTCTTTGGTTTGTAGATTAGATTACAGACCACTCAACTTCCGTTCACCCCACCTTTTTTTTTTTTCTTTTGAAAATGTGTGTAGCTGAGTGAACTTACGTGGACCACATACAGAAGAGGGTTCGCATCACCGGGAACTGGAGTTATAGGCAGTTGTGAGCAGCCATGTGGGTGTTGAGAGCTGGACCTGGGTCTTCTGCAAGAGCAGCTAGTGTTCTTACCTGTCTCTCAGCCCTCTACAAGACACTCAGACACAGAGGTCACAGTTTCAAGTTCTACATTCCCTGTAGAAAACCCACCGGTCACTGCCCGCCCCTTGCCTCCTTTCACTCCCTGCCTCTGTTTCTCTCACTTGCTCCTTCTCCAAGGCTTGTGCATCTCCTGGAGTGCTTTTCTCTGTAGTGGTGCAGGGCAGCTCTTTCTCGTGAGCATACCTAACCATGGTGCTATATGCCAGCCTCGGCACGCAAGAGGTAGAGGCAGGAACATGGGAGGTGTAAGGCTAGATCAGTCTACATGGTGAGTTCAGGCCAGTGTGGGCTACACAATGAGGCAGACCCTATCTAAAAAATTAAATAAATGATACATAAATGCAAAATTAAGTTGTTAACCTCCCTCCACCTTACCCTCTATTCTGTTTTAGATTCTGTAGAAGAACAAAATGGATATGGTTTATGTAGGTGGAGTCTAGGTTTTCCAACAGTGGTCATCAGCATGCTGTCCAAACAGAGACCCTGGGAGCCACTCAGTTTTAGAATAAGATCTGGGTTAATTATACAGTCCCTGTCTAAAGCTGGAGGCCTGGAAGCTCTCTGGAGAGTTGTTAGAGTGAGTCCATGTCCAAAGCCTAGCTAAGCTGAAGTCTGAAATCCATGGGTAATGCCTCTAGCAATCAACATTCAGGCTTAGGAAGAAGGGAACTTGCCCTTGCTGACTGGCTTTCTCTTTTTCCACTTTTATCCTATTCGGGTCCCTGAATGTTGGTACTGCTGACATTCATGGTGGGTCTTCCCCTAAGCTGCTCTCCAGTTCAGTCTCTCTGAACACACCCTCACAGAGACACAGAAGCACACTTTTACTGTTCTGTAGGCATCCCTCCATCCAGGCAAATCAATAGTTAGATTAAGTGTCAGAGTTTTACTGTGTGTGTCTTTCTACCCCAGCATATAAGAACCAGTGAGTAAGGATCTGGTATTTCTTGCTTTCTTATTTGTTTTATTTCTCAGAATGATGTCTGGCCAATAGCTATGCTCAGTAAGTCCTGACTGAATGAATGAAGTTGAAAGATGACCCTGGTGAACACATCTATCAGTATATAATGTGTAATGCTTGAAGATGTCATGACGAAGCCCGTTGTTCTGTATAAGTGATATATACTTATACAAAAGAAAAATATCAACATTTATCATATCACATGGGGGAAAGACAGCTAGATGGGGAACCAAAATTCCAATGGTTTTAATAGAAAGAAATTGAATTCAAGTAGAAGAAAACTAATGAGAGATGTTGCTGAGGCTAAAAGAAAACGTTATTTGATTTTTGTCAATGAATCGGGGAAGTATATTGACAATGGTATTTTGTTCTCTTTGTTGCAAAGGTGTCTTTGAAATTATCCTCCTGACATCTCTGGTTGGAGGAGGCCTTCTCCTCCTTAGCATCTTCACGGTGACGTCTGGTCTCAAAAAGCCAAAGTGAGTTTCTAATCGAAAGTGATTATCTTTAAAATGAGCAGCAGAGGGGCTGGCGAGATGGCTCAGCGGTTAAGAGCACTGACTGCTCTTCCAGAGGACCTGGGTTCAATTCCCAGCACCCACAAGGCAGCTCACAACTGTCTGAAAATGCAGTTCCACGAGATCTGACACCTTCACACCAATGCACATAAAATAAAGTTAAATCAATCATTAAAGAATTTAAAATAAAATAAAATAAAATGAGCAGCAGAAAGCAGTGGAAGGCGCCGTGGCCCTGGTATCAGAGGGCGTTCCTTCCTGAGGGGGTGGCATTCATTCATTCCTTTGGCTCATCTTTGTGGAAATGATTACAGGGCACACCCTCGGACTCATCAGAACTCTAACAAACAAGAAGACGTATTTGTTCAGGTCTGTACACCAAGTCTAGATTCCTCTGAGACCAGGGAGTACCAGCTGCCCCATAGGCTCTTTCTGTCAGTGTCTGTTTATTACCTGACGCTGGTGTGGAGAGGAGACTGAGCCCTGGGATCAGGGCGTTAGCCAGCTGGGTGGGAACAGAGACCTGTTCTTTGTGGTGCAGAGTTGGAAGGCTGGCTGCAGGCACATTTGTCCTGCTTGCTCTTGCCAGTGTGGGGGAAATGTTTGTCTTTAGCATCTTGTATTACTCCCTGCAGTGAGCCTTATGCTGCCCCAGTTTCTCCCTGGTAGAGCACTCTAGAGTGGCCCTTGAGCTTCCTCTGCCCAGCAGCTGTGATTCATTCGTGATTAAGCACACGTCAACGTCAACACATCAATTACCAACAGTGTGGTGAGGCCAAGTCACAGCCCAGGTTTTTGTACACCGTGCTCTTGAGTAACCAGCTTTAATCTTGGCACATGTCAAAATCAGGTCCTGCCCCAAGGGCGTCTGACTCAGAGTTCTGGGATAAGACTAGGGATCTGGATTTTGATTACTTGGTGATACTGGTGCTGAAGTTGGGAACATGCTTTGGGGACCACTATGTAGAAGCGTGGGTGGTTAGTATATTAACTGCTCCCAAGAATATATTTGCCAAGAGTGGCTGTAATTCAGTTTCCATCATCAGGACAGGGGTAGGGATGCAGGGGTGATGGAAAAAGGAAGGTAAGGACATAATTACATGGGGGAAGCATGCATCTCCTGTGGTATCCCATAGACAACTGCTTCATATTTCCTGCCAGGCTAGAGTGTGGAAGTTTACACTTATTGAATAGGGAGCTATGCAGTTACCTTCTGTCATTCCTTTTCTATTGCTAAGATAAGACACTGTGCCAAGGCAGCTTATAAACGTTTTATTTGAGACTTCCAGTTTCAGAGGGTTAGAGTCCATGATGGTTACAGCAGGGAGCGTGCCAGGAGGCTGAATGGGCTCTGGAGCAGGATCTGAGCGCTCACATCTCGAGGCACAGCCGTATGAGACCGATATGGGTGGGCTTCTGAAACCTCAAGGCCTGCCCCCAGTGACACACCTCTTCTTACAAGGTCACAGTTCTACCAACTGGGGTCCAGGTATTCGAACATATGAGCCTGTGGGGGACATTCTAATTCAAATAACCATGCTCTTCTTGAACAGGGAGTCACACAGTTGCCTTTAGAAAGCCTTGCCCTTAGCTCAGCCACACACTACACATGGACTCGAGCTTACCTCCTTTTCTAAAATCTCATCTTTTAATAGCTGGTTGACTCGTCTGTGTTGTCCTGATGTTCCCAACCCTGCTGAAAGTAGTTTAGCCACATGGATCGGAGATGATTTCAAGGTACACGCTGCTGGGTTTTGTCTAGGAAACTGTAGGCTGGCTGGGGGAGGTGGAGCGGGTGGATGGGCATGGGAGAGGCTTTCCTCGGGGTTCATCGAGAAAGAACTGAAGTCTGAAAGGCCCAAGAAACAGCTGAAAGGGCAACTGGAATCAGCCTTCCTGCCATGACTTTCACCCTTCCCTCGGGGCTAGAGGAAAGAGCATCATCAGGGCCTGAGGTGTTCCCAACATAAAACCAGTCCTGAAGGTTTAACAGACTTGGCTCTGTGATGGGGAACATGAGGGCCTGACTGTCAATTCTGTGGTCATTCAGAGACACAGGGTGCTGGGGAAAGTGGTAACCCAAGGGCATCTTTCCGATGGAGAGAGTTAGAGTCAAAAATTATTTAATTGGCAGTAGCGTTTCCTTATATATTTTTCCAAGTAGAAATCCTCCTTTTAAGTATGTTTTTAAATAGGAAACTTGAAAAATGCCTAAGTTATGATTTCCCCCTTAAAAGTAAATCAGCTCAGTGGACCATAGCTCTTAAATCCTTATTATTGAATGCCCTTTCATAGGTTTTCCTTGATGCAAGAATTTAAAATGTTAGTCTTTTTTTTTTCAACTCAGAATTTATTTTTCTAAAGGGGCATTTTTGTAATGAACTGTTTCTGTTCCCTCCTTTTCTTGTGTTCTATGTTGGCCCCTTTGTTCTCCTGTTTATTAAGTCAATGAAATGTACTCTGCAGAGTGTGCAGGTCAGGCCTCTGCAGCATGCACTGGCTAATTCTCAACTGCCTGCCGGGCGCGGGCCAGCAGGAGACAAAGATGGCAGAGCCCTGCCCTGTTGTCGGGTGGCCTTGGATTTCCTGATGGTGTCTACCTTTATGGTTTCCCCCTAAGGGTTCTCATCTCACCTGGAGCTTTGCAGATACGCTGTGGAAGAGAGACTTGAACTCTCTAGAGGGAGTGTGGGCCCTGGGGTGCTGCTCCTCAGCTCCTGAGGAAGTGGGGGGGGTCACCATCTGGACCAGTGAGAGATGTGGGGGGCTGTACATGGGGGCAGGGAGTCTGTGTCCCAAATCTAATGATTCAGCTCTGCCGTTTGCACTCCTCACGTGACTCCCGGGGTGTTTGCCCCCTTTTCTTTCTGTAGAGAAAGTCCAGTCCGAAGGAGTCTGACAACCCTGGGAGCACAGAAGACAGGATCCTAAAACCATGCTCTATCCCCGCTGACCTCATTGACAAGTTGGTGGTAAACTTCGAAAACTTTCTGGAAGTCCTTTCCGCAGAGGAAGCTAGGAAAGGTCAGGAGAGCATTCTGGGAGGAGAGGCCAATGAGTATGTGACCTCTCCGTCGAGGCCTGACTGTCCCCCAGGGGGAAGCTTTAAGAGGCCCCCTGCAACCGAGGTTATTCCTGGAGACACCCATAACCAGGGTTTGGGAACAACTGAAGAGACATACACAGAATTCGATGAGCAACTTCTGTCTTCCCGTCGGAGTCCAGGACCAGAGCCTCTCAGTGAGGAGCGACCTCCGAATCCGTATCTGAAAAATTCAGTGACCACCAGGGAGTTTCTTGTGCATGGAAATATCCCAGAGCACACCAAGAGAGAAATCTAAGCGCCGCTGAGGAGTGAGCCCTCGCAGACTGCGTGGGTCCCTTCCCTAGCAAAGACACCGCGAGACTTCCAGAAGTCTTCTTTGGCCCCTCCCCATTCGTTTTGCTGCTAAGTCTCTAGGAACATGGTGACACAGATGTCAACTTGTTCTAGGAAGAAGGAAGTGCTTTACAAAGAAAATCAAGTCACTTTCTTCCAAGTACTCTCGCCCAGCCCCTTTGAGACAATGACTTCGAGAGAAGGACCCAGTTTCAGATCCTAAAGGACGAAGTTACCCAGCCACTGCTGAAGCTGCCCTGAGGGTTCCAGGACGGTTGTTTGGTTGGTACTTGATTCCTGTGGGAATCTGATCTCTACCCTTCCTCACCCTGTTCCTGAACAAGATTTCTCCCTTTGGTGCAGAGGCCAGGAAGTGGAGTGGCTTCCTAATGGTTTGCCAGGCTCCTTAGCCCTTGCTCCATCTCAAGGGTCTTCCTCATGCCCTTCCTAGGACTCTTCACCACCAATTTATATTTAGTTTTTTATTTTTGCAACACTCGGGGATGAACCCAGCAGGGTCTTGTTTATGTTAGGCAAGTGTTCTCCACATCCCATCCGCCCCAGGTTTATTACACACCGACAGCTAGTAAATCAGGAAATGGGAGACGCTCCAGAAAGGCACTGGTCTGGACCGTGGGCTAGGCAGCAGGTATGCCTGCTCTGTTGGCCATTTCTCTTCTGGCTTGCGCCGTATCTGGTAGTAGAAGGCACCAAACATTGCAGTGGCTGTTGTTCAGAGACACTGCCTCTCACGCTGGCGTGGAGCCCAGGAATGCTTACTGAGCAGACTGGAAAAGGTCTCTCCCAGCCACACACAATCAGGGCCTGGGAGCACACAGTGCTCAGCAACTTCACTGCTGTGTCCTGAGACCTCTGCCCCTTTGCTATAGCCAAGCACAGAGCTCGTGACCAGAGGGAGTGTGTGTGTGTGTGGGGGGGGGGGGGGTATTTGCTTGGGCCTGTGCAGCTGTGCACAGTAGTGGGCCGATCCCTGGGAACCTGATGAGATCACAGTGGGCGGGACAGTGGCTGAGTGACAGGAGGTGATGGGCAGCCAGGAAGCAAGAAGAGTTTGAGTAGGCGGTGCTTGGGTTACAGACATACATTTCACAAACCACCATTCAGTTGTGCAAATGCGTCGCTTTCCTTTCCTCTCAGTAGAATTCATCTCTAGCCCAAGACCCTGACATTTCGAGATAATGACAGACCAATGTTGCTGTCAAGACTTGACCTCCCCAGTCCTCCCTGGGACGGATTCTGAGGATGTTTGAGAGCCTGGTGTCTGCAGGGCTGCATTTGAAGTCTTCTAGAGTCATGTGTTTGTCCAGACATGGTTTGATAGTGGATTCACGCATTTGTCCTTTTGGGTCATCAGTCACTTGGCTGCAATCTTACTGTGGGCACAGGAAGTTGAGGCTGCTTCCCAAAGCCTCCCTCCCTCCATAGGCCATTTAAAAATTGTGTCTCAGTGGCTGCAGTCTTCCCCAGCCCCGCCCTTTGTCCCTAGTGAAGGTTTATAGGTCAGGGAACCAGGGAGGGACCTGAGGGGACCCGACTCTCATTTTGGAGATCACCCTCCTATCCCTTGTCTTGCCCTCAAGCCTAGAAAGTGATTTAACCAAAGGGCCATTTGATCCTAGGCCACCCTGAACCCGTTCCCTTCCTGCTGTGTAGCTCAGCACAGCTCCTCAGAGCCTCTCCCCCAGGAATCCCTGACTGGAGAGGCTCAACTCAGCCTTCCAGCTTGACCTGGGGAGGGATAATGAAGGGCCCTCCTACACCTCTTCTCTCTGACCCTTCAGCCTCTAGCTGGGGATCATGGGAGGTTAGTGGAGCTGGTGAAGTCTCAAGAGGGTCACAGAAAAAAAAAGGCATGATGATGCTTTTGAATCTTAAGCCCACGAACAGTGGAGAGAGAGAAAAAGAGAGGTGGAGAGAACACACATGTGTGCAAACACACACACACACACACACAAAATGCCCTCTGCCTACCTCTGCTACCCTGGCATCACAGATGCCAGCGGCATCCTGGGTTGTCTTTTGCACCAGCTGTTCTGCCCCCTTCTGTTTCATTTCAGCCTCCCTGGTCTGCCCTCCCCTTTTTTCAGGTGCTATCTCCACTTCTTTTCAGTTTTTTCTCTCCCTCTCGGCCTCCTTGTGCCACACCCCTGATTTACCTTCGTTGCCCTTGGTGGGTAGGATTGTTGAAGGCCCTGTGTTGTCCCAGGTGGGCTTTGGGGTGGTCCCAGCAGAGCCAGCTCTAGGGACAGTTGGTTTTCTTTTCACATTGCATTCTCCAGGCGGAATCACAGGATGCAGGCTCAGAGGCCATGACGGATTCCTCTCCTGAATCCACTCACCATAGACATCCACTCTTAGCATCCAGGGGTTTGCTCCCTGGGTAAAGAAGGCCATCTGTGTTTTCTCTCTTTTCTGTCAAAGAAAAAGGATGAGCCAGCCAATGTAGGAGCCAGCCATGATAAGCTAAATAGAAACAGACCACCCAAAGGAAGTTCTTTACTTCCAACCATTATCACCTGCCAGTGTAGGACTCAGCCATCCTTAAGTTTAATGGAGGCCTGCGGCTCAGTAGTTTACCCTGAAACAACACCGGGTTGCAGGAAGAACCACAGACTGAGATTACCTGAGCACCACCCAAGAGCAGACCATCCAAAGGAAATGCCTAACGTTCTAATCTGAAATTAAAATTTCAGGGCTTGCAAATGAAGCTTACTGGAGGAGGGGCTAACCATGCCTCATTTACCTATTATCTGTGGCTGCTCCCCTTTCTGCCCATTTGCAACTTCAGTAACTGGCAGAGACTTAGGATGATGGCAGAGCCTGTGGTGTATCCCATTTGCCCCTTTGTCAAAGCTCCGGGGGACTTCTGCTCCTGTGTAGGGCTCAGACATCATTAACTCTGAACTAGCTGCTAAATAAAAAAAAAAAAAAAAAAAAAAAAAAAAAAAAAAAAAAAAAGCAAGGCACTGGGAGGCGGCTTAGCTGATAATTGTGTTTGTCAAACAAATGTGAGTACCTGAGCACAAATTCCCCAGGACCCACATAAAAATCTGGGTGTCACCATGGATGTTTATAACGTCAGGACTGCAGGGTGGAGACGGGAGCGTTCCTGGGGTGCGCTAGCCTCCAGCCTGGCTTTTCATTCAGCGACAGACCCTGTCTCAAGGGAACAAGACAGAGAGTGATGAAGGAAGACACCCAGCCTCCCTTTCTGACCTCTGGGCACATGCATGGGCACACATCATACACATATGTAGGCACACAACCCACAACAAAACCAGGATATCTTTCTGGTTTTCTAGTTGAGCACCTGGCTCCTGTAGAAGGGCACACACTGGGGGCCCAGCCCTTATCAGTCCCTATCCTCTACCCAGCCCTGTGGAGAGCTGGCATCTATTTGTCATCTGTTTGTCGTTTGTACTGGTTGTTCTCAGTCAGGGTGAGTTTGCCCTCCCGCCTACAACGTCAGAGGAGCCATGCCTGGAGATGCTCTGACTGCCGTGGCTGAGATGGGTGCTACTGGCATCTAGTGGGCAGCAGCCAGCAGGGCTGAAATCTTGCCTACAGGGCACGACCAGCCTCATCCTCGTGGCTAAGGAACTGGTCTCCAGATGCCAGCAATGCTGGGGTGGAATGCTTAGAACAGCCGCCCTAACGTCCATGTGTTTGCACGCTGTGGCTTCTGAGGCAGTCCTTAGTCAACACTGTTGTGCTGAACATCTTTTTAGTCCAGGGAGTGACTATGATAAACATCTTTGTTCAGGGGAGCTTTTCTTACTTTTGTCCTGTCTACTTGGAGCTGTTTACAAAGCTGAATTTGCTGAAGGTTTTATGATCACATCTTTCCTGATATGACTTCTTAAGGCTACAGTGATTTTTGGTGCTATCAGAGATGCCTGAGGGGTAGTTGGTACTTTTCCATTGACAGCCTGCTCTTTCACTGCTGTGAGCTTGATTTTGCTTTTGTTAATTGTTTTTTGAGAACGTTAACTATGATAAGTGTCCCTTTAAGAGACAAGCCCCGTCCATTCCCTCCCCCACCCTCCTCCGAGGCAAGGGGATCTTCTCTCCATCCAGCTTGAGTTTCTTTGTTCCCATCTCTCTCCCAAAGAGGAAGCTTCTCCTCTCCTCTCCTCCTCCACTCCCCCTCCTGTTTCTCTTTCTTTCTCTGCCTCTCTTTGACTTCCCCCTTCCCCTTTTCCCTTTCCCCTCCATAACCCACTAAATAAATACCCACTTCCTCTGCATGGTGTACCCATCTATCTCTGTCTCTCGCCCGTAGGTGGCTCCCTACCTGGGACCTGCTGGCCCTCGTGGCCTGCTGCTGCATCCCTCGGGGAACTGCAGTGTTTTATCTAAACCATAACAATAAGTCCTATCTATAATCAGTTATGTGGTGTTGGTGTCTTGCCCTCTTATTATGGGGGTCTGGGAGAATGGAGCCTAGAGAGGACACTACAGGTCCTCATTCCCTCTGCACATTGGGGTCAGTGGAGAGTTTTTACACAAGCACAAACAGCGCCAGCCCATGGTGCAGGAGCCCAGAGGTCACAACTGCCCCTCTGTATTGAGTTCTGTGTGCAGAGTCCTGAGCAAGGGACGTGCCCTGAGCTGCCACGAAGGATCTAGAGGAAGCTGAGTCAGCAGGGGCTTCCAGAGCTCTTCAGAGAAGGTGGGATACATATATTGCCAACTTCACTCATAGACATGGGGTCTTTTATCCTTCTCAACTATTATGAATGGGGCAAGATGGGAGAGAACTGTCTTGAGGCCTAGACTTGAAATGAAAATAAAATAAAAATACGCAAACCAGAAAAATTACAGAGTCCGATGATTGCAGCAGAAATCATTCTGCATCCCTGGAGGTTGGGCATGTCTGCTTCTCCACAGATTTATTATGTGTCTGGGTAATGTATGACTCTGTGGTGCAGCGTGGGGAGGAAGACATGCGGACTGCTACAGGGGGGAACATTCCAGGTACTTCATTGTCAACATGTTTGTATTTGACCATCCGTGTAATAAAGACATAAGACCGCCTTTGTAATTTTCTATACGTCTAAGGTTTCACCTCCTTCATTCTGTCATCCGTTAACCTGGCCAGGTGTGATGGTGCAGAGGGGGAGGCAGCGGCAGGAGGATTGCTGCAGGTTTGAAGCCAGTCTTGTCTACACAGAAAGACAGCCATGATTGCAGAGAGCAAGGGCAGCCCACAGTGAACAGAGATCAGGGCGTGTGGTGGTGGAGGGATGAACCCCAGGTGACCAGGACTCCCCAGGTCGTCACGTCGCTGTTCCTCCTCCCAGGAATCCCGTCTTCCACGAAGTCTCCTGTCAGCTGAGCCCCTTCATTACTATTGCACATCATCATCATCAATTTAATTAAGCAAACATAATTATTTTAGAGTCGTATCGGTTGGAAGTCCAATCGGGTCTCTCTGGGCCCTAGTCACAGCTGCGCCACGTTCTGGAGAAGCATGTTGACCCTTCCTAGCTTCTAGAATGTGCCCTCCTCTGCCAGGGCCCACAGATGTGAGTCTGTTCCACCTTTACCAGAGGTCAGAGAGTGCGAGCTTGTTTTGCTCTTTCAAAGTTGTTGACAAGTGGCTACAAAACAGGAGGTCCTGACCTCGAGTGGCTAAGTAGTATTTTGAGTGCAGAGGTGTATGAGCTCCAGCTTGACCAAAGGCCAGAGATGCTCTTGAATGAAGTCTGTTGCTCCCCCTCCCATTTTGGAGTGGGGTATGAAAAGACGTGGAAAATAAAGGGGCGGCTCAGTGTTCACTGAATTTCCCTCCCGATGCTGTTCTGTGTTCTGTCTCTTATTTTTCTCTTATCTCTGTTCACTTTTAATAATTCTAATCTTCATTCTGCTACATTGGAACTTGTGAATCCAGTTGAGGCTGGTCCTTGACACTCCTCCTGTGGCTGTGGCCTCTCCCTCCCTCTACTAAGTCATCAGGGCTGTATTCCTCTGCTTTCCCGCAGTCATGCCTCTCTCCACCTGGTGGGGCGGCAGGCAGTTTGAGGCTTGGACTTCATCTTATTGTCGACACCCTGCCTAGAAACCCTACACCTAGAACTGGGCCTCTGACACTCCCTAGCTCCCATCAGGCCACGGGCCCAGCTGCACTTCTGCCCTTCGGCTTTGCAGAGATAGCAAGTCTTTCTTGGGGGGGGGGGGCGGGGCACAGAGCAAACACGTGCGCAACACCATCTGCAGGCAGGCTCCGAGAAATAGAGGAGTCTGGGAGGGGCACAGGAAGGGCGGGGTTAAGCACTTCCGTCTCAGTTCAGAATCCCAGGTGGCCCACGGGACGCACAGGTGCACAGCAACTAACGAAATGTTCAGAGCCCTAGGAGGGCTGAGACCAGAAGTGGGTCGGGTGTGGCCATGTACACCAGTAATCCCAGCATAGTACACGGGAGACAGGTAGGGAAGGAGCATTGGAAGTCACCCTAGAGTATGTCGTGGACCCTGTCTCAAAACAACAAAAACCAACCGATGATCCATCCGTCCATCGATCCATCCGTCTGTACGTCTGTCTGTCCATTCATCCATCCATGTAGCTATCCAACCAGCCAACCCAACAACCACAGCTAGACATGGGGACATCCCTGGTCTCTGTGCCTCACAGCAGCTCTAAAAAGCACACCTGCAGCAGTGAGGCTGGAGCGCACCCAGAGTAGTGTAGCTAGCCTTTCCACAACCAAGAGTTTACTTAGACACTAGGCTGTCCATTTTTAGTGCGTTATCGATATGCACTAAGGGGTCTGCCCAGCCCCTCCCCCCTCCCCAGATATGTTTATCTACCCGGCTGTGCTGCCCTCCAGGAAATCAATAGGAGTTCCAGGAAAAAGGACAACTTGCTGGCTGTTGGTTTCTGCACAAGCCTGGCAACAGCCTCCTAGTTGATGGAGTCAGGGCATCTTATGGGTTAGCTCCAGGGAACATCCTTTTATCATCAGGCGGCAGGCTCCGCCCAAAGGCAATTGCTCTCAGGCCTACGATATTTCCCTCCCCTTTTCTAGAATGGAGAGCCTCAGCATCCTCCCCAATCCAAATTAAAACCAGAAACAGCAACGACAACAAAACCCAATACAAAAAACTTCTACACGAACTAGAAGACAGGAATGCATGCCTCACGAGTGTTTTCTGGAACCCCCTGAAGGTCCTGGCTGGGAAAACTGAGGGGATGAGCCCAGGACAGTCCCTTGAGCAAGGTCTATGGTATGAGGCCCGTTGCCACATAGCACTATGGATGCTTAAGATCAGGCAAGACGTGGCTAACTTGGTGTGTGGGAAGAAAGGCAGACTTGTGGGCCTAGCAGCTGGTGCATGTTTAATTCAGAGTGCAGTACCTAAGTTTGGGACCAGACCTCAGAAAGGGACAGAGGGAAGGGAGTGAGAGTTGGGAGAGCCCTGGGGACATTTACTCTTTGGTCATTATAATCCCAGGCCATGCTACCGTTTAATTATGGGCTCAATGACACAGAATTATCTGACTCAGTCTCTGCTGGTAACACTCTTTATAACGCAAGTCACAAAGCCTTCCTGGGTAGCCCCGGCTTCTACTCCCCTGGCCAACTTCTTTTCTTTCCTCTTTCTGTGGGGGCGCTGCATCTCCTGAGGGCAGTCATCAGCCACAAGCCAGCCAAAGGCTGGGAGCTCTGGCTACTCACACCCAGCTTTTGTAGGTCGAAGTCTGTGCCTCTGTGGAACTGGGAGGAGTCAGGATCAGAGGGAACCGAATTGATAGGTAAACTCACACCTTCTCCTATGCCTAGGACACTGGTGTTTGGGCACTGAAGTCCCACACCCTGATGAACCCTCGGATGCACACAACCAGTGGCTACACCCGTAGCCAAGTTCATAGCTGATCTCAGAAATGGTGTGGTGTTTTGTAGTTTGGCTTAGCCCCATGGCGGTTTGTGAGTTTTACAAGTGTTGGAGGGTCCAGAGTGGCTTAGACTAGCAGGCAAACAGCAAGCTTAGAAGGGACTTGCAACAGTTCTCAACCTGTGGGTCACAAGGTCACGACCCTATCACAGGAGTCAGTCACACAGCAGCTATCCCGTGTATCTGATATTTATTTACATCATGATTCATACCAGTAGCAAAACTACAGTTATGGAATCATGATGAAAATCATTTTATGGTCAGAGGGCACCGCAGCATGAGGAACTGTCTTAAAGGGTCGCAGCATTAGGAAGGTTGAGAAGCACTGTACTAGAACAAACAATGGGGAATGAGAAACGGTAATACGGGAGCCTGTCAGGGTCACCCGGAGGCACACGTGGCAAGATTTGTGTCTAGCTGGAGTCCCCAGGGCAAAAGTCACAAAAGTGATTCTGTGTTCCTGCAGGATTGACAGCTACAGCTACACAGGCCATCGAAGGGTGGGAGAGGTTCCATTGTTTTGGAGGAAGGGAGACCTCATGGGCTTGGAATGGTTCTAGTAGCTTCTCTAGAGGATGGCCAAGGCTGCTTACAGGTGAAGACCAGGCAGGGTGACTGGTGACCACCTCATACTGCATTGCGGACCTGTTGGTCTCTTATGAGGTACAGAATATTTGGACTTGGGTGGATCCGGGGCCAAGTATGCCTTGGCTTCTGGAGCATCAAGAACAGTGGGCGCTGGACAGATGCAGAGATAGAGCGGTTTAAGGGACGAAGCGTGACTCAGGGGTGGGCAAGTGTGTTCATTTCTCACTGAAGAGAAGCGTTTTGAGGCAGAGATTGTTCCTTCTACTTAGGGTCCTTGTTTCAGCTAGGTGTAACCAATGGAGAGACAGGCCTGTGGCATCAGCCCCGAACCTTTCGAGCCACACCCCCCACCACCACACACACCCTGGCTGCCATTAGCAGTGAGGGAAGATGAGCTGCAGGCTTCTGGAGAGCAATGGCTGCAGATGGTCCTACCTGGCTGAGGCAAAGCATGGTACTCTGTCAGCATGCCAGGCAAAATGTGCCCATGGCTATAATCACGGCGTGACTAGCATGGGTGCAACCAGCCACTTTCAGATTAAATTGAAACCCACCCTCAAGAGGTACCACGTTTGGTACTGTCAGCCCAGGCAAAACCCTTGGCTGGGGAAATGGTAGGCCCCATGGGGCAAGGAAGGTGAAGCTCTGTGGGGGCTGTGGCGCTCTTGCAATCAGAGCGCTGGGGTTACCCACACGTGACCCGCACAACTGCTGAGAAGGGAGGGAACTGGCGGTATTGCTGCTGCCTGTACGAAAGCTGCCTGTGCTTCTGTAAGGAACTCCTCCCCATGCTGCTGTGAGTCACAAACCCATCACTTCTTCACACTGGACTGGGGTGGGGTCGTCCCTTTGATCTCTCATTGCCCTCTCTCTTTGGGGTGACTATAAATAGACTCCCTAGGAAAGTTCATAAAACATGTAGTCACGTCATAGAGAGTCAGTCTCAGAGACACGGCGTGCCTTCCTCACAGCGGGAAGATTGCTTCACTGTGGGACCGACACCCATTTTAACTTGTTCTCACCAGCGAGACAGTGAACTTGGGGCCCGAGTTGAAGGTTTGCCTTGTCTCGTCCCCTAAGATGATAGGCACAGTAGCACAAGGAAGCCACCCTCGATGGATGACAACAGGACAAGTCATCGGTGCGCCGGCAGCATCTATCGTTGTCCTCTTTTGAGAGCGCAACCGTCTTCTCAGAGGTCCCATGAACGACCCTTCTATAACCCACTGGAGAATGCAGTAAATTCTGATTGCCTGCTGGCCTGTCCACCAGGGTTTTGAGTGATTGAGTTATAGCCTGCTGATTAGTGAAAGTGGGTGAATCTGGCTTAGCATGTTTTAAAGGTGGGAGAGCTGTCCTGCACCCCAGGGGTCCACATACTACCAAAATTCTGAGTTCATTGGGCTTGGTGAGGCACGCCTTTAATCCCAGCACTTAGGAGGCAGAGGCAGGGAGGTCTCTGTGAGTTTGAGGTCAGCCTGGTCTGCATAGTGAGTTCCAGGACAGCCAGGGCTTTGAAGATAGACCCTGTCTCAAAAAAAAATGAAACACTTAACTCACTTCATGTTAACTATGTATCTTTCAGCTATAACTTTTTTTTTAAAAAAAAGTCAATGAACAACATGTATTAATAAAAAGAGTAAGTATATGTTATGTTTTAAAACATGGATCTTCTCATAAAATTACTGAGATCAATTTTCCATTTTACCTTTGATTTTTTATGAGCTGTTTTTCAATGTAAATAAAATTCATCTGAAGTGATAGTGATGATCCTACCACTTAAACTATTTGTAAGAAATTGTTCCTACTTGCAATATTCTCAGAAGAACTTTAGTATATTAAAAAGTGTATTACATCTTCTAATATCATAGCAAGGACCATCCAAGTTCTAACCAAGAAAGACAGATAACACTTGTTAAAGGTTCTAATGTGTCATTTCTTTTGAAAGTATTGGGTGGGTCTCTAACTAGGAAGGGTTGGAAGTATTTATGACTTCTTAGGAATCACTTTAACATTTTTTTTTTTGGAGATAATATGCTGCTGAACTCGCCATGGTGAGTTCTTGCTATCCTCTGATGTTTGTGTCCCACATCCTGTGATTATATATACATATATTACACCACCAAAGTGGCCAATTAAAATAGGCATCAATTCTAGCCACACTTGTAAGTGTTCTACAAATGAATAACAGTTTTATAAATTCCAAGAGAATGATGCTGACATGTTTTATTACACATTTAATGAGACATTCTTTTATTTCAATTTCACAATTTTTTTTCTTGGCTTGCTGGCAATAGCTCTTTATTTAGGTTAAGTGTATTGCTTTGTAGGTTCCTGAAGAACTCAGCAGCCTTAGCTCTCCCTCATGCCAGATGTACAGATGGATGCTGTGTGTTAAAATGGACACACCCAACTAACGTTTACCCAGGAATCCCTTTGGGGACCACCGTCACTTAGACATGGCCCATGACACAAAGGTGAGATTGCTCTTCCCTTGAAGGCAGGTAGTTTCCAGCCCATGACACAAAGGTGAGATTGCTCTTCCCTTGAAGGCAGGTAGTTTCCAGGCGGAAGGCATGGGTCAGCTAAAGCTGCATCAGGTGTAGAAGCAGGAAGGGAGCGTCTAGGCTGACAGGATCTGGCCAGTTTTCCAAATGGAGCCAGTGGCCCGCTAGGTGTTAAAAGTGACATGAAAGCAGGCACTCGCGCGAGCCCAGGAAGTCTGGTGAACTGGGGTTCAAGGAGTCTGTCACTTTGGACAATTCCACAACTAACCATCTCCCCCCCCCCCTGCTCACCTGGCCACTGTCACCCCTCAGAGGACTGTCACAAATGAGAATGTTACTTTTGTACAGAAGTGAGGACAGAGACGGGAGGTATCAAAGTTCCCCAGACATAAAAGAGACACATCCAGGTGCGGTGACTTAAGGACCCACTCCCAGGTGGAAATGGTAAGGAAGCAAGAGAAACCCGATAGGATGGGGAGACCCCTGAACAGGGGAAGCTCCTGCCCTATCCACGGAAGACCCTGAGGGTAAGCGATGCTCCTCTGAGCACGTCCACCTAGGCGATGGGATGGATGTTCACACTGCCAATTGTTCAGCCACTGCTGAGACCACCCCCATGGGACGGTCAGCGCCAGTCAGCATGGCAACCCCGCTCTAGAGAAGCTGAGCAAGAGCGCTGGGCAGGCCTGCCAGACTCAGCTGAGCGCACCACACAGTGCCTTCTCGGAGGTTATTTTACCAGTCCTGGCCCCGGTTCTGGACGGGTGCTCCCCAGTGTTTAAGGCAGAACACAGTTATTTAGAGCAAGAGGGTTGTGATTTCGGCCATTTTTGAGTCTCAAAGTTGCTGCCTCCTCACCCATGGCTTCATGACTTCCCAAGCCCCGTTTTTTGTAACCTGTAGAGGGGGGAAAGGGCATCACCCTCGTGTCTGGGAGATTTAATCCAGTGCTCACAGGACTGTGTGGGGTCTGGCATGCACCGGGTGTTCTGTGAACAACGGTGGTGGTTCTTGTTGTCACCCCAAGGAAGAGTGTCTAAGAGGCTGCACCAAGTCCTCCAAAGCCCCAACTTTTCCTAAGTATGGCTTTGCACCTTTTTTCTTTTTCTCTTTCTTTCTTTCTCTCTCTCTCTCTTCTTTCTTTCTTTCTTTCTTTCTTTCTTTCTTTCTTTCTTTTCTTTCTTCTTTCTTTCACTTCAGGATGGGTCTCTGACTAGAAAGGGTTGAACTCAGGAGGGTGTGGACCAGTTGTTACTAGGAATACATGTTCTTGTCCCCTCTTGGGTGTGTAATTGTAATTTCCCTGAAAGGATGCAGACTGTTTCCCAGCTCCTGTTTTCCAGTGTAGTTGAGTGAAGACACCCTGCCCAGGCTGCATATTGTGGTCTTCGCTGTCGGCTCTTCTCTTGAGCTCTTATAGACAGCCTTGTTGGGCCTGGCATGGGTCCCTGACACCAAGATCTCCCTGGGTGCTGCCCTGGGGAGGAGGCTGGATTTCCTGGACCCAGAGCCTGGGGCCTCCTTACCAGCCATGAGAGAGCTGTTTAGATGTGTTCAGAGCTTCAGAAATGGGGTGCATCTTATTTGCCCAGTGGCTGCCTTTCCTTTTTCCCAGGACCCTTGGTCTGTCAGTTACGCTGCCTCTTGTCTTTGCTGTCCCCTTTCCTGTTGCTCTCGGCCCACTTCAGACTTCACCCAATGGTTCCCAATCTCCGGCTTTATCCCCTTTGGTCTATTTATCCCTCAAATGCTGGGTGCCCTCCTCAGAGTCAATCACTTGGAGAACTAGAAGATCTCCCACTCTCCTGCGGAGACAGGAAGCCCAGCCTAAATGCTTACACCCATCCCGAGCCCTCTGCGTGGAACAGCACACATGTAGTTGGTGGAAGGATTTGTATATATTCCTCTAAGAAAAATCAAACCAATAGACAGGTAAGACAAGCATTTTCCTTTAGGAAAACAATGACTCTTCGGAAAGCAGGAAGGACTTCTACCCACAGATAGCACATTAGAAGGCAGGCTGTGTCTCTAGGAACTGTAGTGGATATGGGATTTAAACAAATACTCCAAAGTGAAGGTTTTTGTATAAATTTCAATATAGATTAGGAGGGAAGTCTACTCCTTGGCTAGTTTGTAGGATTTGATCCACTGTGTTTCTAGATGAAACCTAAGTAGTTGGGACCTTTATCCTTGCTGGTTTAGCTTCTTGTAGAGGCAAAAGTGGAGATTGCAGCATCATGAACCAGCCACAAGGTGGCGCAGCACTCCTATATTTGGTTCCTGAGCAAATAAATGCATTAGGGGACCATGCATTGGGAGGGAAGATGTTGGAATTCCAGAATTTGTGGAGAAAATCTGAAAACTGTAACTGTCATGTCTTCTGTTCTTGAGGCCAACACGGTGTATCAGCTTATTCTAACTCCTATTCCATTATGCCAAAATAGCATTAAAAAGCCACAGAACCCTCATAAAACATCATCTATACTAAGACCCACATTAACGAACACCAAATTAACGAATACCAAAACATTATATGCACGACAGAGAGTGATGACCATGCACAGAAAACCCAACAATTTCTGTCTTAAACTTACAGGATAAGAGCTGATGTAGCGAAACACTGATGGTAAAGTCAACATAAAACTGGCAGCCTTGGCTACGCTCAGCACCTGCAACTCACTAGAGCTTTCCAAAAGAAGCTACATGGGTGACGGCAGGTGCTAAACGGTAGGCAAACCTGTGCTCAAATGAAGCACAGCTAAGAGCAAAGCCATGAAAAGGAGCCATACCTCAGGCCTATGGCCGCACTGGGCGGGCCAAGTATATTCCAACTCGGCTACGGTCTTCAAATCCTCACCTCCGTAGCATCCCTGTTTCTGACACTATTCATGAACAGCATTTGTATCTGTCATTACCCGACCACGCTGGTGGTAACAGGGCTAAATCCTCTACGGAACCAAGCCTAGTGCATTCTCATCCCAACCCATTAACAGTACTGACAACTGGTTAATTAAAAACCTAACCAGTGCTTGGGGCTTATGGGGGGGGGGGGCAAGAAGCCCTGTAAAAGTGTAAGATAAATGAGTAACGCGGTTCACCTGGAGCTGTCTTTGTATCTTGGACGCAGTGAGCAAACGCCCATCTACATGTGACAGAAAAAACAAACCACGAAGCCAAGAGATTGCACATCTAGCTGGATAAAATTCTGTCTTGACATATGAACTGATTATGAATAACTTGAAAATGGTGCCCAGCCCCAGATTAGCCAGATTGGTCTGCTGTTTTACACCTTTGAAGTCTGCAGTGCCCCATTTTACGCTAGCCCTAAACAGTTTGTCATTTGATGGCTGTGTGTTTTCCAATTTATAGGACGGCACATTTTAAAAGTAATCTTATCCAGGTCAAATAATCCTAACACCTGCAGTAGAGTGAGCCTAAGGGGTTATTGTTAATAGCTGACCTTTACAGTTTCTGCAGCTTATGGATTTCACACTTCTCCCTAAAATCCTTACAATGGAGATGGGTTAAGAACTTATTTTTAGGGGCTGGTGAGATGGCTCAGTGGTTAAGAGCACTGATTGCTCGTCCAGAGGACCTGGGTTCAATTCCCAGCACCCACGTGGCAACTTGCAGCTGTCTGTAACCCCTGTTCCAGAGAATCTGACATCGTTATATCAATGTACATGAAATAAAGTTAAGTAAATTAAAAAAAAAAGAACTTTTTAAAGCAAACTCAGTAACATGAAAAAGAAGAGTGAACTTCTAGCAAACTCCTGTTATTATTAGGTCTAGATTTATGTCACAGTTTTACTAATTATGTGGGTAGAAAAAAGAGCTTTAAAAATGGTATTTAATGTCCGAAGGTCCTCGGGCTGTCCTGCTTTAAGCCTGAGCTTTAATAAACACTTCTACTTCATTAACCTTTAGCGTCACTACAGAACTACGGTCCCCAGATGAGCTGACAAGCGTGTACCCCGGAATTCTGCAGACTGAATAAGCGAGAACCAGGTGGGGTGTGAGCTTTTCTCCCTCCCTGCTTCTGCTCCCTTGTGTCCCCGAATACCGACTGGGGGTTTGAAGAGGATTAACTTTTTTGCTTGAGTACAAAAATTCTACAGTTTCGTAATAGTGATTTAGCATTAAACCTGCACGAGACCATGGCAGGATGTGTAACCTGTGTTGACTGCTTCTTCTCTGAGGTAACTGCATTAGAAGCAAAGAACTAGCTGAGGCCAAATGAGAGGCTGTTTTCCAATGTGCCTTATTTTCAACTACGCTTCTACACATGAAAGAGTCAAGCAGTAACTACACAACTAGCTTTATTAGACTGGTTTTACATAAAGAAGCCAGATTAGTTTGCCTATCTAAAGTACAAGGTACATGCACTCAGATTATTCTAAAACATGCTGTAGCGAAGTCTCCATTTAAATCGAGTTTTATGACTGGTTCTCTCTCGGGGCAAAGCTGATCCATTAGACATTTCCCGAATGAGTTCTCATGCAGTAGCCACACAACCGTCTCTGTTGGTGAGGGCACTGGCTCACTGGGACATTTCCTGGTTGGGAGTCAACATGCAAACTTGCTTTATTGAGGCTCGTCCTTCAATGATCTCTCATGCTCACTCATGAACTTACGTTGGATAATCACCCCCAACTCCCGTGTAGACTTCAAGCTCCAATGTTCATAGCACCACTACTAGACAGGAGGAAGGCTGCAGCGAAACACGAATACAGCAATATGACTAGGCTACCTTCGGTGAGAAAATGGAAAACACAGCAAGTGTTCATTTCTTGGCATATACACATAGAAAGTTCAGTCCTGCCCCAGACCAGACATTGATGTCCAGCTTGAATGGTGATGATGCCACTGCCCTGTAGTGTGAATTCTGGTCTTGGACCCCACCTGACCTCTCTGAGCCTGACTCTGATTATCTACCTTCAGTTCTGCCATTTTCCCAGTATCAGGTTGGTTTTGCCAAGTGGGCAACTGAATATTATGAGAAGAGAAGTGTCTACTGTCTCACGATGGTTATACATGTGAAGAAAATCAGAAAAGTATCAGCTATTATAAAAATATAGATGGTAATATATATCAGCAAGTCTAATATAAACAACATTCTGAGAGTAAAAAGTAAATCTGCATCCAACCTAATGAGTTCACTCTTCATAGCCTTTTGTTTGGCAACCTCCATGAACTATTAAAATGTGCCATGCTCTCAAACTCTAAAACTTTCCCGTGAGCACACCTGGTGGTAATCAGTCACTAATGGAGAAGCCCCTGCCTCCATGTCACACTGGAAAGTTAGGCACAAACACATTAATGGCTTTAGTGCTAAGCCCTGGATACCTGGATTGTTCAATAACAAAGCAACCAGGAGGACCAAGTTTAAGATACTCCCAAGCTGCATGTAAAACTCTACCTCAGAAATGGCAGATATGAACAACACCATCTTCTGTTGGGTGTGCCTGCACACACCCAAAGTCCCAGACAGTCAGGCCGCTGGGACAGGAGGATCACTTGAGCCTAAACAACATAATGAGATGTGTGGATGGGTAGCTCAGTGGCAGAGTGAGTATCCAGCAAGTACAAGGCCATGGGTTCAATCCCCACCCAGTAAACTTTACAAGACCCTGCGGCTCCTTCAGCTCCATACAAGACCCTCTACCGCTGTGGCTGACACTGAAATCAGTGGGTGTTCTGGGATTCTGCCTGTGGCCATGGTGAAGGCAGCCTTTCAGTGAACGCCTCCTTGCTGGCCTTGAAAACAAAGCAAGGTGGAGTCAACTGGAATAATTTTATGCTGAACAAACAGTGTATAAAGTGTCTCCTCAAGCAAACGTTGGAGCCTTCTGTCCTGGTGTTTGTCTGTGTCCAGAAAAGTGTCCCTAACTTAAACAGTGATATTTAAATGCTTGAGAGAGTTTATGGTGTTCATTGCCAGCCCGATCGGTGCCTTCTACAGGGCTGCTGAAACTGGCTTGGAAAGAAGTTACCAGCCCTATGGGTGCCGTCTGCAGGGCTGCTGAAACTGGCTTGGAAAGAAGTTATCAATAAGCAGATTTTTGTGAGGTTTTGGGTGATATTAAGAAAATGGGTACTTTTACATAGTTCATTTTAAAAGTTCATTCTTTTCCTCAGTAACAACTGGTAACATTGGTAAAAACAGCAGGGCGCAAGCCAGTATTTTCTAATTGGTAGAAACAGAAATGAATCTGCCCTAACCATCTCTTTGGCCAGATGACAAAATCTGGACAGGAGGCCCTATGGCACTGCTGGCTGAGGAGGGTCTAGACCCTTGCTCCTGCGGTTTGGGTTTGGACGGTTAGTCTCATTAGAGCAGCTCAGCCGCACGGCACCGTGGCTCATTTGAATTCCCCACTCTCTATGCAGCTAAACAAAGAGCTTTACAAATCTCAGTGCAAACGTCCTGAAACAGCACAGAGTCCTTCAGCTATTCAGAGGATTAAGTCAGTTCATGTAGTGCTTGAAGGAGGATCCCAGATAACCTGGAATAGAGACGGCCCAGTTGTGACTCTGTCCTTGAGGGCGATGATTATGTCATCTGAAGTCACGGCCAGTGTTCTAGCTTTCCCTTACAGGTCCACTGAAGCTGGGCAGGAGCCAGTCTTTCACTGCGGCATGTAACCACCTTGTCTCACAGTCTGTGGCAAGTAGCTTTTAGGGATCTCATCATCCACTGCTGTCTCCATTCCAGCTGATTCAAATCCCTCTACCTGCCCCCCAGTCCCTGCGCCAAGAACATCTGCAGGGCCTTCCTGAAACAGCCCCCGCTGCACAGACCCACAGGGCTGTGAGATGTGCTCTGAAACCCGCTGCTGTTTCAGTCTGAGAAAATCCTCCTCACTGCCCGACGAGGCTTGGTTTGACCTTTCAAAATGTGAAATATCTGGACTGGCCTCAGGCTGACCGCAGTTCTGTTTGAAATACTGTTGTCTGGGCAAAATCTCATCACTGCTGTCGACATTATCTGCCAACTGCAGGTCCTCTGGCCGCTCCTCGGAGTCTAACAGGGGCTGGGTGGACTCGGACCTGGAGAAGACCTGCACTGAGGGAACCTGGTGCCTGTAGCCACTGTGCACCACAGTGGAGTACTGGACAGTGCTCGCGGTGTTCTGAGAAGACTCATTTTCCTCACTGCTAGAGATGCTGGGCCTGGAAGACGACATGCATGAAGACCCCCCAATGCCACTGCTGTGACCTTCTGTACTTATTTTTTCCTTCTTGAATAGGTCCAATGACTTCAGATCATCTGGACAAGGCTTTTTATTGTTTGCTTCTATTTCCACAACGCTCACATCAGTGAAATTGCCATCTGAATACATATGATCTTTGGAGCTAAAATTGTGCTGGAAAGAAAGAAAAATGAACAATTACTCTGGGCATATTCCAACTGTTTTAGCCATCTAAGCAAGTTCTATAACCAGCTGCAGTGCAGATAAATGAAATAAAGAAGTTTGAATCAGTGCAATTTCCAGTTTCCAAATTAACATTGTTATAAGCTATAAACAGGCTCTAAATAGTATTGAATATTTCATACTTACAGTAGGCCTAGAATTAAATAGACAAAAGAAATGCCTTGGAAACATTAAAAGTGCAAACTTGAATAAGTGAGATTTTGTAAACTATAAAATTTTACAGGTATGATTTATTAAGTTTTAGGATTTCTAGGGCTAGGAAGGGCTGCCCCTCTAGGGGGTGGTGTGTGTGACGAGTCTAGTGCAGTTCCCAGGACTCATCTGCTCAGGGTGAAGACAGCAGGATGCCACCAGCACTTAACACCCAGCCCAGATCCCTGTAACAGGCTCTTAGTTTCCATGTTCAACAAAGTCTTTGTTGTGTATACTGAACGGCATGAGGAATGCACAAACGACCCATGACAAACGATGTGCTAGAATGGATCGAGATTACTTACGGTGTGACAACTGCTATTTAAGAACTGATCTATTTTTACCAGGTCTGAATATCTTTTGGTTAAACTCTATAAACATACACTAATAAATACGCCTGTATACTATAAACAATAAGAAGATATTATCTTACCCTTGGAGGTGTGTGAGGTGACCACTGAGCAATATGACTCTTTGAAGGATCTGGAACATTTGGCCAGATATGTTTTTTAATTCTGAAGAGAAAAGAAGGGCATTTGTAGAACCATAAAACAATGAGAAGCCTTTGTCATCCAAGCATCTTAAGTACCAAACCAACAAAAATAATCTGTTATCCTAAAGTCAAACAAATTATTACTTGCTACCAAGAAAAAGATATTAGTAAAAACACATAGACTGTATTCCTAATGGAAAATGGTTAACAATACTAATGCTAATTATCAGTATTCAATTCCATTAATAAAATCAATTAAGAACTTTAGATCATAACAGGTTGTGATCAGAAACAAATGCAAAGACATTTAACTTTCAATTAAAAGTATTCAGTCAGAGAATTAAATAAAAATGGCTTACTAATATCAAGTAAAATATGATAAACTTGTTTTTTTCCCAAAAAAGATAAGACATTATGGAGCAGAAAGACAAGGTAGCAGTGGTGGCACACTCAAGTTATAAACCCAACACTCAGAAGGCAGAAACAGCACAGACAGGAGTTCAAGACTGGTCTGGGTTATATAAAACCAATCTCAAAACATAAAAATTAAAAAGAATAAACATAGTTTGGGGGAACAGAAATGAGAGTCTATAAGTATATATGGACTTACAGAAACAACTGATTTTTGGCACAGGAACAAATACATTTACTTGAAAAGATCTGTTTCAAAATTCATACAACTAGATAGGGAGGGAGAAACCTGACCCTGACCCAAACCATGCCCCAAATTAATTCAGAGTGGATTACAGATGATAGAGCTAAAACCAGTGAACTTCTAGAAGAAAACAGATGACCCCGGGGTAGACATATTTCTTAAAAAGGTTACAAAATGCAAGAACCAGAGGGAAAAGCCTGGGAAAGGACAGTTCAAAATTAAAAACTTCTGCTTTCCCAAAGTCATAGTTTAAAAAGCAAAACAAAACAAAAAACAAAGAAAACAAAAAAAAACCCCGAAAAAACAAAACACACAAACTGAAACAAAATTTGCAAAACATTTGAAAACATTTTTCGTTCTCAAGCAAAAAGAACATTTACAACTCAATATTTGCAAAACAACCCAATTTAAAAGTGGACAAAGACTGCACCAGCTACAGCATTAACAGCGAGGCGATGCATGAGAAGAGCCCCCGGGGTCAGGAAGGTGGGCATGAGACACAGGAGTGCTTGGCCACACCCACTTTCAGGAACACCTGGTACCAGGTGCCAGTAACAGTGGGATGCCTGCAAGATGGCAGCACTGGGAAAACTTGGGGCTGTTTCTTTACTCTTTCGTTGTGCTGGAGCTGGACCTAGAGGCTCACACGTGTGATATGAACGCTCTGCCATGGAGGTGCATGCCTGGCTCCAGCGGCCTCTCATAAAGTGATTATCTGAGGCCCATGAAAACATGCACCCATGCAGTTTGGAATGTGAATATTCATAGAGTATTATAAACAATAGGCAAGAATTAGCAACCTCTAAACTCCCTTATATACACTACAGACCGTATTGCAGCAGCATAAAAGAAAAAACCTCACCTGAGCAATACAATAGCATGAATGAGCTCACAAGCAGCTAAGAGTGAGACTCACAGAGACTGCAAGCACAGCAAATTCCAGCTAAGACAAAGCTACAAGGGAAACGGGCTAGTCCGTGTGGGGCAGGGGCTGAGAGAGCAGGCTAGGAGTGAGCGAGGAGGCTTTGAGAAGTGGGGACACATGGCGGTGATGCATCTGTACACAGTCAGTTCAACGGTAAACTTCAAACAGTTAAATACTATTACATAACAAACTGCAGCTCCAATGTGAGAACTGGCACTTACAGGTCTCGTTTATTAAAGCAGAACAGGACTCCCAGAAGAGTTGTCAAGAGGAACGCTAAGCACACAGGCACCACTATGGCTTCTATTTCTCCTTGAGCTAAAAGACAAAAAGTAAATGAGAAGTAACAGTTAGCACATACAAAAAGAGGAAAAAAAGCATAAGGTCCTCACTGCACACTGCCTGACAATCTGTTTATGCAGACAGTGTCTCACAACATACCCAGGCTGACCTGGCCTCACTAAGGAGCCCACCCAGGCTGTCTTGTCTGTCTTCCAAGTACCTGCACTGCAGATTATCAACCAAGTATACATTCCTTTTGCCCGCCCTGCTGGTTTTCAGTTTTGAGGTAGTCTTTCTTCTCTCTGTCCTTACTTACAAACCTGGCTATGTAGTAAGCATAAAACACACATTGGCTGGGAGGATAAAATGAGTTTAGCTCACTGGGTCATGATCATCAGAATGATAATATATCTGCTCTAAGACCAAGAATTTAAGGAGGGATGCTCACGAGGCATGAGGGTGGACAAGTAGACAACTCATTCAAGAGCAGCAAAGCGGGCCCGGTACACTGGTGCTTGCCTATAGTCTCAAGTATGCAGAAGGTGGAGGGCGGGGGAGGACTGGGAATTGGAGGCCAGACTTGAGCCTGGGCTATATCACTAGAAATACTGTCTCAAAAACAAATAAAATATTTAAAGATGCAAATAAATCTGAAATTCTTAAATGCCACACCAATCATATAGTCTATATGCTTTTAAAAGAGGACTTAACAAAGGACTCATGAGGGAGAGATGCTGGAGACATCTTAACCGATCTCCCTTGTGGCAGCACCTGGTTACCTCCTCCAGCTCTCTCCGCCTGCCTTCCCCCTGGTGCTGAGGCCTCAAGTCGGCCTGCCACATGCTAAGCTTGCGCTCTGTCATCACGGAGCTAATGCCTTTTCCTTACTCTTTATAGGAAGAAAACAGGAGCGTAACCCTTCAGAAATACAGCTTACTTATTTTTAGTTTCCTATTACATATATTCCCTTGTAAGTAACCTACATTCCATGAGAACCAACAGAAATTAAAAAAAAAAATCAGATGAATGCTAGGAATAAACTAGTAGTTGGCTTTTGTTTTTGCTTTTGAGGCAGACTTAACTTGGGACCCTCCTGTCTCCACCCCTTCCCCAGAACTGGTGGGCATACACCACGATTCTCACTCAGATGTGAATCCTGAGTGCTAGGATCCCGTGCACAGACCGACTACCTAACTTAGGGGCAGCTGCTCTCATAACTGCTGCTAAGCCAAGCTCTGCGTTTCTTGTGCCTGTCCTGGGCCCTGTGCCTGCTGTCCTCAAGATGCTTCTTTGTCCTATTTTCCACATCATATCTGCAGCTTTGCCTCCTCCAAGAACCTTCTTGAAAGGTGAAACACCCCCTGCTGATGGCTTTAGACTTGCATTGTTTGTGGATTAAATTTCCCAACTATCTGTTTTAATTACTTTTGGCAGTATCTCTCTTTTGGGGCAAGACTCCCATGCCATTTGAGGACATTGTAATGGATGCTGCAGACAGGTAACTACCACCACAACAAAATCGAATTATAAAGTAGTTTTAGTATTACTGACCCATTTTTAAAAAATGTAAATAGAGAAGAGGCATTGATAGATTACTTTAGAGACTCCTCTAAAGTAAAGAGAATTCATAATCCTCTTTTACAATGTATTGCAAAAATTTCCTATAGTGACTATGGCTTTTGCAACTAGGGAAATACTTTTAAAGTTTACTATATGTTTCAAGTATTAGCTGGTATGGATCTACGAACATGTCATCACATGGGATCTCATTCCAGAAACTACATTAATTTTCCCTTGTAGAAAAGACCAGGATTTTATGTAATCATACTCATATATTATTTTTACATTCAACCCACAATGAACATGGACATTACTATAGACCACTCCCCTAGCAGCATTTGGGAAATTACAAACAGTTTCAATAAAATAAGAGAAAGTCTACAATGATTCAAAAAAGAATGTGTTGTAAGTCTTCAGGAAAACAACAGAGCAGCCACACCAGAGGGTAAGGATGTAAACAAGGAAGGAGCGTTCACTTGCAAAGACAAGATGAGGTAAAGTAATGGACCTCTGGTCACAGGGGCAGCTGATTCCAACAGGGAATGGAGCACAAGCCACCCAGCTTCCTTCCATTATGTGAGGGACAAATACAAAGAGATCTATTACAATTACTACGAAATCTGTGGGTTTTGCAAACAGCTGGATGGCCGTGGCAGGGAGGAGAAGGTAGCTGCAGCTGTGTGTGGAGTCTATATGGGCATATGAGGAAACTGGACCAGTGACAGAGCGCTGCAGAATACAGAACCTGGAAAAGTGCAGTGCCGTCAGGTAGCCTCTCCCCAGGAGTGGCAGGGCTGGAAACTGACTTCAGTAGGGCAGCGAAGGAGCCAGACTAGGTTCTCAAGCAATCTGTCTCAAGCAGAGGGACCAAATGTAGGAAAGATGCAGACTCGACACAAACCACCCTCTGAATAGAAGAACCTACAAAGAATGGTCAGTAAGCCCTTGGGATTTCAGTACAGGTAGGCTCTGCCACCAGTTAAGCAGGTTCCAAAGGGGGAGGAATTCCTATAAAACAACAACCTAAACCAAATGAACAACATAAGCGTCCTAATGTACACACACCATTCTCTGACTCTTACCCACTCCCATCCCCACACACGCACAGCCAGGGCTCTGATGCTGTTAAGCACTTAACCACTACGCTGCATCTTCATTCGCCAACAGTGTACTTTTAAACAACGTTTCAGCAGAGTAAATCCGTTTCTAGTCAAACTTCAAATAGATAAACTTCAGGACTTCTTACCAAACTTTGGTGTTGTAAAAGTGAATTCTGGACCGTCTTTCCCGCCTTCATCTGTGTACGCTGCCATTCGTACCATGTACAATGTATCACTACTCAAAGAGGACAGTGTATATTCCGTGTGGGAAGAATCCACATTCACAACTGCAAGGAAAAATTATGTTTCTTTTATCCAGTGTATTTGATATATCTGTCATATATTTGGCTTTGTAAAGTATTAAAAAGGAATAAAAATACTTTTCCAGCAAACTTTTACAACTAACTTTAAAAAAAAAAAAAGATTTATTTATTTATTATGTATACAGTAGTCTGTGTGTATGCCTGCAGGCCAGAAGAGGGCACCAGATCTCATGACAGATGGTTGTGAGCCACCATGTGGTTGTTGGGAATTGAACTCTGAACCTTTGGAAGAGTAAGCAGTGCTCTTAACCCCTGAGCCATCTCTTCAGCCAAACTAAAAATTCTTTAAGGACAAAAAAAATATTTAAAGTTTGAAATCATCACAAAATCACATTTACTTACTACTCTGTGCATGTGTGTGAGAGAGAGACTGTGTGTGTGAGGGTCAGAGGATCACTTTTGAGAATCAGTTCTCAATTCGCTCCCCTCAAGCTCCACCATGTTGAGCTGCGGGCATTAGTCTCGATGGGCAATGCCCGGGCCTGCTGAGACACACTACCAGCTTACAATAGAGTGTTTTAGAAAACAGATTCATAAACACAACTGTAGAGACATCTGCAGGAGTCTGCTAAGGATGCTATATACTGTAAGACACATTATGTGAGAAACCAGTATTTAAGAGCTGAAGAAAAAGTTCTAGTAACAAATCCTTAGTAATTGCCACAATCTTATTACCAATTTCATTTCCAACAATGGTTCTGTAAGATATCGAGTAGTTTCTAATAAATCCATTCTGGTCATCAACAGGAAGCTGGTCCCATTCTAAGACAGCTTCATTTTTCCCCACTTTCTTCGTCCGGACAATAGGCCCTCTAGCAGGCGCTAGAAGACAGTAAATGCATCTGGTAAGTTTAGGAAGTAACACACGCCAGTAAAGAGTCATGTAATAAAGTTATTCGAACATAATAAGGATTCTTACTTAAAAGTGATTGAAGGTTTTAGGGAATGTTAAAGGCATTTCTCAAAGCAAGCGAGGAGGGGTGCACTCACCAGCTTGTTTGAGGTAGGCCTTTACTGACTCGGCGCTTCCAGGGCCACTGGAAAACACCGGAGTCACGGTGATGAGATAGCATTTGCTCTCCAGAAGGCTTCCTACAGGAACAGAAAGTAATTTCCCCCCAAATGAGAAATTTAATTTAAATTCCATGTTTACCTTATCATTTCATGACTACTTAATTTTCCTATCTTCTAGAAACTGCAGTTTTATATATAAAGTTGCCCTTCGTACACCAAATGCAAACTTAATATAGTAAGACGCTAGCTGTGTGATTCTGGCATGCGGATGGCTGAAGTGGGAGGAAGCGACCCTGGGCTACACTCTGAGTTCAGGGCTATGAGAGCTACCTAGCTGACAAACACAAAAACCAAAAGGCCACTTTTATTGACAAGAGAATGAACCAAGAAATATAAAAAGTATTAATATTGTTAACAGAAGTAGACTGCCTTTATGTTTAGGACGATTAAGTAAAACACTTCAAATTATTATGCGACGGTTTAGTGTTTTGGCTAATTTTGAGACCTGTCAATTGCCAGCAGCAAAATCGTGAGATGAACACAAGCATAGCTGCGGTTGGCCAGGTGCTGGGAGAATGACAGCTAAGGCTGCTTCCCTCAATTTTAAAAGAAAAAACTTGAATATAGTACTTTGTTTATTTCTAGTCCTTTCAAATGGTCAAAGTAGTTGTAGCAGGCAACTAAGGTATGGTTTAGCAGGCAACAGTTAAAATGGTCTTTTATAAAATATGTTTCAATCATACCTGAAAAGTAAGGTGGTTATTACAGTTATACCTTTAACATGAATTATATTTCCCTCACTAACATCCATAAAATTATACAAGCCTTTCATCTTCCTAAAAGAGAAATTTTACCTTTTCTTGACACCTATTACCAAAAAGTTAGCCATTTCTAAAGATTGCTCTAACAATGCTGCTTCCAGGGTAGTGGGCCTTGAATCCTTCTCTCTAGATGAGCTCTTTAAGCTCCACGGTTTTTATAGGGTAAGCTGACAAAGGGGACACCCAAGCTTATTAACACTGGCCAGCAGGTTGGTCAGAGCCAAACAGGGCACTTTACAGTAAAGCACAAGTGGTTTGCAGCAGCCACCCCTGCTTAGAGCGCCCTCTGGAGCACCGACTCTGGGGACTGCCCTTCTGTATTAGTAAAGGGCATACACGGAGAGCGCTGTCTTTTCCTTTTAAAGCTGTTATATGATTTCAGTCATGTGGTAGTGGGTAGCAGCTACAATCATACAGAAGAGTGCTGTTTGAACCCTGTAATATCATTACCGCTCTATGATAGAACTTGAATGCATATGGAAGCCCCTGTTTGGCTCCCTGTACTCAAGGGCCCTCAAAGTTCAACTAGGGAACTGTTCTACATCTGGAGGGAGTACTACATCATAGGGAGTTAGCTGAGTTGAGCACATAACAACCAACAGGCAGTAAAGGCTGTACTTGATTCTCTATTAGTTTTGTGAGTGTCTAGAAAAGCATTGGGCCTTCTCTCCAGAGAGACCCTACGGTTCAGAGGCTAGGTGTTAAGTGTAATTCTCCAAGAGCACATTATTTAGTCCGTAGTGAGGCTATATGTCTTTTCAGTGGCTCACAACACCAAGTAAACAGGAAACAAGAAAAGCATACAAAGGAAACTGTCTCAAGGAGTCAGACAAGTGAATCTACTTAAGTGGTTGGGGAGGTATACCTCTTAGGTAGGTTTGCGTCACGTTGCCAAGTTCTTGCTGCCAATCTGGGACACAGGGTGAGTTTTCTGACAACACACACCACTCGATTATGTATTTCTTCACAAGTTTAGGTGGAGGAGTCCATTCTACCCAGAGATTACTATCTTTGGGGAATGCTTTAAGATCCACTACAGGGTGAGATGCTTTAAAACAAAGTTTAATGAAGATAGAATCAGTTAACACTCATAGATCTGATATTTCAATATTTTATCATCATATCCAAACCATGTGGCTCATAAAGCTCCAAAATAAAATACACTTACACAGGTAGTCAATTTATTTTTTAAACTCAAATTCTCTCTTTCTTAAAATCCCCAGAGGTTTTTATGTATTTAAGTTATTACTGTGTCTCTGTCCTTTTAATAAGCTAGCCGTAAAGTTTAAGTGAGCCACACAGGGCTGGAGGTACTTCCTAAGCCCTGATGGCAGAGCCTCCTGATTTCAGTCTGTGGCCACTGCTGCCGAGCACAAAGAGCAGCTGCTGTGCCGTGCTTTTTGGGACCCTGTCCACATTTAACCCCGACACCCGCAAGTGAGGCTTTGCCTTATACGCACCTTTGAAGTGGGAGCTGGGGATGGTGAGGACAGCTGCACTTGATTTGCCAACCATATTTCTCGCTGTTAGAGATGCTATATAGCGATTATTTGTGAGATTTACTATCAATTCTGTACCATTAACTGTGTAATTCTGTGAAAATGATTTCCACTGTGTAAGAATCACTTCATAATCCAAGATTTTTCCATTGGCTTCTGAAAGAGGTAATTCCTATAATAAAATTTTACCAAAAATTATTTTATGAGTCTTGAATAATCATTTTTCACATTCACAAATTCTGTATGTCAAACCTATAAATATTTAATTGGAAGGAAAAGACAAACTCATTTTAAAAAAAGATTTATTTATGTTTATGTATATTAGTGTTTTGCCTGCATGTCTGTATGGATACTGTGTTCATGACTGCACCCATGGAGGCCAGAAGACAGAGTCTAGATTCCCTGACAGGGGCGCAGGTAGTTGTAAGCTACCATATGGGTACAGGAACCAAACCTGGATCCTTTAGAAGAGCAACCAGTGCTCATAACTACTGAGCTGTCTCTTCAGTCTGAGCTCATGTTGAATTTAGTACTACAAGAAAGAATATAAACAAAATCAGGAAAAAAGCCCTTAAACTGAAGCAGGGCTGTAGCATGGTCTAGCTCCTGGTTCTGCACGGTTGTGTGCAGCTGATGCTGGTCTACATTATTTACCCTTCGGGATTTTTCTCTCTACCTTTTAAAGTATGATGGGTTGAATCAGCACATGTGTGGCCTCATCAGCCCACATTCTGCTGTCTCTAAGCCTTTCTCAGTTTCTCTCTAGGAGGCTCCCCTAGTGAGTCCAGGGAAGTTCATAACACCGGTCTTGTTCTCACAGAAGTTACCCTTTTATGAACTGTGCGGAACTCCCAAATGAGGGATCAGCTAAGTTCAGAAATTTGGTTGGCTTCTTCATTAGCTGTATAAGGCTTTGTGGTTCTTTACATTAACATTACAAAATGCCTGAAGAAAATTAAGATGCATAGAATAAAAATCTATGTATTAAAAAACTTAAAATAACATTTACATGCATTTATGTGGGATGAGTATAAATCTTTTTGTAGTTTTTTTTTTTTACCTTCCATATGAGCCGTGCAGATCTAGGTTCCTGGGTATGCGATGAATTTATCTTATACCAGAAACTTGGTGGTTTGGATGGTCCTAAAAGAAAACACAAACTTCATAAAATAAAATGTTTTTTATCTTAACGATACAGTAAAATTCTGAAGTGATTCTTTTTGTTCTTGATGGTCTTGCCCTTCAATCACACAGTGTTTCTCTTTCCAGCAGCAGGCCCACTGCAGTACAGTGTACTGGGTCTTTTACTAGCCAGGCAACAGCTGATCATTTAGAACACCACCATCTTTCAATTTCTTTTTTTGAGATGGGGTTTTGCCTTGTTAGCTAGGGCTGGTCAGAACTTCTAGACTCAAATGATTCTCCTGCTTCGGCCTCCTGAACAGCTGTGCCATGGTGCCTGGCTGTGGATTACAATGGAAAGCTTTTCTAATCTTAATGTTAAGTATATTCTAACAAACAGACAAAGAGGCATCACTATTTGTTTCTTGTGTTGCAATGCTTCCTCCTGCATGGAGCCTCACTGTATTTACAGGCTGCTCTGTAAAGAGTCTCATTTCTTCAGGTGTATTTGTTTAGACTTTGAGTGTTTCACCTGCATGTATATCTATGCACTATAGCATAGCATGCAGTGCCCGTGGAGGACAGAGAGAGTGGGATCCTCTGAACTGAAGTTACAGACTATGAGCTGCCATGGGGATGTTAGAAACTGAACTCCGGGCCTCTAAAAGAACAAGTGCTTGTACTCACTAAGCCACCTCACTAGACCCAAGAAGACCATTTTTAGACCCTAGACCTTTTTGTGCTTTTATATTCTCTACAGTACTTGTAATTATAATTTAATCAATGATGAAAAAAGGAAAATTAAAGCAAACCAACCCAAAGCCAAAATCATTCCTTTTCCAAAGGCTTATCAAATGCTGGTAGGGAAAATAAAAATGTGTCACACATATTTTTGACAGTGTTTTATTTTGTTTTTGAAATAGGGTCTCACTATGTAGCTCTGGCTGGCTTGGAACTCAAATTCACTGAGAGCTTTCATCTCTGCCTCCCCAATGCTGGGATTAAAGGCATGCTTCCACCACACCCAGCTTTGACAATGTGATTTTTAATGAATTAGGAAACGATTCTCTAGTTAGGGGTATCTTGAGACCACCTTCTTTGAATGGAGTTAAGTGAATGATTTTTTAATAACAACTAAAATACTCTTTCATAAAAGTGTAACCTAAGCAGGTATCAAAAAGATTTACACTATCAATAATACATATCAAGTTTTACTTTGTGATGCCCTTACAATGAAAGAATAAAACACTACAGTTTGGCTAAAATGATCATATCTAAGGAGCAGAGAGGTCTGTATCTTTAAAATGTGGCAACACAATTCATAGCCAGAATTCCACTGGTGTGTTCTCCTCATCCAGCTGTCGACTTACTATCTGCATACATGATCCCAGCTGTCTACTTACTGTCTTCAGATGTGATCCCACTTGACTCCTCACTCCAGTCACTCCAGTAGCCTTTGCCATCTTCCTTTATGCAGCGAATCCTAAACACATACTCTGTGAAAGGTTTAAGGTCCTGGAGAGTGAACGATGTTCGGGGAGATGCTGTATCCTCAAGAGGGACCTGGAAATAAAGCAAATTGAGTAACATCATCACCAACACTCACAATATATAAGGTTTCCTAAACTGAATAGGATTTTAGAAATCAATTTAATGTAAGATTAATAAATTCAACCTCTGGAAAGAATGAAGGTAAAAATATGATAATCTATAGCTTACATACATCTGTTCTTTCTTTTCTTTCTTTTTTCAACATGAGAGAGATGACATGTGCTTGTGACATCAAACAGGAGGACTGTGCTAGTGAAGACAGACTACACTACTGAAGTGAGATCCTGCCTCAAAGAACCAAACCAACTAAACGCAACTAACAAAGAACAAGAACAAAACACTTCAAGGAGACTTAGTAAAAAGATATGGGCAAGTATACACACACACACACACACACACACACACACACGAATCCGAGTGATTAGTACATTAGGAACTGTACTGTTACTGACTAACTCCATGTCCAAAGGGACAAAGAGCCTGGATGAAGAGTCCGAGAGGAAAGCGTTGATAGGCACAGCCTTAGAGACAGCTTACTCCACAGAAGGAAGAAATGAACATGTTGTTCTCAAGCCTATTCCTTCTCCTTCCCATCAAGACTCTGCCATGCATTAGCCCATGGGAAGGCAGATGGAATGGGAACCCACAGTGAGATCATCCAGGCCAGCATACCAGACAGGAGTCACGAGGAGAAGGAAGGACGTGCCTCTGTCAGGGAAAAGGAGGCTATCCAAGCCCATCAAGGAAATAAAAGCTAGGGCTGTTGAGATGATCAGATGGTAAAGGCACCTGCCACTAGCATGACAATATGAGTCCTGGGGTCTATATAGTGAAAAGATAAAATGCCTTCTGCAAGTTGTTGTGACTTCCACATCTATGTTGTGATATGTACTCATACACATATGCACACACACGCACACACACACACAATAAATAAATAAATGAATGTTGGAAAAAAAAAAGAAAACCAGAAGCTAGCTTAGTAAATAAACTTATCTTTTATTTGGGCATGGGGAGATCAAATATACAAAATTACTATTTTTTCTTTCGCTCTAAGATTTCGATACTGGATATAAAAATTGATGTTAAGTTGGGTGGGGGTTTTGTACTGCTGAATTAAGAATCTAAGGTATTACAACACACTCTAAAGAACTTTAGGTACACGTCCTCTGTATACAGTATGACTCACGAACCCAAACTGAGCCCCAAGTGAAAATGGAGCAGCAGAAAGTAGTACCAAGGTTTTGGGCTCAATATCCTTCTAAGTTCATAATGCAACCAGGGTAGTAAAATAAATGAATGGACCAATCAATCAATTAAGGCAAAAGTAGGCTATTAGTGATAAATAGAATTGCAGCAAAAAATAACCCAGGCAGTCAATGAAGTGCTGGCCTTGAGACAGGAGCAAGCACTTCCATTGCTGAGAGCCACCCCTTCCCTTCCAATTCTGAAATTCCCATTAATCCTTCCCTGTACTTTAGAAGTTGGCAAACCCTCTACTAAGGGCTAGAGAGTAAGTATAGTGGGCTGTGGGCCAGAAAAAATCTGTTACAACTCTTCAATTTTTCCAATCTAACCCCCAAAATAAAGACAACAAATGTGTCCCAGTAAAATCCATTTATAAATCCAGTGGCAGGTTTTAGCCCACTGTAGCAAGGATGGTCTGAACTACATATGCCAAGCCCTGCTCTATTTCATCGTTAAAATCTATATCAACCTGCACTGCGTACTTTCATTTCTATTAGTTATGCTTTTCCTAAGACCCTGCATTACTTCCTTAAAGTCACTGCGTGGTTCTATTAGCATGTCTGTCAAAAGAAATGTTTCACATAATCAGAAACTTAAGACACTGAGAAAAGAGTTAAGACTTTTCATAAGTGTTAAAACAAAACAAAACAAAAACCTATTAGGATAAATAGCAACTTTCAATTTACCTGGATCCAAGTTGAGGAATCTTTGGTCCTATATTGAATGTCGGATTTTAGCCTTAACGAACTGCTAAAACCTGAATTGATCCATGTTAACTTTAATATACTGGATAATTCCTCTGAGTTGCTCACTGATAAATTATGTGGTGGGCTGGGTTTCACTGAAGAATAAAACAAGTCCTAATGTTAGTCATGTTTTACTTTTATAATTTCATATACAAAGTCAAACCAACTATGACCTTCTTGATAAGATTATCTTTACCAAATGAACTCTCTAGAAACGATGCTCTGTCATACAATGGAAAAGGATGCTAAGGAAACTTCTTGTCTGCTCAATATATTTGCTAATTTTCAGATGCTGGTTTAAAAAACAGTGATTTTTTTTAAACAAATCACATTTTAAAAAGAAAATAAAAATAGAACAAGAAAGTCACTGTGATTGCAACGGTATGAGATGTTGGAAAACTGGATGAGTACCAAAAGGTAACATTGGGAAGACCAGTTCAACGTCAGCCTCAGACATACAGTCAGTTTAAAACCAGCCTGGGCTACATGAGACCTAGTCTCAAAAACAAAACAACACAGAACAAACAGCTATGATTAAACATTACAAAAGCACACTAAAAATGGCCATGAGTGTGGTCAGACTACAGCTATTTTTCTGTTTCCAAACTACATTTAATAATATTATAAAAAGACTACACTAAGAAGTATTTCTATATTAATTGAAGTCTGAAAGGCAATCTACAAACCACGTGTAGTCTGATAAACTCTCAAATTCAGGCTTATAGGTACCTTTATCCACGGGATCAAAATTGATAGCCTCCGACGAGACCTTTCCGAGGGCATTTTCTGCTTCTACCCAGACTTCAATGTTGACAAAATAGATAGGAATATAGCTAACCATGCATGAGGAACCATGTTTTGTTTGACAATCAGGAAACTTCTCTGTTGCCCTAAAAATAAAATTGGAAGAATCAGCCATTAAAAATAAATTTGAAATACAAAGGTGTAAAAAGTCACTGGAAAAGAGTTAGATAGGACCCGAACTGTTACAGCAAAGCTCCCAATAAATGTTGGTCACCAATGACAGATCACATATTTTTAAAACTGCACTTGATCTACAGCTATGGTCTTATTTCCACATTGTTCATCTAAGAGAACTTCATTTTAGAATTTTGTGCTATGTCTTAAATATTCACTAAATATTATCTGTTTCCTGTGATCTCAGAATAGCAGACCTACCTCATCCATAAAGACGTGTCGGGCAACACCAAATCCTAGGTATACACACTCCACGTGCTTCACTTTGACGGTATGTGAGCTCTAAATTGAGTATGGTATATCAACATCTCTAACAGCACTTCCTAAATACCGTATTGTACTCACTTTTCTTGTCACGCTGTAAGGCAACACTCTGCATGTAAGATGATTTGAATTGAGGTGAATGACATCAGTCCCGAGAGACACTACTGGTCTGACAATAATTCAGAAAGAGGACTGTGGTAGTTTGAGTAAGGGTCCTCTGGAAGAGTAGTCAGTGTTCTTCACCACTGAGTCATCTCTTCAGGCCCAAGCTTGTTCAATCTTAGTAGCTACCTCATAGACTGGGGTTGGGGCTAGAATTAACTGAGGAGAAACACAATAAAAGTTCAGGGATCATCTGAGTTCTACAGGTGTATGCACTTGTCAAAACTTACTGCATTAGAGGTAGATCTGTGCGCGTACTATATGCAAAGTCTAGTACACTCAAATATTGATCTAATCATGTGAACTCTGAAGTGTTCAACTGTAAATCACACTAATGCCCACTACTCACTGTGAAATTCATTACAGAAATAAACTGACTGCTGGGGAGAATGATGCAGATACATGCGGTAAGCAGACCTAGTAAGATGTAACTGGAAAATCAGGTGACAGGGGTGTACAGGTTACCATTCTTTTAGCTTTGGTGCGCATCAAAAAACCAGATTTTTAATTTGCATAAGGCTGGCATCACTAGAAAATGCTCAGTGTGTGTGCATGCGTACACAGGCCAGTGGCTGCTGGTCGGTGTCTTCCTCAATCCCACTGCACTGTACTTCTAAGACAGTGTCACACTGAAGCTGCAGCTCAGCGGCTCGGCTGGTTGGCCAGCAAGCTCCAGTCTCTCTCTCTATCACCCAGAGCTGGACCACTGCATCTGGCTTGATGTGCAGGTGCTAGGCAACCAAGCTCAGAGCCTCCTGCCTGTGCAGTAAGCACTGTACTGACTGAGCGATCTCCCCAGCCCTCAGCTTAATGCTAGGAAAACAATGTGGTGAGTGAAATTTCTGGGGAAAGAAATCCAACCCAAATTTGGCCAAATATATAGACCTGACAACAATTTTTAGGAAATAAAGGGAGAAGAAAATATGTTACACAATATCCAACAAGTAACTCCACTGCATGGAAAGGAAACAGAAGCAGGTAGAACCTGCTGTTTAGGAGAAGAATTTATCAACTTAAAAGATAGGAAAGGGTTTTTTCTGTTGTTTTTAAAATATTTTTATAAGAAAACATTTTATGGAAGATAGGAAATAGTAGCTGAAAGTTTGATATTAAAATATTTCAAATTTTGGGATAGAACAATAGTGTGACTCATATATTTGAGTGCTTGGTGTTGGGGAGGTGTGTCTTTGTTGAGGAAGTGTGTGACTGGGGTGGGCTTTGGGGTTTCAAAGGCTCAAGTCAGGCACAGTGTCTCTCTCTCTTACTGCGGCCTGCTGATCTGGATGGAGAACTCTCCGCTACCTCCCGGCATCACGTCTGCCTGCATGCTGCCATGCTACCCACCATGCCGATAGTGGGATAAACCTCTGCATGTGAGCCAGCCCCAATGAAATGGTTTCTTTCACCAGAGTTAGCATGCTCATGGTGTCTCTTCGCAGAAAAAGAACACTGACAAAGACACATGGTCTGTGAATGTGTCTGAAAGCCATTATTTAGAGCTGTGCACTGCAATCTCTAGGAAGAGAACATGGCTGGGTTTCTCCTGAAGGCAGCATGGGGCAGAATCCACGCTGCTCGCTGGTGACCGGTGCACAGGAAGAGCACGTTAATTCTGCTGCAGAGGATGTGAGATGTCAGAAAATCCTCACCCAGTGTCACTACTGCCAAAACGAAAGCCCCAGCACCAGCGTCTGGTAATTCAACAGAGGCCTATCTGGCGTTAACTCACCACTCGGATTTCAGCGTGTAGTTTGTTTCCAGGTGTGTCTCCCTCCCTGGGTCCCACTGGCACAGCATATTCTTCCCCTCGTTCACAATGCAACTCAAGTTTGTAGGAATATCTGGGGGAACTGAGAGGATATAAGCATTTTTTATTATCCAAAATAAATCCTTTATACACAGATGTTGTTCAATTTATATAACACCTACGACCCACCTCAATTAGATAAACAAACCCAAGATAAAGATATGGGAGTAATGAGAACCAGATGTTAATTATCTTTTCTTCAAACTTCTAAATTCTTTCTAGGTCATTACATACATATGTCATTAATTTATTGCTTTCACATTAGTTTTCTATATAATTTTTTTATTTATAATCAGATAAATTATCAGTAATGTCTCTATTAAGTGTTTTTAAAACAAATAATAAAGGCAGTTATAGGAGCAAAGATGACTGATTCATCTATTCTTTATTTTGCTTTTGTACTTGAGGATAGGGTCCTACTATGTAGCCCAGGCTGGCCCAAACTCTCAATCCTCTTGTTCCACACCCCAGGTGCTGGGATTTCTGGCATGCACTACCACACCTTGCTGCTAAATTTTTGTCTTTATTGTTTTATGACACTGGAGCCGAAGAAAAGTAAATGCTGGTTCCACTCTTCTTAAAAAATGCATTTTTAAGATTATAATTACATCACTTCCCCTTTCCTTTCCTCCTCTAAGGCCTCCCATATGCACCGCACGCTCTCCCCAAAGCCATGGCCTCTTTTTTCAAATGTTTCTCCATTTTCTTTATTCAGGGACCTGTTTCTCAGTAATGAGGAGACACAGAAAGTTGCTATCAACTTTGCAGAAGCTCTGCAAATCGGTAAAAAATACTCTTGGGGATACCAAGAAGTCTCTGGTCAAAGCATTTTCCAAGAGCCTGACAATATGTTCGTGTATAGCAGTGAAAACATGCAGAGTATTTCCAACATTTTTATAATAAGACTGTTCTTGGGACACTAACAGAAATCACTAAAAATGAGTCTGGCAAAGTGGAAACAAGACAAGAACCTTACAGCCTGAAAGTACAGTGGTTCCATACACGTTCTGCTCGATCTGTCCAAATGACAGGACATTGCAGGTGAGCTGGACCGCCTGGAGGTTCATGTCTGTGAAGGTGACACTAGATGTGGTTCTGTTGATGACGGTGACCTGCTCCTTGGGAACAGCAACATGGTTTGTCTTCCACACGATGAAACTGGCATTTGCATAGTACTGCTGAAGACACTTTTCCTTCAGCACACAGATGGCAGTGAAGTTAGAGCCACGCTGAACAACCGGAAACTCGGGGTAGATATAACCACATGGCTCCACAATCTGACCTGAAAAAGAACAACAGGCTGTACTAAGTGGCCTGACTTTGCCTAGCACATGTGATGCCTTGCGTTCAAGGCCTGGCACTGGGACAGGAACAAGGTAAAAAATAGTTCCCAATACAAAATGGTATCCGGATAGCAGCACTCAATGTAGACTCCACAAATTTATTATAATCATTCTCTGAAGGAAAAAAATTGTAGTCTGAATTCAATACCTAAATTTGTAAAGAAATACACAAATGATAATGTACAAAATATAAAAAAAAAAATCACTGAGCCCATGGTTCAATATTCTGATTTTCTTAGAAACCAGATGTGCAAAGTGCATCCCCCACACAACCCCTGATTCAGAAAGCCTAAACTAAACTCCAGAAAGCAGGTGGTCAGTCTCTCTCTCCAGCCCTGGATGCCGGTGGAGGCGAGGCTGCAGGAACAAGGAGACAGACATAATGTCCATATACCAAAATTCAGACTGCAGCAAGAGAGCAACCCAAACCAGAAAGACTAGAAAACATGGGCAAGTATTTGTGTTTTCACAAGGTGTAGAGGACAGGCTTTTCTGAGAAAACAACTGAACTAGTTTTAGCAATAAATGTGTTTTATCCATCAAAGCATGGAATAAAATTTTCTATTTAAAGAAGAGGAAAAGAAGAAAATCAGATACAATCAAAAACTAAAACCCAATTATACAGTTGAACTGTCTTGCCCTGACTGCTGAGGGCAGTGGCAGACTACCTCTCCTTTTGCCTGTTTTCAATATCCCAGATACACATCTTTGCAGTTGGAATTGTTTTGGGAATACACAGTATACTATCACTATTACAGTTACAGAGCTTATTTCCTGTATTTAAGTATAACTTAGTACCAGTGAGCAACTTTCCCCTCCCCTCATCTCCTGAGCTGCTAATAACTACCATTTTACACTCCACTCTTTATGAGACCAATGTTAGATTTCCTGTGGTATTTGTCTTCCAGTGTCTGGCTTATTTCACTTAACATGTTTTCGGTTCAACTTATGTTGTCCCAAATGACAGCATTTCACCATTTCACCATAATGGAATACTATTACACCAAGATGTAATAGTATTCCATTATGAATATACACACTCATTTCCATGATTCACTTATGTATTTCTTGGCCATTGTAAATAGTGCTGCAATAAAAACACAGGTCTCATTTTGACATATGATTTAATTTCTTTTTTATTGTTTACCCAATAGTGAGAATGCAGGATCATGACTGTTAATTAGACAGGATTCAGACTTGCCTAGGAGATAAACTTCTAGGTCTATCCATGAGGGGGTTTTTAGATTAAGTTAACTGAAGCAGGAAGACACAATCTAAACATGCACGCTAGCATCAGTGTATTGGTGTATAGCTTGTATATTTGTGTGTTGCCTGGTTTTAGTATCAGACAATGTTGGTATGGTAAGCATTTTCAAAGTAATGATATAGGGCCCAGACTGGCCTTGAACTTGAAGTCCTCCTGCCTCAGTATTCTGAATGCTAAGACCACAGACACATGTCAGCATGCTTAGCTCACACTCAGTACTTCTTATGCTTACGCCTCTACCGTCTACCCACTTATCCAGGTCAGATGCCTTGGAGCCGCCTTCCCCATCTCTGTAGTTTCAGCAACTGTGAGTTTAAGGCTGCCCCCGCCCCAACCAAGGCTTGGTAGTGGGTTTCTAGGCTGTTACCCATCCTATCTGGGCTTCCATGTAAGGTAACACTTTCTCTCAAAGGGAAGCTGACCTGTGCAGTGTGAAGAGAGCTGACCTACAGCGGTGCTTTGCAAACTATCTCCCACAGAGGTCAGGGGTTTCCTTTCAACCTGCACAGATCTGTATTTCTGTTTGCCGACTCCACTGACCAATGCTTGGTTGTCAAAGCTATGTCAAACCGTTTTCTAGGGGCTGGGGAGAGGGCTCAATGGTTAAGAGCACTTGCTGATCTGACAGAGGACTGGCGTTCACTTCCCAGCACCCACACAGCGACTCATAATCTATAACTCCAGTCCCAGGGGATCTGACATACTTATTTGGCCCCTCCAGCACCAGGAATATGTGTGGTGCATGAAAAGACATAAATGCAGGCAAAACACCCATACAGGTAAAATTTCCTTAAAGTTTTCTAAATATATATTCTTAATTTCTTCATTCATCTGTTCTCAGGTGGCCATCAGGTTAGTATCAACTGTGCTGCTCCTAGCTTCCTGTTCTGGTATGCAACCACACTGCTTGATGACTTCTGGGTAACTGGGGAGAAGAAAAGTGCTAAAAAGTAACATATTTTTCTCTTATTCCTTTATTTAAAAACATTTTTGCATGCCCCCAACCTTACCACTATTTAAATATAGCTAATGAGTTTCATTCAGTATTTAAGACTCAAATAAATGATATAAAACATATTATCAGGCATAATTGTACTAGTGACATTTCTCCTAATAATGACCCTAGAAAGAATATATAAGCACAATTATTTAACCATTAAACATGAGCCTAATTATAGTATATAAAATATAAAGTCGAATTTGTAGAGTTGGGACAGTTCATGAACCTTACCTATAGATTCAGCGGTGAGGAAAATAAACAAAGCTTGTGTTAGCCAAATCCTCAGTGCTGACATCTTGCATCGATGTTCCTGTAAAAGACACACTGTGAAATTTAAAAACCCGTTCTCTTATACACAAGCTAAACAAAGGCTTATTTCTACTGTGCAGCTATTTTCTGAAAGGTGGTAGAATGTCTATGTGAACGCAGAAAGGGAATATTTTTCTATTCACTAAAGTTATGGCTTCACAAAACCACTTGATGACATCAATATTGAAGGACCGATCCCACTTTTTTATGTGTGAAATCATACATACAAGTGCATGCATGATATGTATGATGTGAGATGGAGGACTTCAGAAATGTCTGGATGGCAAGGTCCCCTCTAAAGAACCTCAGAAGGCCCAGACAAATGGGAAATTCAGCTCAGTGTGACCAAAACTGTCTGAGACAGGAGGATGATGCCTACAAAGTACTCAAGATTATAACACCTCATAGAAAAACAAGCATGTTTTTTGAGTAGATGGTTTATAGAAAAATAAACACATGTAACTAAAATGTGAAAAGACATTTTTAAACTACTCACAAAGAGATGCAAGTTAAAAAAGCGACAGGAACAAAAATGATACAAACACTCTGGAAAATAGTGGGGCAGGCAAGGCTTTATTAAGTTAAAGAACACCCTCTAAGGCCTGGCATTACACACCTAACAACGTTATCTAAGGAAAATAAGAACAACGTATGTCTGAACAAAGACATACTCAAATGTTTATAGAAAATTTATTCAGAAAAATCTCAAGCAGGAAACAACCTAATTGTCTATTGATTGGTGAATGGATAAAGCAAATTAGCTCAGGGCATATCTACAAAGCAGAATAAATAGTACACAGCAATAAATGGAACAAACTAATGATACATCAAGCACACACAGAAGTGTGTGGAGTGAAAGGCGCCAACCACAACAGGTTGCATGAGCAAACGAAGGAGACACACAGCAGATCAGGGATCACTAAGCTGAGGTAGAGGGGAGAAGGACAGAGTCTTTTGCGATGATGAGATATTCAGTAACTTGATTTCATTTTGGTGGTGACTTTACCAAGGCTCTAAGTATTTGTGAGGCGTCACTGAATTGTGCCAACATGACAAAGGCTCTGATCTGAGACTACTCTACTTGGAAACTGATAATTAGCTTGCTGTAGTCTCATGAACACCTGCAAAACATTGTAAGATCTTGAGTTAGGAACAAAAGACAAAATTCTTAGCAGCAACGAAGTTTCTTTTGCTAACTACTAGCTCATTCCGCAGACTTCTGTAAAGTCAGGTGACACCTGCAGATAGCAATTGTCTTACAAGACAAAAAGATGTGGCTTAGGAAACCACACAGTAAAGTGAGTAGGAGACAGTCTGGCCTTTTACTCTAGAGGGGGCCATTACAGCTGTCTTTTAAACTGCAAGCATGCCTTCCTAAGAGAAACAGTATTTCAACATCCTTGAAATGATAGTAAGGGTGGGGCAGTCAGGGCTTTTGCAACTAAGAAATATAGGATGCAAAAATAATGAGCCACTCTTTTTAGTGTTTACACATTGAATCTTAATTATAACCAAATAACACTGTACAGACAAGGTCTACATACATCGAAAGAAACACGTGCTAATGTCTTCCAAAGGGTATACGTATAGAAATGGCTCATGGATGCCCAAGGAGGTGCAGCTCCACAGATCAGGTTCACAGTATACACGGGGCATAGGTTCGACCCCCAGCAATAAGAAAAACCAAAACACATCCAAAAGCTGCTAAGAAGCAGCCAGACAAACTGGCCGAGTCAAGTAACGGAGCCATAGCAATCAGTAAGTATGTGCAAGTCTGGACAGCCTGGTGAACTCTCGCACGCACTACAGAACTAGAGCGGGGTGGGCTTGTGACTGCGCAGTGCCATGAGGAAATGGAAAAGCTTTCACTGTGGTGACTAGAAGTATTACTTCCTAATTTTAAAACTCTCACCGAGATGTGAGGAAACAGCGTCTATTAAAGTGCCTGACATCAAAGTACAGATGGGTTCTGTGTGGTATCCTGTACAACCAACTTCGCTTGTGGCTTATTTTGTTTAAAATGGACAGTATTCTGCTGAATTTTTCTTTTGATTCCATTGAGAGTAAACATTCAAATTAGAGGTGGATTACATGTTCCTCTTACTCCATAGTTCTTGCAGAATATGCACATATTGCAAAAATACTGCATATAATTACTTCCTTGAATTTGTAAAGGCTTTCTAGGAAGCTTTTACAAAGTGAAAACATGACTGGTAACTGCAGATCAAGAAAGGTCCATTTCAGAACCGAGTGGCTCTTCTACATTGGTGATTCTTCGACTCTGGTGAGCGGCCGGTGGTGCGCTAAAAGGTGTGTCAGCAGTGACTTCCTCGAGTAATGCTGGGCACACAGATATGGACGGTTTGCTGGAGAACTCAGAACAAATACGTAGTAACTGCTTCGCTACTTGTTCTTTCATTCCACGGATTTCTCAAGTGGGAAAAAAGCAGTGTAATTATAACTGATGAATATTTAATAACTGTGCCACTTTAAGTATTTTTGCCTACACTGACTTTTATATTTATTTCCATTTATAAAAAGCTAACAAGGGCAGGATAAAGACTGAGTAAGGACTGCATTCACTGAGCAGGATCAGTATCAGCTGTTACTATAACAAGGGTACAGCCAGGACCGCAGACCTTACATGAAGCCCAGCTGGGTTCCCTGGTGAGTTGGGGAGAGATCAGGTGATCTTTACAGAATGTGTTACTCAGACTCCATCTGCAAAATACTAGCCAGAACTACATTAAATTGAGCTAAATTATTTTACTATCACCCACCCTTCACTCCTTTCCAGTTTATGCTAAGACACTGAACTGTTTTGTTGCACAGAATGCTATCATAACTAGTCATTTTTCCTTTTTTTCCCTAAGGTTTTTCAAGACAGGGTTTCTCTGCAGCTTGGGAGCCTGTCCAGGAACTAGACTGGCCTTGAACTCAGCACAGAGACCCACCTGCCTCTGCCAGGAGTGCAGGGATTAAAGGCCTACACCACCACCGCCCAGCTATTTATTGGACTTTTACAAAAGAAAAGCAAAAATTCAGACAAACTACTTACCCAACTCACAGAATTAGCATATGAAAAGGCATGGATCTGAAGCAAGTCCTCTGCCTTCAAATGTCTTGTTCCTTCCTCTGGGTCTCCCTGTGAAGACAGAGAGCCTTGTTCAGAAAGCTGACTTTGGTAAGCATTGTACTAGCGTCTTTGAGAATTTCTATTTTGCTCATATTCAGCCCTACTCCTTCTCTAACTCCTGGATCCATCTGCACATGTGTTATTTAAAATCCTTCATGTTTTCGAGTAGCACACGTGAGAGAACTTCAGAATAATCCCACAAACACTTGGGTGAGAATATTCAATAACTCAGTGGTTATTAGTATGTCTTTTTCCCCCTTCAAGAAAAGGTTTTGCTATGTTGTCCTGGTTGACCATTAACTAGAATTCAAGTAATCTTCCTGCCTCAAAGCGTTTGGAACCACTAGGACCCAATAATGTCAAACAGTGGTTCCCAATCTGTGGGCTGTGACCTCTTAGGGTCAAATGACCCTTTCATGGGGGTCACTTAAGACCATAACAAAACAAAGATATTTACATTATGGCTCATAACAGTAGCAGAATTACAGTTATAAAGTAGCAATGAAAATAATTTTATGGTTGGAGGTCACCATAACATTAACTGTAATATTAAAGGTTTACAGTGTTAGGAAGGCTGAGAACCACTGGTTTAATACACAGTCGCAACTATTAAAGTCACCTTCATCTAACTCAACGCCCTTGATGCCTTGTAATGTCACAAGAACATTTTGTTGAAGGTAATAATAGCTGGTCCTTGGCCTTAGAAGGATGACACCTTTCGTCTTCTACCTGCACCGAGTTAAAACTGCTGACTCCTCAACTGTCCAGCCATGCCTGGTACTTGGTTAAATTGAGCAGTGCCAGCTATTTTTTGAGATAACTTAAAACTTAGGCAAAGAATTGAATCTTGTATTGCTGCTTTCTGCATGTTACACCTTTGATATGACACAATAACAAGGAATTAAATATTAAACATTTTTAAATTTTCAAATGAAAAATGGTTTTGGGGGGTGGTGAAGTCTCTATAATTTTACCAAGAAAAATAGCTAGTGAAAATGTTGCTGGATAGTTTCACCAAATTCTACAAGTTTCTGTTTATACAGTCAGGCTCACACCCGTGCTGAGTGGTCTGACACTACGGACTGGACCTCTATGCGCACTGCACAGGTTAAGTCTGCAGCCTTTGCTCTCCCACAGAGCTCTTTCTCGGCCTCTCCGAACTGCTCCCACTGCCCAGCGCTCCTGGTGTCTGTTTTCTCCTTCATAATATCTGAGACATTTGAAACAGACTAGCAAATATTTTATGTGCTGAACCAGATAAATGCTTAGACCTGCCTTACAGAAGACTGCAAGTCAGATGTGGTCTGTAGGCCACTGTTTGTCAAGCCCTACTCTAGATTGCCACAGAATTTTCTTAGTTTGCTTACTGTTTGTTCAAGGTTGAACTGTGTCCCCTACAAAAGATGGACTCAAGTCTTAACTCCTTTGGAAACAGGACCACTGCTGATGTGATTAGCAACAAAGCCCTAGAATTTGAAACATTAGAAAAATATTTTTCATAAGAGAGACACAGAAAAATGCCGTATGACAGACGGCAGAGCCTGGAGCGACACAGCTACAAGCTCAAGTAATACTGGAGGCCAGGGGAGCCAAGGCAGGCTTTCCAGTCTCAGGACTGATGGCTTCTGGAGAAAATAACATACTCTAATTTTATCTGTTTGTCAACCTGTAAATTTACCTATTTGTTTGGTTAGTTCGTTTTTCCAGACAGGCTTTCTCTATGTGGCTCTGGCTACACTGGACTGCTCTGTGGATTCACCTGCCTCTGCCTCCCGAGTGCTGGGATTAAAAGCGTGCGCCACCACCGCCCAGCTAAAATACTGCAACTTAACTAGTGCTGAGTCCGTGTGCAGACACATGCCATAGCTTTAAGAGATGAATACCAGGGTTAGAATGGCTGGGCCATGTGGCAGCTGTTATGTTTAGCTATAGAGCTTTCTGGATGGTTTGAACATTTAAATATTTGCTAACTTTTAATTAGACTTGCTTCATTATTATTAGGTTTGACAGTTTTGAATATATATTCTGGATATAAAGCCTTTGTTAGACATTTGATTTGTATATAATTGTTCTGCAGCCAGTCTGTGGCCTGTCGTTTTATTGAAAACTTTTAAAAACCTTTTTAGTGTGCATGCACTATGTTCTTGTAACACTTTATAAAACAAACAACAACAAGAACAACAAGACAAAAGGTTTGCCTTTTCCCACCTATCTGCTTATTCTTATGCACCTTTTCCACTGTTGTGGTAGTTTCACCAGTTTTGAAATATGTGGCTGCTACAATGTCAAACAAAGATAAAATGCTAAGCTAGTAGGACTCCTAGATCTTTAATATAGTGTTTGAATAAACAATTATTTAAAAAAAATAACACTCCTGCAATCAGTAATAACCAACTAAGAAATATAATAGAAAAAAAAATACTACTCATACAAGCACCAAAAGCAACACTAGAATAGGAAAAATCTAGTCAGAACTATACAAGCATTTCACAATATAAAAACGTAAGACTACTTTGACCCAACAGCAAAACAGTTTATTATAGAACTTTACACATTAATTAAAATTTCACATTAAAAATTAGAGACTAAGGGCCAATATTCAGACAACAAAAAGAGGATTTGGTGTATCATTCAGACACATAAATAACAAAACATGCATGGGCACATAAGAACAGACAAGTCAACAGCATGAAATAAAAGAAGTTCAAGTGTATATAATCACTTTTACGACTGGGATGTCGCTCAGTGGTTCACAGCACATCTTCATGTGTATGACTTTGCTTTGATCCCTTTGTTTGACCACAAAACAAACAAAAATTCCAGATAAATAATAAAAAAATTATAAGCTGGGCATGCACACACCTATAAGTCTCAGCTGGGGGGCCGATGAAGGAAAATCAATTAAGCCTAAGACTTGGAGGCTAGCGTGGGCAATATAGGGACAATATACAAAACAAAATTTGATTTTACATATATATATGTGTGTGTGCGTAAAATATATAAGATATATACACATATATGTGTGGATGTATGTACGTATATATGTATGCATATATGTATATATTGTATATATCTTATATATATTGCCTCTCATGTCATTATTCAAAGATATACTTTACAACAAGTCCTATGAGGAAAAGTACAAAAGAATATTTTTATTATACAAACACATTTCAAAGTTAATAAAAAATAAGCACAAAAGTCAGATTTTATAAACATATTGGAAAACACAAATTTATGACCTTTGAGAACAAATCTTTTACAAGTTATCCTGCCTATGTTAGTCAATGAGAGTTTCATGAGTACTTTGATAAAGAGCCATGTTCTCACCATCACTCAAGACCTAAAACACTGCAAATACAATTGATGACAAACAGTTCTCAACTACAGGAAGCTGAATGCTAACAGGTAAAATATGTGCCAAGTGATTTGGGAACAGGGCTCAGGGCACCCAGCTATAAAACAAGGTTACAGTTTTGAGAACAAGAAAGCTGTGTAGGGTTGAAGACCACCAATGGGAAGGTCTACCAACAAGAACTGTGCTATCTGAAACAGAGCTCTGAGGAAATCAGCTTGCACTAGGGGGTGCAATTGCAGGGCATGTATGTAAGACAGGACCTCCACACAAGAAAGGACTGCACAGGAGCCAGCACCCCACTATTTACAAGTAATAATTAACCCACCCTTCCTTAGCAAAGGATGAGAGTGGCTACTAAAGAGCCTCTGGAATTTTGGAAGCAGGACATTCAACTTTTAACAGGCAGCTCACCTGCTTTACTGAAGGCATGTATTCAGGTGCTTGTCTGGAGAGCAGTCCAGGCAGCTTGAGAGCATCAGTCTAGTTAGTCTCAGCACACACTAACAGACACAGTGCTCTGATCCGGGATTGGAGAAACTCACAAAATCACTCTAAACAAAAAGTCCTGGCAGCCCCGTGACAGCACAAGTGTTTCCGAGGTCTTCTGTTTACCCCCTCAGAGCTAGCTTCTGGTTCAAAATGCAACCACGCAGTGCAGCTGGTTCCTTCCTTTATTCACTTTTTTGTCTCTGCTAGCTTTTATCTCCTGGCCATGAATGAACCCAAAGGTAAAGTACTCAGGATCTACTTTTCTTTTAAAATATTTACTTTGAAGACATGTAACTTCAACGATTACCTTACCTTCAAAACAAATTTCAAGAATTCTGGCTTGAATCTTCAATTCTAGTTATATATCATCTTAGATATTTTGCATCTGATACAAATCAATTTAATAAACCTCGCCCTCAAAAGTACCTACAAACGTATATGCTCATGTACACATACAACATAATGGACCAAGACACAGAAACTTCCCCCCACACACACACATCAATAAACAACTCTTCATTTTCGGTTGCCTAGGTTCTCTGATCTACCCTTTAACTTGACTTCTGTTACAATCCTTACCCAGACTTCTTCCACAGCCCTCTCACCTGCCTGTCTTTGTTGCTGACTGGACCTGACCACAGCACTTAACGATGGTACCGCAGCTCCTCTCCCACCACCTCCTCTTCCTCTGATCACAGCACTTAGAAGATTTCGTCTATCAGAGAACTGGTTTCATCTCTCTGCACCGCCCAACTCATCTCCAATAGCCAGTTTGATTTAAAAACAATGGTAATAGAGGAGGCTGGGGTACAGTTCATAGTAGGGCACTTGCTTCCAGTGTGGGAAGGCCCTGGTTCAACTCCCAGCCCACTACATAAGACAGACCCTTTCCTTAGATGTCTCTCAAACGATTCTGCTAATAATCCCAGAGAGAATTACAAGCAATCTGGCTTTTTTACTCCAATTATGCTGAAATTATTCTTCTAGTTTTCCAACTGCAGAGTAAACATTTAAGCTCCCGTTTTTCATGGCCTCAGCAAACTAGTCTAGCTTTCATCGTTTCCATGGTAGCCACACCTAGATGGTAAGCTCCAGTGACAAGAGACTTCTAGACTTCCTTAAAACACCTTCTTGAACGTGTGCCTGCCAGGCCTTCCAGTTTGATTCTACAAGGCCAGTGCCCTGGTGATTCCGCCCTGTTCCATTGTTTATAACCCAAATGAACATCTCTGTGGAATTTCCCCCACAAGCACAAACATCTGTGTTCCCACTGCACTTTCAGAGGTCCCTGAAAGGATCCAAACTCGAGCACAGTAATTACACAGCTTCATAAGCTGAGAATCCTGAAGCCCTTAGCCAACAACTGAAGGAGAGGTTAGTTTATGTATGTATGCACATGTGGAAGTGGTACTGACGGAGAATTATGCATGTATGCAGTGCTGAGGACTGAACCGGGACGGGCACATGCTGAGCAAGCACTCTCCTATTGGGCACGTTCCCAGCCTAATAATGAGCTTTAAAGGACCTGGTAGAGCCATTTTACCCTGTCACTCATGTAGACAATATGAAAAAGTAGCATGTACTACAGTTAAGAGTTCAGCCTAAACTCAGATTATCTAAGTATAAATATGGAATCTGACGATAATGTCTGTGTTTGGGGCCTTGCTATTGTGTACCAGAGGCTACTAAGGCCTACTTCTCTGTAAGGCTATGTTCAGAGACCGACATACAACACTGCACAAGTTACTGGTTACTAAAAATCCTGTAAGTAACAGCTCACGGCAGTCCTTGACGAAGTTCTACTGTCTCCGTTCTGTTTGAACAGGATCTCTCTAGCTTCCCCTTTATCCAAACCTTATCCGGGTCTCAAGGCTGACCTCTAGGAAACATACTGGCTACTTCAATTCCAATCTTTCCATCACTCATTATTTACTTGAAACGCCTCTGTATCCAGGTAATTAATTTTTCACACACCAGTTTGTCAATCCAATTTTGCAAACTTTCAAGAACCTCGATGCTATCTCAGGAATCTTTATGAATTCCACAGAAGGCTGAGTGCTTAGTAAAATAATCTCAATAGAAACCTCACCTATGATCAAACCACTCAGCAATCAAAGACACAGAGAAAGCTGTGATAATTTCCATGTTCCTTTTAGCAACACGTATCAGGCCAGGTGATATGCGGCAAAATGAAGTCTGAAATCATGCCTAGGGAAAACCCCTTTCTGCTACTGCAGGGCTGTGGGCAACACTCAAACTATACTAATGAATTTTCTATAAGAAATCTGCCAACAGGGAAGTTTGTGAACACAGGATTGGGAGTCCTATCATTTTTGAGCCTGTTTCCATTTCTAAAAAGGAGACATTGTAACAACTACATCACAGGTATATAATAATCAGCATCCATCCTAGTATTTAACTGAAATGTAACATTCTCTTAGGAAAAGTATTTTTAAATGAAAACTGTCATGAATAAAATAGAACAAAATGTCCAGTTATATAACAATGTTGTATTAAATTAGCAGGTAGCAGTGTTTATGATATTCTAGATCATCTATGTCAATAATACAAATAAGAGTGAAAAATTCTACTATAAAGTTTATCCTTATCTGACATTTGCCCCTTGCAAATTTTTTCTTTCATCTGTGAGTGGAATCCAATGGGCATAGCTATTCCCTAAAAGTAACCTGTGGAAAACACAATTTAACCTACAATCAGATTAATTCTTTTAATACAGTATTCCAGCTTAAGAGTTCAAAAATAATTCAAAATGTCCAATATGAACATCAACTTAAGGCGATGGCGATCACCCCCTCTAGTAATGAGTCAGTAATTTCAAATTAAGAGTTGTTCCAACGAGAAGCTGGCAGTCACACACGATCTAGAAGGGTTTGTTTACAGCACTGACCAGACCAAACAGCTTAATCTTGCGGAGGATTCACCCTGACGTTCCAGTATCAACTGACGGCTTTTGAAGCAGTACAGCTGCTGGAACGTCCAATAACTATACAAATTAAGCCCAAATGAGTTTCCTTTTGATGGGAAAATGACAAAAAGAGCAGTGGGCTAGGCCTTTGACAATGTCTTGTTTGGCGTTCTGAATTACAACGTCAATGTCATCCATCAAGGAAAGAAGAGAGCCCCCGCTACTTGGAAAAACAAAAAAAGAACAAAAAAACGTTTGCCCTTAGGAGAGGAGGTGAAAATTTACAGGAGGTGAAAATTTACAGACAGATGGGATAGCTCTCGGGCTGTTAGGGCAAGTGGGATTTATTAGGTAGGGTGCGTAGAAGGGACGTGAGGGAGCGTTCATATTCATAATCACTGAACTTTCACCAACGCCAAAACGTTGCGATTTCTGGGTGAAAAGTTCACTTTGGGAAAGAGAAATCAAGAGCAGGGAGTGAAGTCAAGTCTGGGCGGGTGGCATTTCGGGGGACACAGAAGACTACACTTTTTGGAGCCATGTCCATAGCTGGTTCAGGGGACAAGGCACGGGAACTGGGAGAACGCGGGAGGCGGTCACCCAGGACGCGCGATCCCGAGGGAACTTTGGGGTGGGGGGCTCCGGAACTGTGCGTCAGGAACGCGGCTGGAGAAGACGAGTGACAACGCCAGGGAAGTGGGAGCCAGGCGTGGGGACGGGAGGAATGCGGGGATTCCCAAGCCGGCCTGACGGGCTCCGGGTGTGCGCGCCGCTCCAGCCCGGCCCCGCTGGGCCCCGGGTGCCAGGTGGCGGCCGCGCCAGGCAGCCCGCCCCCTCCCGCGCCGGGGCCCTGCTCTCCTCACCTCAGACCGCGAGCCTCGCCGCTCCCGCGCGTCCCGCAGCCTCGCGGATCGGAGCCCACTCCGCCTGCCCCTCGGCTGAGCCGCAGCCCGGCGGGCTCGAAACTCTGGCCTCCCGACGGCACACGCCGCCCTCCGCCCGCGGCCGACCTAGGCTCTCCTAGCCCCGCCCCTTAGGGGCCCGCCCCCTAGAGTCGGACCCCTGGAGCTGATTGGCTCGGATCAGTCCCGGAGCGCGCGGCCATTGGTCCGGGGTCGCCGGAGACGAAGGGGCGGGGCTGCGTGCAGCTGCGATTCCCGTAATGCGGCTCCCGGCATCCCGGATTCCCGTGGCTGAGCCCGGTCTTCTCTCCTAGACGAGATCGAAGGCTTCCCCGCTGCCGCTCCTCCGCGGGTGGCCGGGCGGAAGGTTCCATTTTCCCGAGGGTAATGGGGTCGCGGACCGCAGCCCGCGATCCCTCTCGCCCGGCCTCGCCTGCCTCCCTGGGCGGTCTTCCCCGAGGGCCTGCTAGCCTCGGGAGAGCGCCCGGAGGCCCCTGGGGCTCTGGAGGCGAGGGAGCTCCCTGGGGATAGGGCAGGGCTTGGTGGCTGTAAATGCACACGCCAGTGGTGACCGCTTCAATCCTAGGCTTAAGTAAACGAACCCTGCTACGTTTTGTTGTTAGTAAATGAGTTTGGGTGTGATTGATTTGATCAGAGAGTCCCAGAACTGGTGACTTGCCGTGAAACTCATTTTTTTTTTTTTTTTTGTGGTTTGCGTCTCCTGATCTGTGATTAGAAGTACTGCGGAAAAACCAATTTCATTGTAATTCACCACCTTTTCCTCGACTGAAAAAAATGAACCTAAAGGCTCTCGTGTGTGTGTGTGTGTGTGTGTGTGTGTGTGTGTGTGTACCCCCCCACACACACACACAAAGCAAGATAAGAAGCTTAAAGATAAGGAATGTGTATCTGTAAAGTAATACTTCAGTTCAAGTTGGTTAGCTGAGCATGGGGCCTGCCCTGGAGTGTGGTTGATATCAGTGTAACTCCATTGGAGAAAACTGATTCTCTCTTTCCCAACATCTATCTTTTTGTTTGTTTTGTTCTAAAGGAGTGAAAGGACAGGAAATTGGATGGATGGATGGACGGGTGTGTGGGAAGAGTTGGGGGACAGCAAAGAATGTGATAAAAGTATACTCTATAAAATTCTCAATAAGAATTTTTAAAAAGATTAAAAGTGAAAAAAATGATTCAAAAAGAGAGAGACTGCAGGCAAGGGACTTTTGGAAGAAAGGTAGGCTACAGTAATGGAGCAAATGATACCCATAAATTAGTCATTTTAAAGTTCTTTGTTATGTTGAAGATTCAGCTGGAATAAAATGGATCAAGTGCAACCTCTCTCCCTCCTCCCCTTTCCTTCTCTCTCTGCTGCAGATCTCTATACCCCAGCTCTAAATCATTAGCTGTTGGTGAGATGCTTTGCAAAGCCACTGTTAAAGGAGTTCCAGACAGACATGCTTAAGGTTGATGCTTCAACCAAAGATGTGTTCACCTCTTGCCGCTGCTGTCTGCTAACTTCAGAGTGTGGCTAGATAGGGGTAGAAAGACTTGAAGAGACGTTGTTCAATTGAAACACTTACAAAGGTGCAGCTAAGGTGGCTTTGGGACAACACATATCGGTTCATGGTGCCTCTGCTTCCAGACTGTCGAAGTGCAGGTCCTGGCACTGCTCCTTTCCAATGCCCTGGCCCTGGAAAAGTCCGGAGTTTCTTTGTCTGCAACATGATAATGGTTCTGGCCTGCTATGATGCAAGAATGAAATTCTTTAAAAGGCAGAAAGGGTTTGACACATGGTTATAACATTCGGTTATCCTTGAATGTCTCTTTTGCTGTTGCTTCTCAGACCTTCCTGCATTACAGCATTCATTTAAAGTTCGGTTTCTCTGAGGTCGTCATGAGTAGAATGAGGTTAGTTTCTTGAAGCACATTCACCTCCTAGACCCATCGGTGGAGAATATGAAGGTCTATGCTGCCCTTACACATACGTACCTTATCATTTATTTATGGCTGTCAGTATTGGCCTTCTTGGCACTAAGAAATTCACATTTTATGAGAGTAATTAAAATCCTAAGCAAAAGGCCCGGAGAGATGGTTCAGCAGTTAAAATGCTTGATGCTCTATAGCAGAGGATCCAAGCTCAATTCCCATCACTCATATCAGGTGGCTCACAGTTCCAGGGACTCCAGTACCCTCTTCTGACCTCCAAGGACGCCTGTATACACATGGTGCACATAAACTCAAAAGGACACACACTCATTACAAGAAAAATAAGTTTGACAAACAATCCTGAACAGAAAAGATGAATCAGTGTTGGACAAAGAAGTTCCAGAACCATAAGACAATAGGAAATACCCACTCTGTGGAGGCTGCTGGATTTTTCCAGACCTCTCTGCAGAATGTCGATCCTGAAATGAGCACTTTCTGGTTAAGAATTTGTCACTAGACAGCCCTGTCAAACATCGCAACACGCACCTTTTTTTCGTAACATCTTGTTTCTAAATGTGGTTGATAGTAAGTACTAGTTTGTGAAATAAAGAACAGGAAGAAGAATGGGCAGAGGAGTGGCATATGACCCCCTCCCCCCCAACTGTGATTGGGACCTGCAAACAAAGCAATGACACAGGCTACAGGATGAAGGTGACAAGAGCTGGAGACAACCTTTACCTGCTTCTGCTGACCTACGCCTGCACCCCGTGATGTTTCTGAAACTCTGTGTCACACCTACAGTTGATCACACACCCTACTATCTAACGATTGCAGCATGTGTCTCGATGATTCAGTGACTGCTCCGAGTTCTCAGTTTCTCATCCTTTCCCCGTGATCATCGCCTTCATCTTATATGCAAGCAGCCTGCAGGTAAAGCCACACCTTCATCCTAGTCAGTTTATGACGGAAGTTGCTCCCTCTCCCAAACTTGGGGCTGTGTTTCATTCTCAGTCCTTAGCCACCTACCTCTGCACCTCCCTTTTGTTCTCACTCCACGGAATCTGCAGCCTGTCCTCAGTGTGACCTCTAGACCTTGTTCTCACAGCTCGTCAGTTATTTCCTACCTGTTCTCATCTTCCTAAGCACTGAGAACTTTTTGATCAGTCATTTAAACCATACTGTCGTTTGTTTCTTCAGCCATATTTGCCTTACCGGCCTAGTTGCTAACAATTTTCCCTTTCCTTGGGCTGTATCCAATGCTTATCTTAGTATAGAGATGTATCTCATATTCTCAGGAAAATCAAGTCTACCATTTGTGAGCATTTTTGATTTTGTTTTCAGTTTAGGATTCATCTACTGTAGACATGTATCCATTTCCTCTTTATCCTTCTGTCTCCCAAAAAGGAAGGTCCTTCACAAAAATGTTCATAAGGAATAGTATTTTACTTTCAATCAAACGTTGCTTAAGATATTTATCTGAAGAATAAAATTATATCAAACAATGGGCTGTTTGGGGGTCCTGAATCCATGAATTAAGGAGGTACTGTTAGGAATATGGCATGAGTTGAGACCTTGGGGTGAGGGTGCCTAGAGGCTAACAGGTATGAATTATTCCAGTTGTTCAGTGTGTTTCCTCACTAAACATTCACTACTAATTGCATGCCAGCACTGAGATATAGCTCTAAAGAGATGTATATTTTCCTTGAGGGGCAAAAACTGTAATGCCATAGATAAATTAGCAAATAAGGATGATCTCGATGTTACCCTGCAACCGATAAGGTAAAAAGAGTATTTTGGGAGAACTTATTCTTTTTTATTTATTAAAGATTTCTGTCTCTTCCCCACCGCCGCCTCCCCTTTCCCTCCCCCTCCCCCAATCAAGTCCCCCTCCCTTGTCAGCCCAAAGAGCAATCAGGGTTCCCTGCCCTGTGGGAAGTCCAAGGACCACCCACCTCCATCCAGGTCTAGTAAGGTGAGCATCCAAACTGCCTAGACTCCCAGAAAGCCAATAGGTGCAGTAGGATCAAAAACCCATTGCCATTGTTCTTGAGGTCTCAGTAGTCCTCATTGTCCGCTATGGAGAACTTATTCTTGAATATTTCAAGAGCGTGGTTCTCTCTGGCTCATTCATGTACCCACTTATCCCTGGGTGGACTAGAAACAGCCACAATCCCTTAACACTCTGTGGTAAAATTAGAACTAGTTCCCTTCTTGAATTTGAAGTTGAGTCTGCACTGATGGAAGGAATACAGACAAGCGAACCTGAGTGAGCTGGGGGCTCCCTCTGTGGCCTCTGGGAGGGCTGAGACACCATGTACGAAGTCCATGCACCTTAGCAGACCACCTCAAGAGAGCTGAGAGCATCACCTCAAGAGCTCTGAGAAATGAAGGTGGCCCTGCTGACGTCTGCCTTGCTGCTACCCCTGCCTCTGCACCAAGCATGCGAGTGAGACTCGTCTTGGAACTTTAGATCAACTTAGCCATGAGATGAATCTGTGGCCCCCATCAATGAACCCCGTCCAAATCTCCAGCTCAGAAATTATAGTATGATAAAAATGTAACAGTAAATCACTGTTTTGTTAAGAGCAGTAAATAAAAGCCCTCAAACTGATCATACAACACACTGAAAATCTGGCCATTTTGCTGCCCTGCAGCTATCGGCAGTTCCTATTGTCAAAGCCTTTTTATAAAGTCCTCTACAGCCTGGCCTTTCCCCCAACATGACCTCCCGCTGTAGGTGCTCTAGTGGCTCATATTACCTATTTGTTAATGGTTCCTGGGCCAAGATCCAATATGCTGTATTCAGCGTCCACGCCAAGAAGACAGCTTATGTTGTTCCCATGGCCTGTTGTGGCCTAACTTGCTTGCCAGTTTTTGGCGTTCATCTAAGGACTGTTCCGACCCAGAAGTTGACTCTTGGCCATGAGAAACTCACAGCAAAAATTCAGATCATTTCAAATGAATGAGCTTTCATCCAAGAAAAGGAATTGGGGAGGTTGGAAACTTCTGACCACAGGGAGAAAAAGGAGTTGGAGCAAAAAGAGAGAGCCGGATTTGGGTGTGACATTGATTGGAGTGTGTCTCCCCCAAGGTTTGGCTGTCTGTGTGGTGATGTGGAGATGGGACCTTTAAAAGTCGGTGCCTAGTGGCAGGTAGCCATGGTACAGGGGCAGCACCTCGGAATGAATTACTGTTGATC